GACACAGGTCGACCCCGAACCATGTCACCAGAGAATACCTTCATGACCGATCCAATCACTCTGTGCCGGCCAGCCCCAACGTCTCCCGGCGTCCGGAGACATCGTCAAGATGATCAAACGAGCAAAAAAGCAAAAGATGAGGCGATGATCGCCGGGAATTGAGCCCGACGTGGGGGTCGAACCCACAACCTTGAGATTTTGTCAGAATCGTGAAATTCTTTAAGAGTCTCACGCTCTACCGATTGAGCTAGCCGGGCGTCTGTTAAGACGCCTTGGTCGTTGAGAATTGGGATCGGATGGGAGATTATGTAGATGAGTTCTGGGGCTGTGTAGCGCGGCCGCTTGACTCTTCACCTGTCAAGTTTTGCGGCGCTAAGCTCGTTTGGCACAAGCTTGGGCCTACGGACCAATACGATGTAGTGCTTTGTGTGGAGCGCTCTGCGAGAGGTGTGGGCCGGGGTGTGGATGGCTCGTTCAGCAAGTCGATCGCACGCTGGAGATTTCATCGCCCGCCCGTCGCGTATCAAGATACTGTGTTCAGAACTCGCATGGGCCGCAAAATTTTCACGCGTCTCCCGCGCAAAGAGCGGTGACGACCTCCAAGCGACCCCGTACCTGGATATTTATGGTGGTGTGGGCCTTGCAACAACATACAGCTTGTGAGGATCCGGGAGCTTGGCGCGTCGCTAGAGATAATCGATCTCGGTACTCGACTGGCATCGACAAGCTCATCGCGGTCGACCGCATTTCACAAACACGGTACGACCTGTGCCTAGGAAGCGCATGTAGAACCCGCGTCTTGCGCAGGCCGAGAATCACGTCTCGCATAGCGATACACTATGTAGGATCTTTCTCGATGGGTTCAGAATACTGGTACCCCTCAAAGCAACTTTCTCACATAACCTTCAGGGCCAACACTATTTTTTTTCCCTTTCCCACCTTTGGGGTCCCATGGGGACTGCTCAAACCCACTGCCCCCTTGCAAACCGCCGGGGAGAGCCGACCACGATGAAGCTTGGTGGAGAGATGGGTCCATCTTCGGGATCGCCAGACTGACTCGCTACTGCTGCAGCCTGCAACTCGGAGCTTTTTGCATGGTACTGATTTTAGGCCGGAGACTCGCAGTACCGGCACAATACGGTCTGGCAAAAAAACGGTAGGCTGGGGCAATGGGGCCCCTGGAGTTGACGAGACGATAGAGGGAGATCATCATCGTCACCACCACAGGCCCCCTTGTCCTGCCAGAACACCTGACATGCCGCTCTTCATCTGAAGGAACACGCCCGCAATGTGTAGTGACGATCGATTGACGGGCTGACGAGTTTGTCACGGGGATAAAGCGCTTCGTTCGGGTTTAGTCCATGATAATCATCATCAGGCTGGCGTGTCGGCCTCAGCTCCACACAAGGCCGGAGGTTCAGCCTCGCCCATCACTGGCTCTCCCCTCCAGCCATCCCAGGGACGACCCTTGAGCACTGTCCCTGCCCTGCTTTCGCAACAACCCCACGCGTTGTCGACGACTGCTTGCCCAGCCTGACTCAACAGGGTGGCTTTGGCCCCCGCGGCTCGAATCGGTCGCGCGGTCGCGCGGGGAGAGACGACTGGCTTATTCATTTCAAGACCGAGAGATCGCGACGTCGTACCAAATGAAGGATCAACACCGCAGCGGCCCCAATTGCGATGGGCTCATCCACAACGCCCAGCTCGACATTGCGCCATAGCCGGGTGCGAGTGTGAGGGGCTCCCGCGCATCTCGCTCGACTGCAAGCAATTTTATATCCGGTGGTGTAATGACTACCACGGCTTGCACGTGCCTTGGCTGGTGGCAGTCCGTCATTTTGGCGAGCCAAAGATAATTTTTCCGGTGGCGGTAGGTATCCCTCGGCGGTGGGTCCTGATAACCCCGGACAATCTGTAGTGGCGCTGTGGGCGAAGACCCGTACGATGTTTCTTTGCTTGAAACATCCATCGCTGGGCTACCCGACTCAGTGCAAAGGTGGATTATAGTGGCTAGTAGTCTGTATGTTTTTGGTAAGGCTGAGCTGTCTCAGATATACCACCATGGCCCTGCGCCCAGAGGTGTGACGTGCTCGATGTTGACAGCTGAAAGACCCATGCGTTAATAGTCATGGTTATATTGCATATCTATTTCAAGACAATGCTCTCTACGGCAGTTTCGCCGTTCTACGTGAGAGTGGCAAACACTTGAACCACTGCAGCCCTGTTCATCTGGACGGCCCGCTCGAGTGCGTCCGCGCGTCTACCCGTAGACGGCAGGAGGTGTCCGCTTGTGGTCTAGGGCGATCAATGCGACTCTCAACACCCACGGCATCTCGAACAGCTTCTGTGGATGTGCTCTAGCGTACGTAGGTAGTCTGAGATGATGAGTTGGGAAACGAGGTCAAGACACATATCGCATCTATAACGGCCGATGAAGACGGTGGCTCCGTTTTCGTATATGGGCGTCACTGCGCCATGTGTAGATACTTCAACATGTTTCACAGCTGTAATATCTACCTAATTGATCTCATGACGCAGTGTCTGATCTTCAACTTTTCCTGGATCATGTTCTTCAACCTTTCAGCTCTCTAATGTCGCCATGTCATTGACCGTAGTAAGGGGCTGCCCCGATCCCAGGCCACATTGCCGAGTGCTTCAGGGGTTCTCATGGCGACCGATCCACCAAATGCTGCTTGAACCTGTGTTAGTCAAACATGTGTGTATTCATGTACTCGAGGCTGGCAGAGGAGCGTCCAACTATCTCATCGTGTCAAGGAAGGAGCCAGATGTATGAACCTGTGGTACTACTCACAGGCTAGCAGAGTCTATTTAATTAGATGTCACAAGTCCCTCGTCATAAACTGTATTCGTCGACTATTACATATGGCGTTTGGCTGCACTCTTTGCATGATAAAGACAGAATTGGCAATCTGGCATTGCCCTCAAAGCTTGTGAATGACTCCCTGTATAGCGTCTTTAAGAGGGAATGGACAGGTTCCCCGATGCTCCTTTACCGACTTTGCTAGCAAGCCAAGCATGCAATTTCTCCCAGTAGCTAGAAGTTTGAATATTGAGATGAGGGAAATGATCGTCTTTAGTTTCGGCTGTTCTCAGACTGACTAATCTTCTCGCAAAAGTACGATAGATCGATCAAAGATGAATGCGCCTCGTATCGACGCCTTCTGGGTTCTCCCCACCATGTGTTGTTGCGTTCAAGGGAAGCTGGATGGAAGTACTACGCGTCTGGACTAAGGCTTGACACGGATCCGATATGAGCTATGGCTGACTGTCTCGTCTGGTTGACCATGACCTTCAGCTTTTACAACCGAGTGTATTTTGTACCGCAATCGAAGCAGGGAGTGGGAGGCTCGCGACCTGGTATAGTCTACGATGTGCGTATTTTAGTATGACATTGCGATGCGCTTAAATTTCGGCATGATGATTTCAGTCGTAAGCACAAAGTGCACACGCACATCTTAGTGAATGTATTGGCATTCGAATTTGATCATTGCTCATAAGCTATCTATATTGGCCGTGAGGTGGATGGCAAAAGTTCCAGGAGCACAGGCTCAAGAGGCATAGACAATTCTTAGGTCTCTAAGGCGTCCTATCACGAATTGTTGCTTCCAGCTTAGCTTTCTTTAAATTTGCATTAATACATTACCAAGGGGAACAACAGACTTTCCGGAAAGATCAAGACCTTACTGGACTCCTCTTGATCTACGTGCACGCTGGTGTATAAGCTCCCAACTCTTTATTTACTTACTACAATGACTGCCCACCAGGCTCCAACTTCCCTCACTCAGCATAACTCAATACCGGCTCTTGTGCCAAAGCCGTGTCGTGATGATAGATGTCAAATTTGCACAGCTCATGTCTAACAGCCTCATGCCACAAGGCAGAGCAAGGGGGTAACATGGAAACTCTGTACTGACCCAACAGCAAGAAAATTGTAAAATATTAGTGAATGCATCACAGCAGGTGGTGAGAGAGCCCAAAAGAATACAAAGAGACCGCGCATCAGTAAAGTTGTCATGAAGAACGAATGACCTGCCATGGATAGTCGTTATGGGCATCACGAAATTTGTGCTGCCAGTCCATATCAAGGAAAAGACAGTACAGAACAACATATCCATCTCACATGCGGCATACTTGAGTATTGCAGGCGTATCTCGTCAGTGACTTCCCAAGGCAGAGAAACCGAGCCCTCATGGAAGCAAATCCCTCCTCTTCCTGGTCGACTCGTTTGAGGTTCAAGGTCGGCCAGGATATTTGTCCGACCAAGCAAAGACCGCTTTGCCACAAACACTGTTAGAAGAGCATTTTGCTTCAAACATCAATATCATTGTATGTTTTCATAACAGTTGTATATATAGAAGCAAGGAAAAGCAACCATAATAATAATTTCAGTTGTTTCCACGAATGTGAGCAGGCAAACTTTAGTGGAACGAAGCCAGAAGAGCGCCAGGCTCATAACCCGGAGGTCGCTGGATCGAAACCAGTAGCTGTAGTCCACGTATTTTTATTGATAGCCTTATGGTCATTTGACTGTGGGCTGGTACTAAACAAGCTTAAACTCGGATGTCCGCTTCACGGCCACAGTATCTCTAGGGTGGGAAAAAAAAAGGTGGAAGAGATGGGGGGACGACTACAGAATCCCCAACCATAGGACAACCAGTCATAGAATAACCAATTACAGAATGATTTCTTATGAGATAATCTTCCCCGGGATAAACCTTTTTTTCGGACAACCTCTCTTAGGAAGACCTCTCTTAGGATAGCCTCCCTTGGGATGACCTTCTATGGGATAACCTCTTATGTCATTACTTTTTATTTGTTTCATTCTCTCTCTATCAGAAATTGAGTAAGCCACAAGGATTCACAGCGATGTTTTCGCAGTTCTTTTCTCCTGGGGTGTGGTGGTGCTGTTCTAACAGTGTATATGGAATCAAGTGCGCAAAAAAACACAAGAAACAAAGCAAAAAAAGATTATTTTGTAGCTACAACTGGTTTCGATCCAGCGACCTCCGGGTTATGAGCCCGGCGCTCTTCCCCTGAGCTATGTAGCTGTTGTAATTCCTTTGCGTTGTAAATTTAAGTATGGGGGTTGAGAAGCAGAAATTTTCAGAGTGTGAGTCACAAAGGTCGGCTTTGCCGAGGACCCGGCATCCGGCCGCCTTCCTCCTGTTTGTCATCAAGTCATGTCAGCTCCTTTTTGTAACCACCACATTACTTGGGGGCATTGACCTACATGTGCTCCTGTTGGTAGTACAACACCATACTGCCGAACAAATGGAGTACACACTCTTGTATGAGACCACCCCCTAACTGTCCAGGTCGTGAATTTTGAGTGGCAGGACACATGATAAACTCCTTTGGCGCCGGAACCTCCTGCTCCCACGCTTTGGTCGCTATTCCCGACGGTATCTCTTATATTGTCTCTCTTGCAACTGATCTTTTTTCTTTTTCATGATTTACCATCAAAAGCACCCTCCTTCCAATTCCCATGTCCTGTTCCACCAGCCCCAGAACCACTCCCACCACCACTACCACTACCACCAGCCGCGACCACGGCAGCTGCAGCCGTCTGCCCAAAGTTGGTGGCATGCTGGTCTGCGTCCGTCGCGCCGAGCCAGTACAGCGAAAAGAAGACCAACAGGTGCAGCGCAACACAGTACGCCGCGAACAGGTTCCTGCTTGTCCTGGACGCCAGCACCATCCTCGTGACCGTGTACACCACCCTCTCCGGGAAGCTCATGCGCTTGTACGCCCGCGCGGACTCCCTCCCACGGAACGCGGCGAACGGGCTGATGTTCGACTCGTAGGCTGCACGATACCGGTCCATCCCACCAGAGCCACCGCCGTTGCCTCCGATGGTCACGGTTGACGGGTTGGGATTGTCGGCATACGACGAGGACGAGGTCACCGCAGCGGTGCTGTTGCTACGGTTGTAGGACGACACGTAGCGGGTCTTCTCGTAGAGGTTAAGGTTGTCCTTCTGAAGCGCGGCAACCTCCTGCCGAAGCTGGGAGACATGACGGTGGGTTTCGGAGAGCTCTTGCTCCAGCTGCGCGTTGCGCTTCTTGAAGCGGTCCCTCTGCGCCGTGATCATAGGAAGAATTCCTGACCCTCCGCCTACGGGTTCGCCGCCCGAGTCCCGTGGGTTGAAACCGCTGATTATAGAGGATGTAGGTGATGTACGGCCCCCTCCACTCCTACGTCCGGGGGCCATTGACGGCGCGTATCTGCTCACATATGTGCCCGCCACCGAGGCTCCTGATGGGAACGCATTAGCGTGCTCCGACTGGATGTTGGCGAGATCGTTCTCAAGCTTCTCGTTCAGTTGTTGAGACTTCTCAAGCTCCGCGTTGGTTCGGGACATGTCTTCCGACAAGTCTGATAATCTGCTCTGGAGGTCCTGGTGAGACACCCGTAGAATCGTCAACTCCTCACTCAGCTTCTTGTTCCGTGCCAATAGGAGCTGTTCTAGTGTATCTCCCTTGCCTTTCGCGACGTCCCCGTTGTGGTCGTCTATAAGATCCTTGGTCTCATCATCATCGCCTGTCGAAAATTCGATGCTCTTTAGCACTTCGAGCTCCTGCTTGATATCGTCGTAGTCGCCCCATTTCTGAACCTTTGCCTTCAACGCGTCCCGGTCCTCCTTCAGCGAGGCCACCTCTCTTTCCAGCGTGCGCAACTTCGCATCCAGGTCTCGCTTCAAAGATTCCTTCTCTACCCTTGAAGAATCCAATTTTCGTATCAGGGATGAGTTCTCAGATCTCACACGCATGTACCCTGGGTCGTCTTCCAGAGACGTGGCTTGTTGGCTCGATACCTGTGACTTGGCCTGCGCAAGCTCAAGCCGCATTTGTTCGTTGCGCGCCTCGACTTCCGCCAGTCTCATGCTCGTTCGTTCCAAATCCGAATGGACCATCTCGAGCTCGGCGCTCGTGACATGGCCCCTCGGCTCGTCCTCGTCATCTTCAGACTTGCCTAGCCGCTGATTGACCTCGTAGCTTGCTTTGAGCTCATTGAGCAGGCGGTCCTGATTCTCAACCTTGTCCTCCAGGGTCTTCTCCTTTGCCGCCCAGTTGTCTTTCTTCTCGTCCAGTACTGCGATCCAAGACGATTCAATCTCCTTCACCTTGCTTTCAAGATTTTCCTCGAGCTGTTTTCGAGCCTCTCTTTCCGACTGCAATTTGGACTCTGTCTCTTCCAGCTGCGATGTGAGCGAGGCCACTGAGCCCTGCAACCGCTCGTTCTCTTCCGTAACTTTCGGTAGAGTCTCCTCGGAGACAAGCATGGAGTCGACAGCTGCTTCGAGTAATGGGTATGGATCCGGTGCATCAGACAGAGATGTGTAGGCGTGGAGGAACGCGGAGTTGATCGACTTGGAATGGTTCGTCAACAGGTCGATGAATGTCTGGTATGCTGCCGAGGTGTTAGATTCAGGCCGACAATGGCCACACAGTGGTCCACATACCTTTCAACAGCCCCTTTATCTCGGACAATTTGGTAGCATCGTCTGATTTCCTGAAGTCTTTGGTCTTCTGAGCCAAGTCCTTCCTCTGCACAGTCGAATCTCGTTGGTATGTCACGATCTCGGACGCCGTGTTATCGAGGCCGGAGACCAGGGTGGTCATGTCAATATCTATTGGTTAAACCAGTCAGCTATGCGCATTTTGAAGTCCGAGAGTTGTGTGATGAGCAGCACATACTCCTCCATGCTGAGATGGCGGCCTGGAACTTGTTGGTGGTGTCCAGAGTTGAGGCAGCTCCAGGGCCCAAGGGAGCTTGGTTGGTGGTCGACTCGGCCATTGTTGCTGCGTTGTGGTCATGGAAATATTCCGGGGACGGGGTCAACAGCTTGAGAGCTGGAGCTCATGAGACAACATGCGCAGGTCGCAATGTGAGCTCGAGCGCCGTTGTTGAATGCAGGTCCCGGGTGATGTGTTATTTCTGGACTGAAGGAGTGCGCGGCATGTCTGCTGTTAGCCAGCCAGCCAGCCTACCATGTACGTGCCAGCGGCCGATCCGGGGAACGTCACAGGGGTCCCTCTGCTTTCCAGCTAGCTGCAGGCGGGCCAAGCTTCTAGTGGCAGGCAGCCGTACTGCAGTAGCTCACCACACCAGCCCACCTCAGATTACACCCAACAGCTCGGCCGATTGCGCCGCGATCCATCATTCCAGAGCTTCAAGCCTGCTGTCCTGGCGCTGAGAATGGTGATAGAGCGCCTGCGATGACATAAGTGGCCTGGAAATGGCTTCCGAACCCCGAGCGAGCCAGGAAGCCGCAGATACCAGCTCCGGCGCACGACGGCAACTCGAGACCGGGCCCTTCGTGTTGCGCACGCTGCTTGAGGACGTGCCATTATCCGAGGACGGCGACAACGACGATATCAAGATCAACTTCGTCGAGTATCTTGGTACGACTACATAGGTACCTACAGTTTGGCCATTGGTCCACGCTGACTGCTATTTACCAGGTGGCAACCTCTATATAGGCACTTCTGCCTCGGAACTCCTCCATTTCGTCCAGATACCCCCCGATCCCACCGACAGGGCCAGCCAGCCAGTCTTCATCCTTGCTTCGAGATTGCGCCCGACATACATTGAGAGTGCAGTCGCCGGCAATGTCAAACCCGGGGTCCAGCAGATCCTCCTCCTGTCCCGGGTTCAGAAGGCATGCGTGCTATGCAACAACACCGTTACCTTCTACTCCCTACCGGAGCTCAGCCCCGTCTTCGGTACTGTGCGAGTCAAGAACTGCTACTGGATTGGAGGCTTGGATCTGAACATCGCGGAGAACGAGGACATTGGCCATGGCGACGGACGTCCTGCTGCGGAGACCATCTTGCTGTCGCTTGCCCGCAAGATTCAGGTCGTTCGAGTGGGTGAGGACGCCAGGGTGTTCAAGGTGAGACGAAATAAAGGCCTGGAAGCGGAATGAAGGCTGTGCGTGTGCTGACACTGAACAAGCAAATCGATTTCGCTGGTAGTACAATATCAGTCCGGAGAGATACGATAGCATGTGTGGCTGATTCGAGGAATTACGCCCTCTTGGATATAAATCGCCAGCTGAAAATACCTCTCATGTCTATCTCTTCCCTCGACGACTCACAGCCGAATATGGGCCAAGCTCAGAACATTGCTGGAAACTCCGAGGTTGGTATCCTGCGCAGCGCCTCGTCTGCGCAAAACCGGCCTTCGAGCTCAGGCCACAATGACGGACATGGCCACAACCGGAGCACGAGTCTCGGTAATTTCATGTCTCAGGCCATGAAGAGGCAGAACAACAACTCTGGCGAAGGCTATGACTCAGATAATCAAGGATCAAATACTCCGAGACGATCAGGAAGCCCTGATAAACAATCCACCCAGGACCTGGTCGCGACAGACAAGTCTTTGCCCAGTCCTCCGAGCGAAGTGACGCAAGCTTCAAAGCCTGCTCCTGCCGCTCCGGTGATTCTGAAGGCCCATATTGTATCGCCCACTTCTGAAGAGTTTCTTCTCGTGACGGGCACTGGACCTCATGATCCCGGCATCGGCATTTTTGTGAACCTTGACGGCGACCCTACGAGGCCTACTCTGGAATTCGACAGATACCCTAAGGAGATAGTTGTCGATGGAGGGGTCGCGGACTTGTCATCTTCACGACCATCTATGGGTGACGAGGAGGAGGGTTACGTTCTTGCCTCAATGACCAAAGAGTTCCAAGATGGCCTCCATAATGGTCTCGAGATACAGCGCTGGGACTTGAATGTTGGAGAGGAGGTACCTACCAAGCATTGGCTCGAGGCTCCTACCGACCCCCTCCGAAGTTATAATGATGCTAAAACTCCTCTGATCGGTATCAAGTCGCTCGTGGGAACTGAGGAATCCAATCTTCAGGAAGTTGTGGACAAGCTCTGCCAGAAGAGGTTCTCTCCATTTTCTGGAAGTCAACTCGAGTCATCAGCAATGTCACTCAGAAGCTTGGATTCTCGGACAGCACTTTCGATGGAGAGAGTCTCTAAAGAAAGGGAACTATTTGAAAGAGACGATGACGAGTCTCCGTTGCCGGAAGGCTGGGAGGCCATGAGGAATGAAGAAGAGCAAGATTTTGCCAAGCGGTTCGCCATAACGACTTCACGGCTCGCAGTCTGGTCCGGTAATCACATATGGTGGGCCGTTAGGAACCCGTTACTTCTGCAACTTGATGCGAACATTGAGCGTACAGCCATGGAGGCGCATGAGGCACCTCACACAATGGAGGAACGCCGTCAACTGTTCTCCATTTTGGCAACGATTAGAGGAAGAGATGCAAGAACCGAACTCGAGTTCATGACATTCAGTTACATAAAGCAGAGGGCAAGCGTGCTCCTCTTCACAAGTTTCCTACACTCAACGGAGACGCCCTTCCCTCCTGAGCTCAAGGCCATGGAAGAGGTTCTCCTAGACTCAAGCTTAGATCCAAGAGTGGTTCTTGGCCTGATCCCAGGTCTGCGGAACGAAATCATCGAAACCAAGAAAGGAATCTGGATATTTGGGGGTGTCAAAGGCACTGTTGAAAGGTATATGGCGTCTGAGAAGTTTGTTCAAGTAGGCCAGACTGTCGACAATCTGGGGCAAACGACTCTCCTATTTATCAAATCATACCTTTGGGGTGTCCGACGCAAGAAGGGCATGGCAAGCACTGGGAACGCGGGCGAAGTATTCAGAACCGTGGATGCCGCTCTACTGGTGGCTCTGTTGGAGCTTGACAAAGATTCATCGAAGGGCCTGGGTAAAAGCGGCAGCGTTCGATCAGAGCTTTACGAGCTCGTCGACAAGGGCGTTGACTGTTTCGACCGAGCTGTGGATCTGCTCGAACATTATAACCGTCTCTTCGTCCTGAGCCGACTCTACCAAAGCCGCAAGATGACGGCGGATGTCTTGGCTACATGGAGGCGCATCATTGAGGGCGAGCAAGACAATGGTGGCGAATTTCAAGATGGTGAGATGCGTGTGCGCGAATACCTCTCCAAGATCAGCAGTCAGCCTCTCGTGCAAGAATACGGTGTCTGGCTGGCAAACCGCAACCCCAAGCTTGGTGTGCAGGTCTTTGCAGACGACAAGGGCCGTGCCCCCAAGTTTGAGCCAGCGCACGTCGTCGGCATCTTGCGCGAGCAGGCACCCGATGCCGTGAAATATTACCTCGAGCACCTTGTGTTTGGAAAGGGGCACACCAAATATGTGAATGAGCTCATCACATACTACCTTGACATCGTCATCAATGAGCTTCAATCATCACCCCAAGCTCGTGAGGCAATAGCCTCCACATATGAAGCATACAGGGCGCTGAAGGCGCCAAAACCGACATACAGGCAGTTCCTGAAGGATAACGCCCCTCCAGAGGACGAAGTCTGGCACAGCCGGCTACGCCTGCTACAGCTACTTGGCGAGAGCCATGAATATGATTTCAAGGCCATCGGTTCGAGAATCAGCAAGGCCCTACCTGCCGAGAAGGCAGAGGAGCAATTATTGGTCCCCGAAGCGATCATTCTTGACGGGCGCGAGCGCAAGCACGAGGAGGCACTCCGACTTCTCGTGCATCGTCTGGGAGACTACGATACCGCGGTGTCGTACTGCCTCTACGGCGGTGCGAGCATCTACATCCCACAGTCCGGCCGGCGCGAGTCCTTGCCCTCCGAGGACACCCAGGCAGGCCTGTTCCGTGCCCTGCTAGGCGAGTTCCTCGCCATTGAGGACGTCAGCGACAGGGTCGAGCAGACCGGCGCCCTGCTGGAGCGGTTCGGCGGCTGGTTCGACGTCATGGACGTGCTGGAGCAGATCCCCGAGGAGTGGTCCGTGGACGTCGTGGCCGGCTTCCTGGCGACGGCGCTGAGGAGGCTGGTCGCGGAGAGGCATCAGACTGACATCGCGGCCAGGCTGAGCTCGGCAGAGAACCTGCGGGTGAGCTACGACCTGATCGCCAAGATGGATGAGAAGGGGCCCACGGTTGAGACGGGCGGTTGAGGTCGGCCAGGTGCCGTGATATCCAGCACAGTAATTAGATATACAAATACACCGGATTAATTACATGCTCGCATTCTCTATAGTGTGGCTGAAGGACTCTTGCAGTAAAACCGCACGCTGCTGCGCCTACATCTTGTCAGTTTCGAGAACTGGCAGCTTCGCAATGGTTCGGCTGAGAGCAAGTCGCCATCATGCCTCTACCGTTTTCCCACGACCTTTTGAAATGCCCACGTCGCCCTCCAGGCTCTGACACACTATTCGCGCATACACGTATTACGAGCGCCTATCAACATCCAGACGGCGGCTGCCAATATCCCGACAACTGTGTTTGATGTCACCATTCAAGCCAAGACTCGTTGTCCCTATTGTCGATGCGCAGTCTTCGCTCCCAAAGTGACCAGAATAATAAGTACCATAGAATGGTAACTCGGGGCTAAAATCTCTATGAGAACCTGGGAAATCAACAAGGTCTTTTGATAGGGTGGATTCAGACATTTTTGACGTGGCCAGCGTCAGCGGCCTTCGCATGTATTTACTCAGTCACAATTTGCAACTACAGGGCATGCTGCTGAATGAAGAATAATTGGGGACCAGGGAAAAGCTTTTCGACGAAGTAACGACATCAATCTACGTCCCTTTTCTGCTAATAGAGAGAAATGCGTCCTCGAACTAAGAACCGGGCAAGATCACAGGACCTGTGCTCTGGAAAAGCCATCTTCAATGTCCTCTTGGAAAGCATCGACAGGTTCAAGAGTGCGAGAGCCACCCAGCTGGCACGGCTTTTAACCGAACATTCCCCCATGTTTCCTACTCACCCCTCCTGTCACAGAACACTATTGAGACCCTTCAACGGTTGCAACTTCGGCACCCTCCGTGTGTCTTGTTCCCATTCAGACGCTGTCAGCTATTTCGAGGTCACAAGCTGCAAGCAAGAAGTTCTCGACCACGCCGATTCCACTCGGTGCGACGTGACACATCAGGACCCTGAATGAAAGGGATCATGTCTCATTTGCGACGTGCCTCGTTGTCACACCACGCGGTTCCAGATATCGAGACCGGAGAACATGCCGGACATCGTGATCCGGCGGGGAATCGAAGATCGCGTGTGCATCGTGATGAGTCGGATGGTTGATCAAGGTAGGAATCGAAAATATCGTGGGCATCGTGCTGAGTGAGATGATTGAAGCATAGGAAAAACAAGGAATCGAGGTTCATGTTGACCTGTGTGGAACGAGGCAGTGTCGCTTGCTGACCCTGTAATCTGGTGATGGTAGGCCTCGTGGCCTGGAAGGCTACCCGGGCATACTGGTTACGGTTCGGCGGCACCGGGGAAGATCGCGCGTCTTCATCCATATAGAAGTCGCGTTGAGCCCATGAAAGAGGGCGGGTAGCTCAACGATCCCCCATCAAAGTCTTCCTCCAAGACCATTTTACTGTCAGAAATCACCATGTGTATGAACTTCGGTACACCAAGTCGTCAGCCAGCGGCTCTTCGTCCGAAAGGCCTCCCATATGATTGGCGCCGTGATGTTTATCTTGCTCACCTCCTTCGGCGTGGCGCTGTCGTTCCCATGGAAGTAGCGTCGCATCAGTTTCCCATCAGCTACCATCCAGTGAGTCGGAGAGTCATCGGCAACCAGGCCGGGGAACTGGTCAAAGCGCGAAGGGCTCTCAGCGAGGGAGGATTTTCAGATCGATAGTGTTTCTGGATTTCTATGCTGGATGATATTTGCAAGTGGTCGAGACGCATTATTGCTTTTTCGGCTTCACACCCACCAGCAAACTGGACCGTGAGCCTGCGGCTATGGATACGGAAACCCTCAAGCTGTCGCCAACTGGCGGCTGTGTGTTTGATACAACTCAGCCAGAGTGCAACGCGGTTTATGTCCCGGCTGATGCTGGCCATCGGCTAGGACAGCCTCACTCCCAGGGACTCGATAGACAAGCACCTTCCCAGGCCATAGGGACTCTGACCAAACCGCTGGGGTGTAAAATCGATTGAAATCCCACAGGACCTGCGATGCTTCCTCCGTCAATGGTACTACCTCAAGACCCAGACCTCTTCAACACAGCAAAGACAAGCCACCTCTTCCGGGCAACGGGGTCCTCGATGCCCCTGTCCAGGACCCATTCCCTCTCGAGGCCATCACAGTCCCTCTCCCAGATGTTCTCGACCTCGAGGCCGAGCTGGCGCAGGCGCTCCCCGCCGAAGAAATCCCGCATCTTCTCCCTCCCCGTGTGGAAGCCCGCGACGACCCAGCACCTCGCCTCGGCCGAGTCCTTGAGGAACCACTCGATGGACCTGAGCAGGTTCTCATGCTGCCACGGCATCCACAGGCAGTCGCAGACAAACACCCTGTCGAAGGCGCGGCGGCCCTTCTCGGCCAGGGGCGTGCCCAGCTCGCCCCACGCGTGGCCCTCGACCTCGACGGGCGCGAGGCTGGACGAGGGCGACAGCTCGGGCCGGGCGTTGCGCGCGGCGTTGGCCCGGAGGTTGGAGATGACGACGGGCGCCGGGTAGTCGGTCAGGACGACGCGGCTGGCGCCCAGGAGCGCGGCCAGCAGGGAGGGCAGGGCGGTGCCCGCGCCGAGCTCGAGGACGGACTGGCCGGCGACGTCGAACGCGGCCAGCGGGGGCCCGCACGGGCTCGTGACGCCGCCCTGCTCCGGCCCCAGGGCGAGGGTGCCGGATTCGACGAATTCGGCTAGGAGGAGCGAGGCGTTCCAGAGGTAGTGGCTGAAGAGGCGGCGATCATCGTCGGCGCTGGGGTCTGCCACGCTAATATGCAAGGGCTTTGGGAGATGCGGTGACTGATACAGGAGCCCGTGGTCGGCGTCACCATCTGCGAGGCGTTAGTACAATGTTTCTCTGTGTTGGGCAAAGTGCCCCTGGCAGATGTGATAGTAGACAGGGAATATGCGCATGGGAGCCGGTAACAGACAGCCTGTTGTAGACAAGACATGTTGGTTCGCGAGCCAACAGGCAGGTGAATATAGACAGTAATATGGTACAATCCCATTCAAGCGCACCAACAGACCCAACAAGGCACACTCCCCTAAGCATCTTTCACGTTGAGCACTCACGTTGGTTCATCACATCATCTGGGAAAATTACGCCAAGCGATGCGCCGAAGAGGTCCTCTGGATCCTCGGCAGGCGCACCTGTGAGGGTGATGCGAGAGGTCAACGCCATCTAGTCTATCTTGCTCGTGCCTTTGGGAAGGCCGAGCAGAGCCCCCTTTCCTATGCGTGTTGGTTCTTGCTGTGCTGTGCTGTGCTGTGCTGCGTGGCCTTGCCTTTGCGGTTGTGCGTTGTGCCGTGTGCCCGTCAGCCAGCCAGCCCTCTACACAGTACCTCCTGTTCGTCCTCGTATGCAAAGTGCCTGCCTGCTTGCCAGCCTGCCTGCCAATTCACCCTTTAGAAGCTCAAAATAGCTCCCCACCGCCCGTGTGTCTCAACACCGGAGCCTCTTGTCCAATAGGCCCGGGGAACGAGGCGACGACAAGCCGACAGGGATGCAGGAGGGCGACAGCCGAAAAAGAATCAATAAAAAGAAGAAGAAGGAAAAAAATTTAAGGCACAACAACGTGTCTGCATGCAGGTCGGGTTCGGGGCGGTCGGTTCGCGCGATCAAAAAAAGGTGTCGTTTCACACAGCCCTAAAGGCAAGCACTTCGCCACACGGCAGCATAGCCCACTCATCGGCGGTCTGGTCTGGCAGTGCCCGTCTGTCGGCAGGTAGCCCACTATTTTTGGGTCTCTCGGCGGCCTGCGAGTCTGCATACACACACACACACTCACTCACTCACTCCCACTCACTCCCACTCTCACTCCACACACTGGCTCACTAGCAGTACGTAGACACTAGATACACCTGCAGAAACACTCCGATGTGGCTTTAGGCCCCCAATCCTCCTCTACTTCGTGCCCCATGCCCACACACACAACATCGCAGTGCATGCTCCTTTGGTCAAAGGCCCGCTTTCTCGTTTGTTGATTTGGGTTCTTACCCGCCAGGATTTAAGGCAAACGGACGAAAAGAGACAGTGGGGGCCTCCCTATGGGGGTACGCACGATGGGATCGTGCGTTGCGTTGCGTTCGCTTCCCTTCCCCCCAAACAAAAAAAACACCCTTTCCATCGGCCCTGCAACCGGGGGATATCGAAGCACGTCAAGGGTTCCAGGGCCCGAATTTGGGGGCCATGATGCTGTCTTGGTCTTTTGCCGGCTGGGAACTTCGCACCCCGGGAGTCACATCTGGTCTCCAGATCCACTTGGATCGCGCTTCTCGCGATCCTTCTACAAATGCCCCGTAGTGGTTGCCATGTCCGATATGTGCTGCCTGATAACAATACTCCGCGATGTTGTCATTTGTTGCATTGCCGGCAAAGCTTGGACACCGAAGCCCGCGGTTGTCGAAACGCTACTAGCTGTGCCGTAATAAAGCACGGCCAAAGGTACATCTCGGCCCCCAACTGGTCCCGTTGTCCCTGTGGAGGACAAGGAAGGATTCCTTCACATCAAGTCACCACCAATGTCCGGAAACCTACCCACCGCCGTCACCCCGCGGCTACTGGGCACCCTGCGCAGCCAGCCCGGCCTACCAGACGACGTGTGGTACACCATCGTTGCCACCACACTGTGCGTCTTGAACAGGCCAGATGAGATCCAGGCAATCTACACCCATGCCGTTGCAGCAGACGCAGGTGCGAACGCAGTCGCAGATCCGGTCGCAGATCATGGGCGACAACTGAGAATAGCGCGACGTCTCCGCGAGGCTCTGTTGAAGGCGTCCGCCATAGGCGGGCTGCCAAAGGTAAGCATACAAGCCAGCCAGCCAGCCAGCCAGCCAGCCAGCCAGGCAGGAAAGGGCACATCACGACGCCCGCGGCTAGCAGCACAACCCCCTTCCTATCTCCTGACCCCCTCACCCCCTGAGGCCCGCCTCGGCTGGCGACCCATTCGAACTGACCCGTCCTGTCCTGACCCGTGTCTGTCCTCGTGCATGTAGACCATCAACGCCCTCCAGGAGCTCAAGAAGGTCGTGCCGCCAGGATGCTTTGACGAGCCGCACGGCGAGTCGCCGACCAATCGACGGCGGGACATCTACGAGACGCCAGCGCCACAGGTGCTGCAGCGCGGCAGGCGGTTCTTTGACGAGTGCTATGGCAAGGTCGCCGGGCGCGTCATGACCTCCCTGGACCATTGCGGCACCGAGGACCTTGGCCTCGCCGTGCGGCTCACCTACGGCTACGTACTGAGTACAACGGAGGTGCTATCCGAGGCCGAGACGTCCTTCGTCATGATCGCGGGCCTGATACCGCAGGATGTGAGTTTTCATTTCCCAGCAAATCCCCTACTTTCCGTCGGGCATTAGGCATGAAAGGGCGTCTATTAGATCTAGTAGAAGGATGACATGGGATGGGATGGGATGGGATTGACCGGGTGCACGTAGCGCGCTGGGCACCGTCTGTAAGGTATCTCCCCGCCCATCCGCCCGACAGAAGAACAAAGGACATAAACGAGTCGCTGTGGGGGGAGATATGGAAACTAGAACAGGATTGGGCGCCAGCCTGAGCGGCAACGAGCGCCGGGGCTAATGCGGGCACAGGTAAACCCCCAACTCAAAGGGCACCTCAGGGGCGCTCTGAACGGCGGCGCAAGCATTGAGCAGGTGCGCGCTGTGAGACATGTCTCCATCGAGGTCTGCCGGGCTTCGGGCATGCGCTTGCTCACGGCGGACGACGCGCCTGGCTGCTGGGGCTGGCGAGCCGAGGTTCAGAACCTTTGAGGGGGCAATGAGAAATACATGCCTGCTATGTCAACAACGTCGGGCGTGAAGACGTCGAGGTGTGACGCCAGACTCTGGATAGTAGAACTACTGTGTTGGCGGCCCAGACCCGCGGCGCACCTCGAGGTCCCGAGCCCCGGAGGGCGGACGTTCCGTCCCGCAGCGGAACAAGACTAGATTCTTGGGAGTGGCTTTGGCGTTGCCAGCTGTCAAGAAAGCGACTAGACTGGGCGGGATAGGATGCCTAGGGAGTGGTGTAGACATGTAAACTTAGACAATAGAATCGATAGGGTGACTTGAGAAAGAAGCATATGAGCAGGCAAGGCACCATACAATCCGCCAACAGAAAGATGTGCCATGACGGCCATTGGGGGCCAAAATCCCGGGGAGCCTGGGCCTGGGGGCAACCATCTACGGGCGCCCTACTATAATCGCCTAATCGCTGCGAGTCCAATCAGTCAGTCAGTCAGTCAGTCAGTCAGTCAGTCAGTCAGTCAGTCAGTCAGCCAGTCAGCCAGCTAGCCAGACAGTGGTCCTCGCCCTTGCTTACCCAGAAGCCGTCCCCATCCCACGTCCTTGGGGAGTCCAGAACACCCCGAACGCTGTGTGGGAATGAGGCTCAAAATTGCTGACCGGGGGTAGGGGTGTGAGCATGTGTTGTCTTCCGCCAATTCGCACGAGGCGAGCGGCCCCCCTTTGCGAAGAATCCTGGCGGCCGCACCTTGCCCTGCTTTCCTTTGGGCGAAACCTCTGGCCGAATCCTTCCGGACGCGCTGTCCCGCCGTGGGTCTCCAGTTCCTTCTCTGTGGGTGGCGGCGGTGTGCGCCAAGGTATCAAAGTACCATGCGCCCAAGCGAGCGACCTTGCTCTCTTTGGGGCAGGGGCGAGCAGGGGGTGGTGGCAGTAGGATTGCGGGCTTCCTCCACTCTTGTCTTATTAGTACTGTACTATTATGTGGTATTTGCCTCTTTACCATGCATACCATTTTGGGAGGAGTGGAGGTCGACAACGCATCACGTTGGATCGCCATTCCACCCTGGAAACGACGTGGGACGTGCGTGCATAGGCAGCGACGAAAGCTCATAGTACACAGTACTACACACAATGTATTTTAGGTGCTCAGGTTGACCGGGCCATCCACGGGCGGGCAAATGTGATGATGGGCTTTGCCGCGAGACTCCGGACGTCGGACAATGGGAAAGTTCCTTCATCGCGGTGGAACAATAGTGGAGGCCGCATCCCATCAATCTCCCCACAGACTGTCATCGTCTTTTGTTGAGGAGGCTCTGCGAGGCGGCGCCTTCAAGCGCTACCTAATTGCCATGCAGGACGAAGGTACGCAGTAGATAGACAGTCCAGTATCTACGTAGTCTGTGGGAGTGACTGACATTTCTCAGGGCGGTGGATCGACCTGGGGACCATTGTTTGACACATTGGTACCACAGCGGCGGCGCTGCCCAGCAAATGCACCATCGACGCGGAACTGGTTACTGAGTGTGCGATGCTGACTCAAGCCCCTGTACATGTTTATGATCGCCGACCTAGATTGACGAGGATCCCGAGATCATCAGCAAGACCTTCCAATGGGGTGTGACTCCTCATCTCGGATGGGCTACATGCCGAGCTAGGTCTAAGACTTGTTCCCCCAAAACACCCCTACAGTGCTATACGGGTCTCCGTCTCCGTCTCTGTGGGACTGGCTCGTGGTCGCGGGGAAGAATTCTACGTGGGACCCAAACGTCAACATCCAGCCAGATGGGGAGGCCGATCGACAGAATCGATGGGGCCAAGCTTTCTCATTTGGAATGGTCGACGTAACCGACTGCCAAGGGAGAGAGGAGGGTGGGGGAGAGGAACGTGGTCTGCCGGGCAAGCTGACGGTCTCACAGTCTGATCAATCAACCATTGATTGACAGGCATCAATTGTGGGTACTGTGAAGGAGGAAATATGACGGGCACGATTAACCGAAAGGGGTGAGCTCAAGCGTGCTGTGTTGCATCAGTTAGATCTCTGTCTGGAGGTGGCGAGCAGGGGCGGCGGGAAGGCTAGTTGGACCCAGACTGTCGGTGTCGGCGTCGGTGCAATCTGCCAGGCTTGTTGGAGCCGGCTGCATGGTGATGTGATGTGATGGTGAAGGAGCAATTAGTTTATGCGCCGGGGCAACATTATCTTCACCGACCTCGTTTCCTTTTGGCTGCAGATGGCTGACAGGGAGGCCAGGCCACCTGTCACCGCGCCGCACGAGCTTCGAAGTGCGGCGCCGAAGCCAGGTCCTACCCGAGAGGAGGAGACTTTTCGTGTCTGCCGGACAAGCTGCTGGGCGGAATGCTTGAACCTTGCTGTGAGGGGCGATCAGATGCCGGGACCAGGCAAATGACCAATATTTAATATATGGTTTATAGCGCTACGTCCAGTAGCTTGGAGGATCGCAGCAAGCATCAAGGCATGGCAGGTGGTGGCTGGTCTCTGTACCCGACGTTCTGGGACCGCTGCCCCTGCTGGAGGGAGAGGGCGTCAATGGCTGGGCCAATATGCCGTCGACTGGCGTATTTTCCCCCGATGTGCAAATACCAAGGGTCCATCTGATCTTGTAAGCATTCTAAGACTGGGTTGGCCGGCAGACGGGAGCTCCCAGTAGTAGTTACCAGACTGGCGGTGTCGCGGAAGACGGCTCCTTCATGATCATCCGAACCCTGTTGGTCCTCTCAAATTCCCTGCCTTTCGCCTAGTGCGGAAGTTTCTTGCTGCACCTAAGAGAAGATGATTCTGACCTTGCAACATCACGCTCTTCCTCACGGGCTAATGCAGTCGGGGGGTTTAGACAGCACCATGTCGTTGCAAGGCTCCATCAAAATGAGCTGACGCCAAGCGAAGCCGGCTCACGAGGAGCCTAGGTGTGTCTCTTATTCCTGGGCCCGATCTGGACTGCTTCCCCCACACGGTGAGAAGCAAGGGATGTTTCGGTTAGTCAAATTACCACCGTGATGGATGCAACTCTCAACATCTGTAGCATACCTAGCTTCTCGCCTAGGCTCTAGGTCGAGGGCCGGGGCGGTGGTGAGAGGCGCTGTCTGATGTGCCTGGAGCTGTCTGTACTGTATCTGCCCCTCCTCATGGACAGGAAGCAGAGTGAGAGAGTTCGGACAGGAAATGCGAGATCACAAAAGCGGCAATTGGTGTATCTGTCCGGGCTTTCATGCAAAGCTGTCAGATCTTCGTTGGACCCGAGGAGCTGGTAAGTCCGTTCTGGCAGTAGGACGATGCCCGCGATAGGAAAGCCACCCCCATTCGAGCACCCGCAGTTCCTGGTCCCCGGTGCCAGAGCGTCGGGTCTCGAACAGTGGGGACCACGTCGAGATTGCCGGGATCATTTGAGAGGGAGGTATAGTGGAGCTGCTATTGAATCTGTGGCATGGGGTTTTGTACTTCGTCATCTGCACCGGCTGGGGTGCCGGCAGCAAGTACGTACATGACAAAATGTGACTGGTAGTCAGCACTTCTGCTTGGGTCACTCCGTACTCATTTCCAAATTTAGGTCTTGTGGGAGCCTGGGACTTGCAGTAGCGTTGGCAAAGATCACAGGGCCCACCGAGAGAGACGTATCCTTGCTGTTAAGTGTTAAGACTCGCGTGTGTTAAAACCTTGATTCCTGTTATGTTCAAGCGACGAGTCTGTCGCGACCCCGGCGATATGGGCCCATCACTGAAGTTCAAACAGCACCAATATGATTGTTGAGCGGGACGAGGTACTGGACTCCTCCCATGATTGTGACGGACGCTTTCGCACTGTGGTACCGAGTTTGGGTCCTTTGGTGTGGGCAGAGCAGGTGGAGATTCTGCGATGTCTCGCCCGGGACGCCGCGGTGCGTGGCCGAAATGCAGGTGAACTACCGTGCTCTGCTTCTGTAATCCGCGCTGTGTTGCACTTATTGCCCCTGGCTGCCGATCATTTGAGTGAGAGCGTCCACCAATGCAGTCAACATGGCATAGCTGCCTGAGGTGTGGACCAGGCGTGCAGACGCTCATACCGCTGGCGCCGCGAAAAGGCCAATCGTAGCTACTCGAGGCGGCATGTTTGCTTGTGATTGTGAGGACCCCATCATCGGATCGAACTTGTTCCGCAGTGATATGACCATACAAAGCTTGAAAGTGGGAGGGTCTTGGTGGCATCCACCCTGCCGTCAGCTACCCTCTTGCAGTGCACCAAGTCGTTTTGGGAGGCCCGCATGGTGCTGCGTGCTTCTGGAGAGGCAGATCGCCCGCCGCGGTGCAACGTGTGCAAACGTCCCGTTCCGATTCAGGATATATTGATCGTGGATGGCTCGGGAAGCCCAGGCGGTGTCAAGTTTGATCAGACCGCTTCAGACATGAATTTGTGTCTCCTCGGAAAGTAAGAAGACGCGCAAAGAGAGACAGAGAGGTATCTCCGTTGATGATAGTCGACTCTTCTCTTTTCTCACCCTCTCGAGCCTTGCAGCACCTAGTCCCAGGCCTGCCAGCCTGCGGTACACGCGGCACGGTGGCGAGACAGCAAGGCCGGGCCAGCGACTTGCCGGCGCCTGCGGGATTCCTGACAGCGGAGAGACCCGTCCTCGACGACACGGGGCAAGCTAGACCTGGCCAAGCTAGGCCTCGCGGAGCTGTCTGCCGCCTCACGTCGTGATGGGTGGAGCACGACGAGAGCCTCGCCGTGTCGGACGTCATTGTTCGGACAGGCTTCCAAGGGTTCCTCGAATTGGAATTGCTTGCGAGACACGGTGGATGCTTCTCATCTATCTGTATTTGTCGGCCGAGCGGCTATCACTGGGTCCTGCTCTTTCATGGAGTCATGGGCGAATGGTCGAGAAAGAGGTGAAGCCAACCAGAGCAATGCTGCCGTGAGAGGCATCCGGCCCCCACAGCCGATGCCCGTTGTGACTTGTAGCAATGCCGGCATACCGACTTGCCTCGTCCAAACGGGGTGTGTGGCACAGTTTCACCGCCATACCCAAGTTTTGATGAGATAGGGAGCCATCGACAGCAACGTTCTGGAAGAAAAGCAGAATCCGGCCGCGTGTGTCATGCAATGCACCTGCAGCATGTGGGCTTCTCTGGCGTTGCTTGGGAGATTGAGGTGGCTTCTCGAGATGGCTTTTCGTCGATAGGACAAACACCGAGACGAGGGACCAAGCAGGCCGACGTATGTTGCCCAAAGAGGACTGACCTGGCGGTGATCTGGTCCTGGTCTGAAGCTTTGCAAGACAAGTGCATCTCGGGAAGTGACAGCCCACCTCCACCTCCTTATCATCATGTACCGACCAGTAGTACCTGCCATGTACTGGCTGGGTACTGACTGTACTTTCTGTCGGTCTGATCTGCCTGTCTTGTCTATACACCCATCAGAGACCATCGTCACTCCTGCCGCATGGACCAAAGTGAATGACTGCAATCTTGTCCCGTCATCAAACTACGCACACGCAGTGGAGGGCAGGAGGGCAGGGCAGGGCATAGCAGGGCAGGTGCAGCGCAACACCCCAAACAAGCCTCTGATCGGCGTTGCCGCCCTTGCACCTGCCCACATGCCATTGGTCGCTTTCCGGAAAGAGCGAGAATGAGAAAGGCAATTGCGCACCATTGCGCACCACTGCGCTCTCTCCGTGGGGCCCGATTCGGGACCGACGATCGTATCTTGTCCTCAATCTCCCAGAGGGCCCTCTCTTTCTGCGAGCTGCGCCCAATCGCAACCTCTGCGGGGCGCCATGACGAGACGCCCAAAGAGGCCAGACTGCCTACGTAGTCGACATCTACGCAGTAGCTGTCCACCCATATACGGATCTTGTTTAGTCTCCTATCTCTGCGACCCGCAAACAATGGCCCATTCGAAGCCGGCCTCAAAGCGCTGCTGCTAAGGGGCCGCCGCCTCAGGGGGGCCTGCAGCGAAGCCAAGATGGCGCCAGATTGATGTGTCCAGTCTACAAAGTACATGCTGTGCCTGTACTGTCTCGTCTGGTGGCAGCAACCGGAGCCACATGACAGGCAGTGCAGGCGGGCGCATGGTGCTTCGTACCACACTGTTCATCTTGTTTGATGAATCCGTCTCGAACGAGAATCCTGAATGGCAAGGACAAGGGCGCCATTCCAAAGCAAGAGCAGCACATTGCCGCCTGCACGCCCGCAGACCATGTTGGTCGTGTTGTCGCAATCCAAACACCCTTGCGCGTTTCAAGTCTCTGATGATGTCTTGTTGCTTCACCCATACAGACATCAGCATCGCATCGCATCGCAGCACAGCGCATCAACAGGGGCCTGCAAGGCTGCGGCGCGGACCTCCAGATATCTCGTTGGGGCGCTGGGCCACAACCATGGTCCCGTCTCCTGCGGGTACCAGCTCTCACACGAAACATACGACGGTGACTTCTTGGTACCGGCAGCGAGCCTGCAGGTCCTGTCTCGTCAGCCCTATGCGCGCAAGCACGTAGCGAATCACCAAGGCCAGTCCGCGGGCACACAGGCAGTAGGATTCGGGTGCCCAACAGCGAGACCAGGGGCACGAGATTCTCTCATTTGCGAGGGCTGCCAGTCGGCCATTTGCGTCGACGAGATGCCCTGTCCGGGGTCAAGCCAACAACACCGTGGCATCCGCTTGCGAGCGGATTTGGCAGCAATGCAAGGGCTGACCGCAACTCTACGACGAGTCAATGCATCCCGTTCCCTGGCCTTTCATTTGGGAAGAATGTCAGACTCTGCATCAGCATACCGTCCACACATGTCTCACGCATCCCATCCACTCCATCCGGAAAATTGCAATTGCTCTCAATACGACCCGTGCCGCCCGCCAATGACAGCCCTGGCTCCTGCATACAGGCGACAGGGTGGTCTACATACCACGAGGCAACCCTGTTGGGTCGCTGTGACTACGATCCAGCCCTTCGGCCCATCCAGCCATCCTACAGGCTACCATCACACCCTTCCGCACATCTCCATCAAGCCCTTGGTGCTGCCCGTGGATTGTGGATCACCCGTCGCGTGCCATTGTAGCTGCCCCTCCGAAGCATCTGTTACAAATCCCGACTGAGAGGATCTTGGCACCCTCAAATTACCTGCCTCATCCGCCGGACGTCAGCACTCTGATTTCTCGCCTGTCACCTGTTGAGAGACAAAGCGAAGTAGTCCCCTTTTCCTTGCATGCTTCTGGCTCACAGACCAGTGGCTTCAGAGCAGACGATGCCTCATCCAGATTGGCCGCGAGCCAGTGGCCCGGCACTAGCACAACGGACATGGGCACGGTCACGGCTCTCTAGCTACAGTCCTTGTTCGACATATGTCGTTGAATCGCTCCTTCTCATACGCACGGGCGCCATGTTCGTGTGGAGGTGGACATTCCCGTCTTTCCGTTGGGGTAGCTATGGGAGGGCAGAGCTATTAAGAGCCTTCACAGGGCTGCAAGCGCCATTGGCGAGTTTGAACAGCCTGAGGCGTCTGGCCACTTCGGACGTATCCATTACTATCTTCTCAGGCATCATACGAGGCCGCCAGGCACGCAACTCCAAACTCTATCGCTCCTACCATCGAGAAATGCGTGGCTGCAAGGGTTCTTTGTGGAATGCCCCCTTGGACGTCCAGCATGGGCTGCATGCCTGTCAGCAAGCCACACCCTCTTGTAAGCAGTGTAAGAGGCCATATCATGGTACCGAGTCTCATGTCAGTGACGGACATCCTGACGGTTGTCTGATGCCAACCTCCAAATACTTGCTTCGTCCATTGACTGCTGCCTTCTGGGCGGGTTGAAGGACTGTCCTATGAGGACGAATTTGACGGGAAAGCATGAGTGCTGAGATTACGAAGTCACGCCTTCGTCTCGAGCGATGTTACGGAGGCGCACTCCTGGTGTTCAATAGAACCGCAGCGAAGCCATCCGGTCCACGGAGCCCTCGAAACACTGGGGCAGGGCAGATGACCCAATGCATGACATCCAGGGCATCATCGCGGCGTAGCATTGCAGCTTGGATAAGCTGTGATCAGGACCCAGCAGTCTGGAGGCAGCCGAAAACGATTGGATGGGAAGCAACCGACCCAAAAGACATGATGAACTCTCCAAGCCGCAGAAGCCAAAAGCAAAGCCCCAAGCGCTCTCTGCATTGGCCCTACACCGGCTCCCACACTAAATCATGCTTGGGCTCGGTGAACAGAATCCGCCAATGATGTGCCAAACCCTAAGCCCATGTTGCGAAAGCGATAGCAATTGTTTGCTCGAACTTGGCTTTCTTGGTAACTTGATGCCACCATGAGCGGTCGGTCACCTCGTCGCGATGGTTGTGGTGGTCGGCGAAGCATCACAACTACACGGCACACACAGCCACTTCTCCCTCTTCTCTCGCCTTTCTTTTTTTTTTTTAATCCATGGGCTCTTTGCCTATCCCCACAGATGCAGGGACTCTCCCGGCCCAAGCTTTTCTGACCATCGCATATCTTCCAATCAGCTGGCAGGAACGTGCTGTCGGGAGTATGTGTGGGGCCTGACTTTGCGCGAAAGACGTCAGCCACAGCTATTCCGCATCAGGAGGCTATCCTCGAGGGACAGGTCTTCACTCCGACTTGTCAGAAAAGGATTGTCCGCTGCATGCCGTCACAGGGTGTCACTATTGATTTGAGTTTCACAAAATGACGATGGACCATTGCTAGAGTGAGGAAAATGAGCCTGCCATTCGGCCCTTGACCCAGATTCATCTGCCTGTCAGACCCGGGCAGGCTTTTGACTTGCAGCAGAGAGAGACAGGCACGCCTCCTCAGACTGGGGGTTCTGAACCACCCCTATGGCAAATTGTGATGAATCACGGGAGAAGCTTGATGCTGGCTCTTCAAGGACCTGCTGCGAAGAGTTGCGCGTGCACGCTGTTAGGGTGAGTTGCAAAATCTCAACAGCGGGTTTGCACATATTCGATTGGCAATATGTTCGAAACTACCGAGGAAAACTAATCCGAGTGTAGCCCGGGTAAACGAAGCTTCTTTTTTCGGAACAAGCTTCTCGTACCCGGGGAGCGGACGAGCTTCGCGGGGTGTTGTTTTGGAGTGCGTGGGTCTTTGTTTTAGCGCTCAAGGCTCCAGAACAGAAAACCACCTCGAGACGATGACAGACATGCAGGCGGGACCCAGGGCAGACTGCGGAGCGGAAGAGGGCCACTTCGTTGCCCGAGGCATGTTTCAAGACGGGAAGCCTGGCCCGCACGCGGCGGAGGAAGGCGACAGGGCACATGCGGCCTCGACCTGTCGGGACTCACGCGACGATGCTTGACTGACCGGTCGTGCGGATGCATCCATCCAGGCGCGTGTATGGTCTCGCAAATGAAGGGACCATCAAAACAGGTTTGAATGGGCAATAATCGCAGTGCCAATGACCAGCAACTCAGCACTTGGGAGGCATTCATCTAGTGCAACCACTGACAACTCACAGCGGCTCATTAGTCCACCTGCGCGGCCCGACGAATGCTTGGAAATGGCACGCGCTGCCCAACTGGACCATTTCCGCAACGAGACAAGCAAATACAAACAAGATGCTGACTGTGCACGGAAAAGGCTTGGTGAGTGTCCACAGTCGACTTCGTACTCGGGAAGTATGGGCGGACAGACAGCAGGAATCTCATCGCACAACAGTGGTGAGAGTACGACACTCGGTTCTGCATGAATATTGGAATAGCAATGACGAATTGTCAGCGTCGACACAAATACCTATCGCAGCAGCAGCACTGCAGTCACCCTGTTGATGAGCCTCTTTTGCAAGTGTGGTGATATGATCCTGAGAGGGTTAAGGGAGATGACACCATACGGTAGCCGGAAGAAGGGTAGTGCGATAAGGCTGTGCACTTATTTCGGGAATGTCAAGCCTGTGCCATTACTAGGTGGGTGGTCCAATAATGCCGGTAAAACCCCAGTCACAGCGACTGTTGGTGCTCGGGACAACAGACCTCCCGGCGCATACTGCTCGAAGGGTGGCCCTCGTATGGTGGGCTGTACAGCACACACACACTCGCTCGACATCAAGTGCCACCTGATTGCCTACTACTGACGTCCATGATGCTCACCTATGTGATAGGAGGCATGCTCGATTCCTGACCGCCAGGCACGGCCAGTAATAGCCGTGTGTTGCTGCATGGCCCCTTCGTGTGGACTGCATGCACTAGAATTTGGCTGGTGCCTATCCCGCAGATTCGCAGCACAGCGCAATTGACATGCATCATGATCGATCACGGAAACAAAAATAGCAAGAATATGACATGACAGTTAGGGTAGTGCCGTCCGAAAACCTTCGACCTTGCAGCGGCTGCCTCTGGAAAATCAGGGCACTGCGGCAGTACGAATCAATGGGGTGGGCGACGTTTCAGGGGCTTGTCCTTGTCGACCCAGGCCCGAAGCGATCTGGATCGTCACCCACGAAGGTGCTTGTGACCTCACCAGCCCTGACCCTGATCCCCACCGACTGTCGGTGCCGAGCCCGACCAGGGCTCGGAAGAGATGGGAGCCAGATTGATAGTGCGCTCTTGGCCTTGTCGCTCAGATGACTGGCTGACGCTATTGGGCAAAACCCGCGACAGCCCTGACCTGGGACAAACCTACAAGGTGATATGTGGCAGATGGGAGACCCATTCTATATCACTGCCCATGTATGGCTTATATTCCGCAATCGGGCATCGTCGCGGCCTCGACTTGTGATTAAGCTTCGGGGAGGTGCCGGCGAGTGCGACACTACATCACGTCTCCACGGCCCAGAACCAGGGCGCTGGGAAGAAGACGGACGGGGATCACAGACTCCCGTGCACTTTGACGCGGCGTGGCCCCAAAAAAAGGAGGTGTTAGGGGTGTGGAGGGGGGGACATGAGATTGTCTACCTACTGTTACTGTCTTCCTGCGCAGTAATAGTGTCATGATGACTTGGGCTCCCAGTGCGTGGCAGATGCGATCAGAGGACACACTCAATTTTACGAACAGGCATGATCCTGATGTGTCTGTGCAAAGACCGGTGGGTGGGTACAGCAATCAATCATCTGGCTGCTTTGTATACAGAGGAATAAGAAACGAGAGACATGCGGTGAAAGGCCAGGCAATTTTGGCTTGCGGTCACAACATTCAGTAACCAACCGACCCAGGCAACCTAACGCTTGGGACCTTGGAACAAACGATTGCACAGCGATCAGACTAGTACCAAGGGTAAGTTCTTTGGTCAAGCACAACGGCAGCAGCGATAGGTGGCCGAGCGCGAGCAGTCCAACGTCGACCACCACACCACGGGTTGATGCCACCGCCCAGAAGGGTCTTGGTGGAGGATGTGCGGGACGTACTATTTCCCAAGACCGCAGGCCCTGCGTACCAGCAGCAAGTAAGCATGCGCCGTGGATCGCAAGATGCTCTACTCATATGCATGTCTCAGTCAGAATATAACGGGATCTCCATGCCTGTCTTGGACCAGAAATCTTGGAAATGTCTCGCTTGCCCCCATCCCCGTCCCCGCAGCCGCTATGTCGTTTCCGGAGAGGTTGCTCGACGGAGGTGGGAGAAAAAGAGAGTTCAGATCACCCACAGTCTCTGCCCTCCTCGTGTTTCCCAGCCCGTGGAGGGCCAACCCTGGAAGGCTGCAGAGACAACAACTCGGCCGCCTGGGGCTAGAGAGACATGACAGACCAAACAGAACGGGACAGGGCAGGGCAGGACGGAACTAACCAGCCCAGCCCAAGCCTAAGCCCGAGCTAAACTATGCCAGGACCGGGGGCGTGGGTGGGCAGCGCGGGCGGGCGGTCGGTGGGCAGCAAGCCAGGCAAAGCGGGCGGGCGGGAGCGACGGCCAGAGGAAGGACTGGGGGAGGCTGTGACTTCAAAATAGCGGGTTCCTCAAGGTCCCATCCTTGTATGCGACAGATGACGCCGTCACCTTTCGCTTGCGACCTGGACTGCCTGGCATTATTGTGCTCTGTCTGTGCTGTGTTTGTCGACGTAGTAGTGGTGAGAGAAAGAGGACTCCGATCCCTGGGGATGGAACAAATAGTGTAGTATCTAGTCTATGCCTTTACTGTAGTCTACATAAGCTTAGAGACTCTGGATCCAAGCATTGCTGGGACCCTTTCCGAGATTCCCGCAGACAGACTATCATCATTTAACGGTCAGTAGTAGGGGTCGTATCTGCATTGAAGCTTCAGCAGCCGGGAGCCAGCCTGCCAGCTAGGCAAAATACTTACAACTAGTCACGATCGTTCAGAAGCAAATGTGCAAAAATACCCTACTCCAGATCGTTGGACGCCAGATACAAGTGTCTGGTCGCTAGGACATCCCATCTGCTCGGCCGGGTCTGTTCGTCAGGAGAAGGCTCAGGGGGACGCACCTCCTAGTGCCAAGGAGAGGAAAAAGCATCAGCGGACGGCGGGCGAGTGAGCAGAGCAGGCCCCAGACGCCCGCCCACATAAGCGAGGCCCTGGGAGGCAAGGTACATAAGCAGGCAGCGGAAACTGCATACACAGTGGACACGGTTGATATTGTAATCAATCAGTCCAAAAATTGCAGGGCGAGCGAACGAGACGGACACCCGGAAAGAGGATGACAAACAGGAGATACATGACCAGATACCTGAAATACACATGTCGCAAGTAGTTTAGCCTGGCAGAGAGGAAGAGGCCCTTTTGTCCCAGGAGAATGGGCTCGGTCCACATGGAACACGACCGCAATTACCGCAGAAACGAACAGGACCAACATCACCAGCATCATATCTCATCTCATCTCATCTCATCACATCACACACACTCACCAAAGAAGTACAGCACGCTATGGCGCAGTCTACCGTGGTCTATTGAGAGTAGAAGTTACATGGCATGCATACTATGCCATGCTATTCTGCGCATATTGCCAGCGGCAGCATCAGAGTCGGGGGGCGGTTGCGCGTTCGTCTTGTCCGCCAAGCTCTGTGGTGCACACCACATAGCATGGCATAGCCATGGTCCCAGTGTGTCTCCCTGCGCGTCTCCGAAAGTAAAAAAGGCACACACGGCCCCTCTGAAGGATCGGTACCCGCAGCGCATTGCATCTGTTTACCACGAGGCTTTGAGATGGTGGAATCCTTCGACTATGCATCAGTGGGATCGCCATGGTACCAGAAAGAATGCTACCGCACTGACTCCGACCCGTGGGCATTTCTCCCATCATTCCCCGGGGGCCTGCCCTTTCCAAGGGTGTCACGCTGAAGGGGGAAGGGTACTTTTGCCAAAGCAACTCTGGCGAGCCTGGACGGGGTCGAGGTTACTGCCCAAGTGGGATAGCCCCGTAGGCAGCAGTAAACCGTACATAGATAGATGCGACGCCTATTTTGGTAAGAAAGTCCACTGCAAAATGGTGCGTCCCACAGCCCACAACCCACAGCCTTGGGCACACCTGCACTTCACCGGGGGTGGAAGAATTCTCATCAGAAGATCGAGACAGGCAAACAGGGATAGAGACACAGACAGAGACTTGAGAGAGACTTTGAGAGACTGCGAGACTGGGAGGGGGAGAGAGCGGGAAGGACGGGGCGCGGAATTTGCTTTGCTCTACTGTGTGGTGTTGTTGACACAGCACAGTACAGTCAGTAGACAGACACTGACAGACAATGACAGACAGTCCTACAGACAGACCTACAGTAGGTACGGTACTTCCTGTCGGCGTGGGTGGGCCAGGCTGGGCTGGCTGGCTGGCCGGGCAAGGCCAGGGCAGGGCACCCTCTCTGCCTCTGCCCTCTGCACGCAAAAGACCCCTGCTCAGTGCCATCGATGGCTTCCACCCCTCCCAGCCCTCTCTCTCCTTGCCCCAGTGCTGCCCTCCTGCCCTCCTGCCCTCTCGTCCCACGCCCAGCACCATCGAGCGACCGGGCGACCAGCGATGCCCGGGGACCCCCTGGCACAGATGCAGCCCTCCCACACCAAATGCTGACATGGGTGCTGGCCGGGGTCAGGGGGCCAGGGGGGGGGGAGGGAGGAGCGCAGGAGGTACGTACTCTTTTCCCTACCGGTCCGCAGCACAGCATGGTACGGGTACAGGTACCATGTATCTTTTTGCTTCGCCTCTGGCCCTACCAGATCCAATATGGAGCCCATCGACCCAAGCCTTCTTCCAACCCGCCAGACCACGTAAAACACCACGCCGTCTATATCAACCCCGAGGGCCCCCAACCCATCTTATCCCAGCTGACTCCCCTTTCGCCCTCATGTTCCCCAGACATTCCTGAGATATCCCACGGCCCTGCTACGTCCATCTCCAAGGTTTCAAACCTCGTCAACGAGTATCCACGGCCACCAACACCGCCTACCCACATATACGCCCACCGCCTCCCCTGGCACCCGGACAGACAGACCCTCTCACCTGCGCCTGACCCTCACCAGTCCGGGACATATCGAAGTGCGCGACAGCTCAGCACAGCACGCGCAAAGAAGATCAAGGCATTTCATCGAACAGTTTGAAGAGCTAGGCACAAAACCATTACAGCCCGGCTCCGAACTCGTAAATCGCCCTGTCCAGCCCGTCACCCACCAGCGCTTTCTCACCGGTAGTCGATCGCTATCCGCGGACATAAAAAGACGACAAGTCCTTATGACCGCCTGAATTTGTTTCGAATCTCTCTCTCTGGGACTCGCAAACTCTTCCCACCTCCCACTCCAGCTCCTTCCAGTCGGAATCTGACCGTCTGGTATGAGCTAAACATCTGCAAGTAAGGCTTACGCCTCGTCGCCATGTGAGACAAGAGCTGTCTTGACTGACTCCGTCGCCGTAGCTTGAGCTCCGCCGCCTCTCTTTCTCTCTGACCTGACTTCTTTGACGAAGTCGTTGTGAGATCGGCCTAGTTGTATTCTGTCCCCAAACACCATGGTATCCCTCGAGCATCACACATTCGCCATGTTGCCCAGACACATGAGCGAGGAGCAGGAGCACCTAAGCTCCATTTACCCTGACCCACCGCAAGGCGCCTTTTCTGCTGCCGGCATGGACCTGGGCCTTACTTCTGACGTCTACTTCCCACGCCTCGGCCAAGAATTTCCCCCTACCATGAACGGCTTCGACCATCACATGCCATATGCCGCCGAAGGCGCCGCTGGCTGGACATATGGTGGTCGCATGTCACCGCCCATCTTCCAGGAAGACCGAGAGTTGGGAATCCCCTCAAACATGTCGACCGCTTCCGCCCCATCAGCACCCTCCTCAGCAGTCGGCTCACCGCAATCGACCCATGGCCAACCGGCACCAGTACCCGAGTGGGCTGGCCCTCAGGGCGTTGCCCTGAGCCCCGGCATTGTCGGCTCTCACGAGTACTTCACCGGATCCGAGTACAACAGCTACGCACCACAAGGTATGGAGGATCTCGCACCTTTTGCATTTGCAGACACTTCAAAGCCACCCGGATTTGTTGGTGAGTCACCACAGACTTCTAGACCTGTTGCTCCTGAGCATCTCCAGCAAGAACAACACAGTTCTGGTCCTCCTGTCTCTCCTTCCGTGTCTTGCCAATCACCACCATGTACTGTACTCGCCGAGCCTTGGTCTGCGGTCGATGCTTGTTCTGTCGCTTCGCATGCGCAGACATCAAGTTCGCCAATTTCCCCTCAGTTGTCCAGAAAATCCAGTGTCTTCACATCTCCTGATTCTGCCACTCCGTTTTCTTCTCCCACAGCGGCTGGCTGGACAAGCCCGACAACGCCTCAAGTGGCCTCTTCTTTCTTTTCTCAATCTAGTGGTCATTTTATTGCTCCTCTCGGGTCTTCTTGTTGGTTTCCTTACTCAAATCTTCAGTCCTCCGAAAAGGCACGTTACTGACTTTGAACTTTTCCATTAGACCCAAGCTTGATCCACCACGAGATCAGCCGGCCGCTCATGCCACCTTACGACGCTGGTTTCCAGCAAAACTCATCCGCGTACCCCAACTCGCCCGCTCTCACTGCGTCATCACCACACCTGAGGACAGGTAGCCAAAGCCCGTTTATGCCACAGAATGCTGGGTACCACTATTCCCCTTACCAAGCACCAATCGACCAGGGCCGACGGCCCAGTCTTGTTTCGTACCAATCCGGCCATTCTGGAGCGTTCAGCGACAGTGACTCCAAGGAGAAACAACGATGCCCGCATCCCGACTGCGGGAAGACCTTCAAGGACCTCAAGGCCCACATGTTGACTCACCAGACGGAGCGCCCTGAAAAGTGCCCCATCACGACATGCGAGTACCACATTAAGGGCTTTGCCAGGAAATACGACAAGAACCGCCACACACTCACCCATTACAAAGGCACCATGGTGTGTGGTTTCTGCCCAGGATCCGGCTCCGCAGCGGAGAAGTCCTTTAACAGGGCAGATGTGTTCAAGAGGCACTTGACGGCGGTGCACGGCGTAGAGCAGACGCCGCCCAACAGCCGCAAGAACAAGAACGGTAGCTCTACTTCAGCGTCCACGGGCAAGAAACCGGGGCCGGGCTACGCACCCGATGCCACCGGTAAGTGTTCGACATGTTCGCAGACATTCAGCAACGCACAGGACTTCTACGAGCATTTGGACGATTGTGTGCTGCGCATTGTCCAGCAAGAAGACCCCGCAGAGGCGGTCAACGCGAGGAGGCTCGCGGAGGTTGAGAACGACCGGGAGGTGCACGCCACCCTGGAGAAGAACAACCTGCCGACCACGACTCAAACGATGATGACGGATGATGAGGACGACGAGGAGATGATGGAAGAAGAGGAGGGCCAGTTCCTCGATGAGCAAAACCTGATGGCGCTTGGCGTCAAGACCTCAGCATCGCCCACCAAGAAGTCCAAGGGCAACCCAGCCAATGGCGTGCAAAAGTCTCGGGGCCTCACACATTCTCGTGGTGGTGTCTCGATTTCAAAATCCAATGCCAGCAACCGGGCGCGCAAGCACCGCCGGGAGTACCCATCATCGTGGGGTTTCGACAAGGGCCAGATGACGATGAAGAAGCGGGTGATGGCCGTCTTTGACGGGCCCCGCCGACTGGCCAAGGATGACATGATGCTCTCCACCGAGCGCGAAGTCCGCGTGCCATTGGCAGATGGAAAGTCCTACGTCACCGACCTGGACGTCCAGACCATGAAGAGGGCCGAGGGTTTCCTGAATGCCACCGAGGAGGAGAAGGGTATCTGGATCTCAGACGACCCAACGGAAGACGACATCAAGGCTATGCTGGATGCTCAGATGCAATGAGCCAGCCACCTTGATATGATCCGTCCTCCCTACGACTTATACAGATTCGGGATGCCGGACAGACCCGATACACAAGAGAATTTCGATACCCACTCTCATCACTCCTCATAAAGAAGCATTCTTATGCGCGGGAAATGATTTTGTATTTCTGGAGAGCGAGCAAGTAAAAGCGTTTTTTGTTTTCTTTCTTTTCAGCGTCTCTCTCTCTTGGGGGATGGCAGAATGGGGCGGGCTGGCATGTTCTCTCGGAGCGAGAAGATAGGGGGGAAAAGTGGGGGGGCCTTGCACATTATGGACCATTCTTCATACTACTACTTCTTCTTCTTCCACTACCTACTACTACTACATGCGCCATATGGCTGCGACGATACCCGGGTATATGGTTGTTTATTTTGGGAAAGGGGGCTTCATGTTTTGGCCCCTCCTGTGTCTGGCTTGGGTCGGGAATGCGCGGAGTTCAGTTGGATTGTATCGGTGTGGGGATCAATCACTGCTTTATGACCTACGCTGCCTTTTGGAATATAGGCTAGGGCGCGCGTGATGGGTGTAATACTCGTTGAATCCAAAAAGCTCCTTGACTGCAATGACTGTTCCTTTCCCCTGCTTCTGTGATGACTCCTGCTGGTCTATGAATTAACTCGCCCTGTTGCTAAATGTGCTCCTGGCGAGTGCGTGTGGAACCGCACCAAGTCAGGCCAGTGGATGTGAATGAAACCTGTAGGATCATTGTACCACGTGCGCAGTCACTGTAGTGGTTGCGTATGGTCTCAACCAGAAACGTCCAGGCGCATTCACAATTAAAGAGCTTGGATACCTAGGTACAACTAGCTTAAGCTCGGGTATCTGCTTCGTGGCCACAGTATCTCTGTGATGAATTCGTAAAAGAAAAGGTGGGAATCATAAGTTGCTCAGTCGTAGGACAACAGCTGCAGAATGATATCTTATGGGATAACCTTCCTTGGGATAATTTGCCTCGATATAATCTCTTGTACAGCACTTTGCTTTTGAAACATATTCTTTACGGAGAGTTAAGTACTGTAGGGGTGTCCGCGATGTCATTCTCACATTTTATTTGCGTGTGGCGGTATCAATCCAGTAGTGTATGTGAAGAATTTAGATACCTATGCGTGTAGGTACAAAGCAAGACCAAGATGAAGACGAAGTCGGTTGCCCTTGCTGACTGTCGGCGCACGGACCACATACCCACCTCAGCGCCTGGCCCAGAAAGCCCGAGGCTTAGGTTGGTAATTGAATGATGGCCGGCCGGCCTTCCGCTCAGCTCACTGCACTTATACACTTCAACGTGGCATCAAGCTGTAGGACATCCCACAGCACGCCATCCTTCTCGCCAGCTGCGTCGCCAACTACCTCGCATCCCGACTGCCACTATGGGCACTTGATCGAAGTGACTGTGGCCTCTTTTGATTTCCCTTATCAGGACGACGCAATCATTCTTTCAAAGCCCGGGGGAGAATCGTCAAGATGCGCTTGGCCATGTACGCCGGGGTATGTCCACCCCAGCTCCAGCTCCAGCTCAAGCTCCGACTCTGCTCGAGCTCCCCTCCTCCGGACGCATTCCCCTCCCATCATGTTGCACGCCTGCCGACCTGGTTTTCTGACCCAGAATCTATGGAAGCCATCGTGGTGTAGCAGCTGAGTGCTGGTCGCGAGAAGGGCTCGAAGCTAACATGACTGGTTTGAATAGGCCTCGGCGGCCCTCGCCGCCACGGTTGTCACGTCCGCCTTTTACCAGCGCGCCAACTTCTACTCTGCGATGGTCTATCTATCGCAAAGTAACCTTTGCTTGATGGTGAGTTGAGGTCCTCATCCCAGCAAACGCGTCCTCATCGGGGCACGCGACCACCGCCGATGGCCGGCTAACACTGATCGCCACCCTAACAGATCCTCGTCAACCTCGTCTTCCTCGTCTACGGCTCCTTCATGTACGGCCTCCAGCGCCTGTGCTTCGGAGCGCTCCGCCCCGTCGAAGTCGAACAGCTCTACGAGAAGGCCTGGTTCGCAATCACCGAGACGTGCCTCGCTATGACCGTGTTCCGCGAGGAGGTCGGCGCCTTCTTCATCGTCATGTTCACCGCCCTTATCACGGGCAAGGTCTGGGGCTGGATCGGCGAGGGCCGCGTCGAGGTCTTCGAGCAGCAACCGCCTGCGAACCCCCGCCTCTTCCACGCCCGGCTCGTCGTGTCGCTGCTCTCGAGCATCATATACAACGCATGGCTGCTTAGCTACTCGATCAATACGGTTATCGTGCAGGCGAAGCCGACGATGATGGTTATGTTCTTGTTCGAATTCGCCGTTCTGGCGGTCGGGTCGCTGCACACCGGGCTGCGTTATGTTATCTCCCTGGTTGAGGCAAGTGTTATTAAGAGGCAGACCGCTCAGAGGTTGGAGCAACGAAGGCGAGAGGTCAGAGAGCAGAGAGCAGAGATTTTGCGGAGAAGAGAAGCTGGGGAGGCGGCCGAAGATAACGAGGTACTGCCGGACGAGGACGACATCGACGAGATGGATATTGAGGTTCCGGGCTGGGATACGAAGGGCCAGTGGATTCTGTTCCTGGATCTCTTCGCTGGTGAGTCCGAGTACTGTCCATCAGTTTTAAAACCTTTTCTAACATGGTAACAGATTTGCTCAAGCTCTCAGTCTACACAGCATTCTTCTGCGTGTTGCTTGTCTTTTACGGTCTACCGATTCACATCATGAGGGATCTCTTTATGACAACCAGAAGCTTCGTCAAGCGACTCACAGCCCTACTGAGATACAAGCAGGCCCTGAGGGACATGAATCGATATCCAGATGCGACGGCGGAAGACCTGGGACGCGAAGACACTTGCATCATTTGCCGAGAGGAGATGCGTCCATGGGACCCGAACGGCGGACAAGTGGAGAGGACCCGACCAAAGAAACTTCCATGTGGCCATATTCTACACTTCGGATGTCTCAAGAGCTGGTTGGAAAGACAACAAGTGTGCCCAACCTGTCGAAGCTCTGTGGTGGTTGAACAGCCACCGAGAAATGGACAATACCGCCCCCGAATGGCGTTTCACATACAACCAAATCTACCGGGCGGACAGAATCAGCCCGCACAAGCGAATGGTCAAGCACCCGGCGCGCAGGATGCGCAGCTAAATGGGCAGGCCGGACAAGGCGGTCAACAACCTCTAAACCCAAGAGCAGCCATGCGATATATCAACCTCGGTCCAATAAGATTGGGCTTCGCCCAGGGTGGGCAAGAGGTGGCAGAGCTGGCGAACCGAATGGGTGTCGATCTAAATGGGCCCAATGCTCAAGCGGCAGCACAAGCGAATATTCCCCCGACAAATCCTGCGGATCTCTCGACAATGGAGGCTGTCCGGAATAGGTTGCTGGAAGTCGACCAGAGAATCCAGCAGGAAGTTCGTGACATACAGCAAGGCATACAGAATGTCCACATGGCCCAGCACGAGCTCCAGCTGATTAACTTGATGCTGGCTGAACTCGCACGTATACGGCAGCTCAACCTGGGCCAGCAACAACCCCCGGCCCAGCCTGGCCAGCCCACACCTACTCCTAATGCCGCCACTGCGCCAGCTGGTGGTGTACCTCCTCCCCAACCTCCAGGTGGGGTGCAGATACCGACGCCGCATGTATACCCTGCTGGCCAAATTCCCCTCCCGACGATGCCTCAAGCCTCGAACCCCTTTATCCCCAGGATGAACTCACCCACTGTTACCCGCCACGGAGCTGTTCCACAAACAACAGCCATTCCCTCTGGCAGCGCGGACCTTCCTGAGGGTGTTGTGATACCACCAGGGTGGTCCCTAATGCCTCTTCAACGCCTTGACGGCGGCGCGATTCCAGCAAATGGAATCCAAGCGCATGGTGGTCTCACACCCAACACCCAGCCAGAAGGGGCTGCGCAAGCTGGTAGTGGCCAGGCAAATGGGGCCATACCAGCCCAGTCGTCTAGCAGCACTACCGGAACGGCCGCTGGCGCTAATGGAGGTACAAACTCTGAGGAGGTCCACAGCACAGATTCTCAACACGCGTCTCGCGAATCAAGATCCGAGGCGCCCCAAGTCGCCGCGCCAACGCCGGTGACGCCAGTCTGGGGCGGGTCAGCGCAGCTCTTTGGTGGCGGTGGCAGTGGTAGATTGCCATTTGGGCTAGAAGCGCCTGGCTCGAGCCGGTCCACCTCCCAGACCCGTGATGGAGAGAACAGCAGCAACCGGGAGATTGGCGACCAGGGAGCGAGTGGTTCCAGCGAGCCGGGCAGGTCAGCTGCTCCGCCAGCGGCCGAGGAGCAGGAGGATGCCTCGTCAACCGCCAAGGGCAAGGCGCCTGCTGCTAGCGTCGAGGATGCCGAGGACTGAGGCATTGGGGGTTTCTAATTGGGGCTTGTCGCTTTTCTTGTAGCACTTATTGATAGCGAGACATACGGAGATACCAAATCATGGAAATCAGTTTTTCAACTGACGCAAGGAAAAGTCCTCTCTCACTATGATTTGCAGTCTGCAAAGCGGGCGGCGTATTTCGGCTTTTGTACTTTATTGCCTACACCAAGTCTGGACGACTAAATTGCTATTGCAAATTGTGAGGCTACTTATTCACCCAGAAACAGGCGTGACTGTTTTGTACGTGATGCGCCAGGGAGCGATGGGTTGTCCTGGTGAAGAGTCTTGAGACGAATTTCTCTGGGAAATTCTCTTCGCAGACAGTCCAATCCGCGTATACTTTCAGACTACTCCCCGGACGCGTTTTGGACCCTTAGCTGCATCGTGTCGACTCTGCCGATTGACTCGTTCGGAGGCTTATCCCCGAGATCGACGTCTGGACGAAGCCGGGGAGAAGTGATCGCCGGCCCATTCAGATAGCGAGTGACGGGACGCGCATCTATTCCGAAGACGTCGAGGGCGACGTTGAAACAAGGTTAAGCGTCGGTCCGTCCCGCTGGGCTCAGGGCCGCCCTGCACTATATCATCTAGGTATTGAGGGACTGCTGGCCGTCGCAAAACCTCCAAACTGCTTTGCGGAAATGACTGTGCGGCATGTTATGCCGATCCTGCTAAGCGGCATGAATCTGCCTACGTATATGATGTAGGTGCTTGGTCTCGAGGCTGATTGCGGTCATTATCGCCGGTCAAGCCGAGAGATCCGTTGCTTTTCTTTTCCCACTCGATGATCAACGCGGATCGAACTAGGCGGCAAGCTAGGGGAGGGTGTATGTGTATGGTACAGAACGACGTGTCTCCGAGCAGCCATGCAAGTGTACTATGAAAATGGTACCTTCGGGTTAAGGACATAGAGTACCAACGAGGGAGCACCCACCGCTAGGTTTCGCGAAACCTCATCTACTGCCGCAATCGATTCGAGATGTGATCTTACCAGAGGGAATCTGATCCGAGGCGGATTCAGTCTTCCACACAGGCTAACTGTCTCTATTACCACGGTGCCGATGGAAGAACCGGAGACGTCTCGGAAGCATGCCGATACATGCCTGTGACCCACACACTCGGAGTCAGACACCGGTGTCATGTCAGGGGCAGCTGCTTTCCCGTCCCTGATCAGACGCGAAGAACCTCTTGGGTGAGCGAGCAACTGCGAAACGTCAGCTTTGCCACTTCTATGCGTTCTTGGGGAACATGATTTGTTTTGTGATCCCCGCATCAATATTAAATATGCCTCCCATCTGCCATAACATTCCAGTGGGTCTCGGAAGAGTGAGGCGTCCCGCGAAATAAGAATGAGTCGGTGAGAAGTCTAGCCCGCCATTTCAACGTCTTCGCCGCCCGCATGCCTCTTGCTCTCAGCCCGATGTTTCATCTTCACTGTGGCGTCGTCCACCCACTTCTTATACGCGTCCTCACCGCCCTCCTTCAACTTCGAGGCTACTACGCCCTTCAGAACCTCTCCAGCAAAACCCACAAAGTTGTGCCGCCTGAGAGCATTCTCGAAGCGCCAATCCCTCCGCTTTCTCTCCTCTCGCTCTAGCAGCTCGTGGTCTCCAATTTCCTTCGCCCGGATCCGCAGGTCACGAACCATCGCCAGCAGGTTAAACCGGATCTCGGTCGCGTCGTACCGGCTCACCCTCCGCTGTAGCACCTCCATCACCTTGGTCGGGAACTCCTCCTGCGTGCAGGCGCCGTGGCTGATCGGCGCGGGCTGCAGGCCGTCCATCTCGTACAGGGTGCCGCCGATCGGCGTGTAGGCCACGAAGTGGTAGACGTCCTCGGGCTCGCCGGTCGTCCGCTGCGTCTCGTCCGCGAAGGGGCTGCTCTTCGCGAACGAGTTGTGCACGTCGCGGATCAGCTCGCTGTTGGACAGGGCCTCGCCCCTAAACTCGGGCGGCAGCGCCATCGTGAAGTCGCGGAACTCGCGCAGCTTCTCGCCGATCTCGATGTGGCCCGCCTCCCCCTCGGATGACTTGCTGTCCTGCTTGTTCATGAGCACTGACAGGAGCGCCTGGGTCCCGCACGCGTTCTGGATCGTCTGCGCGGCGAAGAAGAGGCGCTCGGCGGCGTCGTGGTCGAACGTGCCCTCGTGGGGCTTCTCGGCGGAGGTGTAGGGTGTGTCGGTCGGGTATTTGAAGAGGAAGATTACGCCGTAGACGGGGTGCAGCTGCGCAAGTGAGTCGGGGTCCATTGTTATGAGCTCCTCAAACTGCACATTTTTCACGCCGAGGTTGTCCAGGAGGTATGTGAAGACGCCCTTGTGCGTGTCAGCGTGTACTTCGAGCAGATGATCCCGCTTAGAGGGAGGGCATTTCAGGGCCTAGTGGTAGCTGCTGGGTGGCAGCTTGGCTGCTGAGAACATACCGCATCGGACTCGACTAGAACCAATTAGCGAACTGAAGCTTCACTATTGACAGTGGCCCCTCAAGGCCAAGCGAGATACTCACTAGTATTCCAACCACCACTCATTTTGACGGTGTGGCAGGCGCCCTGCAAGAAGACGCAATTCCAGTTCCTGGGCGACGGTTCAGCAGCCTGTCAAGGGATGATTGATTTACACCGAAAGCTGACGAATCTCCAGTCGATAAAGTTATTTCCGAAAATGGTGGCCTTGCAAGTACAGAGCCTAGGATTTGTTGATTGCGCCGTGGTTAAAGGTCATTTTGCAGAGCTTCTCGTAGAGTTCGGTGGGGAGCTCTCTGATGACGTTGAGAGGCCTTGGGCTTACGTTGACAGGGGGTACTCTCCACATCCCCTTATCTTCGATAAGTTTTGTACCCATGTATCGAAAGCCTTAAGCAACCTACCTACGACTTCAAATACATGTTCTCCCTCACTGATTCGGCACCAATCAATGTAGTCACATACTCCCTTCTCACCAACGTGCGTATCGGTAACCATTTGATGTTACGATGGACTCGAGCATAAGTGCTAAACACAACGGAGATTCGGCTGTCTACTTAGTCAGGCATGGTCCCAGAGACGGGAGTTGTTGTCCGATCCCCCAAGATGGCATCAATTTATTCCAGTAACTTTTTGGTTTATACATCCGAGACCTCTCAACAAAGCCTTAGTGTTTTGGAACTTAGCTATTCCGTAGACATTGAACCTCGAGTCCATCTGAAAAGCTCCCGAAACCAATGTCGAATTGGAGCCCTATCCAACCAAAAGGCCAGTAACCTCGAATCATGTCTTCTGATATGGAATTTATGCAACCCAATGAGACACTCAAGCACTCGAAACCTCAAATTCTACAGGAGTATACAAATACAATTTCTGTTTTCAAGCACTCAGCTTCGATATTTCATCCACTACGGACCCTTCATGTCCTGAATTCTCATGTGCTGAGTAGTCCAAAAGGATGGGATGGATACACAGGCACCTGGATTGGTTTTCCTTTGGCGTCAAAATTTCATAAGCCCATCATGACTAGCCGTAATAGTCTAGGGTTCAGTGTAATGTCTCCAAAAAAGGCCAGGAAATGTGTATACATGGCCTGTTTCATTGCGTCAACCTTCATTGTAGTCCGCCAAATATAATCTAAGAAAAACTTTGCCGGGCCTTGTTAACTTGACAGCCATTCATGCTTTATCATTTCAGCCGCCCTTTCCGCAACTCCATATACCGTGGCCTGTAAGTTCGCTGTTGTAACCAGCGGCATCATACTCGCATCGACAACACGCAAGCCTTGAACACCATACACACGCAGGGCACTGTCAACAACACCGCCGGCTTCCAAAGGTAGCATAGCGCACGCACCACCTGGATGCCACATGGAGTTGCTGCTCGCCTTCACGTACTTCTTTGCGTGGTCCAGATCTCCCTTCAGATCGGTGGCCGGATCACGTCGCTGCAGTGGCTGAGCGAGGAACTTGCTGGAGAGTGGCTCTGAGACGGCTATCTTCTCGATCTGGAGCATGTGCTCTGCCAGAATCTCAGTATCAAGCGGATGCGATAGGTAGGCTGGGTCAATGAGCGGTGCGGCGGTAGGGTCTGCACTGCGAATATGCACGGATCCGCGTGAAAGCGGATTGGATAGGAGCACGGCAATAGTGATGAACTTCCCAGGGATGGGACCAGTGGGCGAGTTCGGTGACCAGGACAAGTCGACGGGCAGAACTGCCTGGGCACGTAAGGCCAGGTAGGCCGCTGAAGATGCGGCCGAGTCGAGAAGGGTCTTCGATGCCAGGGAATATATTGCTTGGGCTGCGTGGTCCGCTTCAGAAGGGCGATTCTCTCGGATGAGATCGTGCAGTCTCTTCTGGCCAGGCCCATTACTGTGATCTATGACCGGTAGATACGCGTATGCTTCGATCCCGGTCGAGGTCAGAGGTCCGGATCTGTTGGTCACGTAGTCCTGCATAGCTAGGCCGACTGCCTCTGGCTCCTGTCTTGCGAGTGCGTCAAGAGTATCGAGAGAGTCGACTGCCCTGTAGCTGATACCACAGACAAGATGATCCTGTAGATTTTCTCCCACCCCTGGAAGGTCCTTGATGACTTCAATACCGTGCTTTTCGAGCAGCTTAGAGTTTCCGATGCCAGATAATTCTAGAATCTTGGGGGATTGAAAGGCACCTGCAGCGAGAATGACCTCCTTTGTAGCAGTAATGGTCTGTATTTCGCTGTGATGGCGATATCGAACGGTTTTTGCCTCGATTCCCCGGGAAGATTGTTGATCAAATAAAATCTTCTCAACGACAGCACCAGTTATAACGACGAGATTCTGCCGGTCTTTGACAGGATAATAGTAAGCAGTGGTTACATAGCTCCTCTCCCTGGTAGAAGGATCAACGCTGTTCAGATGGCTAAAGGAACCGACAGAGGCTTCGACAAAGGGATCCTTGGTCATATGCAAGCCTTTGCTTTTAAAAGTAGCAGACCAAACCTGTTGGATTGACGCCGAGGGATTTGGGGGATAAGAAGTAAGAATAGGTCCCTTTGCGGGAACATCTCCGGTTGTCCACCCATCAATACCCAGTGCTTTCTCTGTGTCGTTGTCTACAGAAGGACTGGAATAGGATTTTCTGATGTATTTCTGGAAGGTGTCCCAGTTCCAGCCTTCATTTCCAAGCAGCCCCCAAGCATCGATGAGATCCTTTGCAGGAGGAACAAACACTTGGGCATTGATGGCGCTGGAGCCTCCGAGGGCTCTGCCTTGGTTGACGCTGGCACATCTTCCCCCGAGCCCAGCCTGCCGTCAAGTTAGGTCATGATCAAGAGCTACACAGTCGAACAACTCCAGTACAGGCTGGCTGAAACGCTTACCTGTGGCTCGGTCTGGAAACCCCAGTCGGCTTCCGTCCCCAACAACGTGGTATACAAAGCCGGAGCTTTGACACGCAGATCGCCGCTGATATCCTTTCCAGCCTCTAGCACTAGAACCCGGAAATGCGAGACTTCCGAAAGACGAGTAGCCACCACAAGTCCGGCGGTTCCTCCTCCGATAATGACAAAGTCATAAGATGATGACATTTTGTGCTCTGCTTGAAGATTTTGCGACTGACTGATACAGTTGGAGGTAGTTGCTGGAATAAGAGAGTATTTCTGGAACAGTATTTGTGTAAAAAGAATCGTCTAGATGATCACTTTTACGGCACCGGAGAGTCGATATTGGAATAGATATTCCAAAGTCCAAAATGAAAATAATCGAATCGCTCGGCAGAGCGCCTCCTCTCTTATTCCACTATTTCTCGGTCTTGGGCCGTGCATACCAATTGAAAATCGCACATCTTGGTCGGCAACTTCGGACTCAATTGGTTCAGATCTATTCGGGCTCTGCCAACACGCATAAATGATTTCATCTTTGGTGTCTTGTTGCCCGTTGGCTGTAGCACGCATTGGCATATGCATGATCTCCACCTGACCCAGACATGAGGCAGGCGACTATCTACTGCGGCCGTGTGACATCCTAGTTGACGAAGCGGAGGTTCGGACTGATTCAATTTCAAAAGTCTGAAGAACTCTTTCAACCTACCTTTCGATGCGTATCGTAGAGGCCGTCTTCTTATGTAACTTGGGTACGATGAAGCGCCAGGTGCATCCATGGCCTGGATCAGTTCCGCCACAGCAGGATGCATTCCAGCTGCCGTCGCCTTAATTTGCATGTATTTTGCACATGAAGTGACAATTTATTTTGCTTAATTACAGCCACTGTTCGTCAAGCTCGATTTGAGTCAATGACAAGGCCAAAGGAAGGCTTGCTGACAGATGTCTAAGGCGAAGAACATCTGAACATCACCTGCAAGAAAGATCTGGCTCCTGAACTCGGCGGCATTCCGGATAGCTAGGAAATATGGACTCAACGCCTGCTCCGAGCTGTTTGCACATGTCTCCCCCGACAATGTCTTGCACGCACCGTGAATATGCATGCATCTCCATTGCTACGTTAAGCGAGCAAGTCACGGAGCCCAAGTTTGAGGGCACAATCAGTGATGATGGGCAGTCGGCAGTAAAGCATAATCACTTGCAAACCCAATGGAGGGAGGAGATAAATGCAAGTTGTCTCACAAACAAAGCAGTCTGCGACTGATAGTGTGTTCTATATGTACCCGAGAGTAGATCTACTAGGCCTACTCTAAAACCTATCACACTTGGATAGTGCCTATACTTTTCGGACAAGGATCTCGCCTTGCATCATCCCCAGGATGGCACCATCAGCACTAGCCCATTCCTCCCACGCAGCCGCCATTTCCTGCAGATCGTCCTCGGTAGCGAGCTTGGAACTGAGCCCAACACTGCGGAGCCGCCCCTTTTGCAGCGCGTCAACCATGCCCTGAGCTGCGTAATTCTTCAAATCAGCCGTATTCAGTAAAGAAGAGGGGAAGCATGTAAACAACAGCACCAACTCACCCCAGACCTTCCTCTCTTGGGGCTCCGAGTAACACCAAGACCCTAATCCCGGCGTCACCTGGTCTCGGGGAACTCCAGCCTGTAGCGCCCATGATAACAGCTGTCGGCCCGCCTTAGGACTTCCTCCAGCCATGCTGATAACGGCAGCCGTGAGTGTGTGAAACTTGGCCAGACCAGGAAGATCAGGCCACACACACTCGGTCTCCAGGTCGCCCTCCCGCGCCGCTACAATGCCTCCCGGCTTGGTAACACGCAGCATCTCGCGGATTGCATCAGCGGGCCGCGGGAGGTGGACGAGTACCTGGTGGCAATGAGTCACGTCGAATGTCGAGTCTTCGAAGGGCAGACGGCTGAGCACATCAGCCTCTTGGTAATCAATGTTGGTAATCCCGGCCAAGTCGGCAACGGCTTTGGCACGTGGCAGGATATCCGCCTTTATATCGGTGGCTGTGACATGTCCGTCGGGCTGGATTGCCTTAGCCAGCGTGGCGGAGATGGTGCCGGAGCCAGCACCAACATCTAGGAGTCTCAGCCTTGGGTTGGCCTTGTGGAGCTCTGCAAGTGTAGGAAGTAGATAGCCTGCGCTATTCTCTGCCGTCCTCAGCTCGTGATGTATGGCCTGTGGTGGTGGGATTCCAGATTGAGCCATAATCAAGGTGTATGATAATCTCGAAACGGAGAATTGGCTTGAGCTGGACGCTGTCAACCAAGGGTCTTGATAAGTCAGGAATTCCGAGGGATACAAAGAAATAAGGAAGGGAGCGTGGGCCTGGCGATTCTTTCGAAGCAAACGCTTTCTCGGCCGTAAAACCTCTCCCGAGATTAATGGCTTCGGCGAGTGGGCAAATCCAACAACATTACCATGCACTGTGATCAGCCGAATCGCTCTCGGTCGACCTGCTTTCGAGTGAGACACGTTCCACAAGTCAAAATACCAACTGCGTGTGAGCGAACTTGAAGAAAAAATCCTTGAAGAATGCGTCTCACTGATCAGCCTTGCAGGCCGACTCTTCCGGAACTGGTGCCTGTTGTGCTTACATACATGCAGCCACCAACTGGCAGGATGCGGCGTGGAAAGGATCGAGCATGGCGCTTGTCATCAGATGAACCATGGACTACTTGTGACGGTGTCTTACCCGGTCCGGCTCTGCGGCAGCGGCAGCTGAATTGGTAGCGCAGGGAAGCGTCGACACCAACACAGCAACCGAGCATTAATGCTGACTGCATTTGTGTCTCTAAGAGATCACCTCACACGGGTGTCGGGGCGATGTAAGTAGCAGTACTTTCAAAGAACACCTGATTCATGCAGAAGGATGCAGCAAACACGTATGTAAGGTATAATACAAAGTTGGAATCCTTCCAGACGCTATCACAAATGAGATGCAATGTCAACCAGTCAACCTACGACGCGGCTTCCGCAAGCATTGATGACGATGGAGTTGATCGGTCAGTTGAGGCAACATATAGTCGTGAAGCTAATACCCTTTTCGTCGACTTTACCCAGCGCTGGACGCGAGAAGTACAGACGCTGTTGAACAAGGGTTTCTTAAAACCACATCCGGTTCGGGAGGCCACCGATGGCGACTGCTGGGGAAATCGCATTGTCAGCGGTCTGGTAGAGCTACAGTACGGAGCGGTTAGAGGGCCGAAGTTGGCTGTTTGGGTGAATTATTATTAGAACTTTGGGCTTGGATCAGACACAGGTCGACGTCTCGCCGCCTGACCCATCATTATAATGGCTAAATTCAAGGCAAACAAAGGGGCTTTTCCAGATAGCAAAACAGCCAGGCCGCCTCATGAAATCTTCGACCATAGACTCAACAGAAGATTTTGCGCAAACGTATTAGCCAGAAGAATATGATTTGCAACAAAGTTATGTAAAGTTGGAGACTCGTGGATCCTCGGAGCCAGTAATCTTGGCTTGACGCTCACACACCAAAGACTCACTTTGAATCGCCTTGATCTGTCTTGTGTTTCATCCTATTCACCCTTCCATCTAGTCTATTGATTGCTTGAATATACAGTGTGATTTGTATCGCAGCTTGATCATCCACTGTCTCCCTCTACAGCACGCATCCTTGCCTTCGTAATGAGGAGCAGCTTTCAGACTGTTGCGTTGAAGACAGCTCCCCAGGGCGTCTGTCACGCCAAAAAAAAACAAAAAAAAAACCATATAAAACTGCACGAAGTCTAAGTATGTCTACTTCTGAGACGCAATGACCACCTGCTGTGGGATGACAACGTCCATCTCGTGGGTTTCTCTCACGCTCCCCTCTCTGTGGCCTTCGGACGGCATCGCTGAGGCTCTGTGGGCTGAGGCAGCAAACGACGTGCCGATATGCGAAGTGCGTGTGCTATCGAGATCGATCTCAGACATGGCAAATTCGTCGTGATGCTTTGCACCTTCGTCCTCTGCCCGGTGCTGTCGTCTCCGCTCGTCCTCCCAAAACTTGCCCTTACTGAAGACCCGCACGATCCATGGTTTTTCTCCGGCGGGCTTCCATGTCCAGTACTCTTTGTACTGGTAATCTTTTGGCTCGAGACTGCCGCGGCTGAGGGTCATCACTGCCCATATCATGCTATTCAGAGCTGTGTATACGAAAAGGCCACTGGGATCTCTTGTCAGCATGAAACATAAGACTTTGCGCACTAGGATACCTGGACAAGGCTCACGCGATCAGTCCGTATGCGACACTGTAGCTGAAGGGAATGAAAGCTATGGTCACGAAAGATGGAATAGCATCGCCAACATAGCGCCAGTTGACTGCAGTCACTTGGCGAATCATCAAGCATCCGACCTAAGCAGCAGAACTATCGTCAGCAACGATCCGCCTGGGTCAAGAAGTCCCGGTTCACTCACTAGTATCAAGGTACATCCCGTGGCCCATGGGGGTATCGAGGCAAATATAGGGCCAAAAAACACAGAAACCAGAAAGCACAGTCCTGTCACAATAGCTGTTAGTCCCGTCCTTCCACCTTCCGCTATACCTGCACCACTTTCAATGAAGGCCGTGACTGGCGAGCAGCCGAGAAGAGACCCAATGGAGATACACGCAGCATCAGTGCAGTAAGCTACCGTCGACCTTGGGAAGTCACCGTCTCCCTTTCGCGTCTTGTTGCAGAAGCGTGCCATGGAGTACAGCGTGGCTGTACAGTCGATGATATCCACATACAAGAACGTGAATAGCGCAAGAGCGAAGCTGGCTCCGTAATTGCCTGACAGGTCCCACTGCTGTGCGTTGAGGGTGTGGGTGATGGGATGAAAGCTGACAACTTTCTTGAAGAACTCGAAGCGTTCGTCACCTTCCACTGTGTTCGGGAAATAGGTAAAGGGAGTGCTACGGGGCCACGATAGGATCGAGACAAGAGCCACCCCAATGATAATTGCTGACTTGACCCGAAAGGCCATCAAGAAAGCCGTCAGGAGCCCACCGCACATGATTCCGAGCCACATCTTTGAGCTAGTCATGAGGTGGCTCATACAAGCGCCCGTCTTGAGGTCGAGATAGGCAGGATCGCAACCCGCAATGGCCAATGGCGTTTTGGGGTTTCCAGTGATGATGCCGATGCCCTCGGCGTACGACATTCCCACCATGGTGAGGAATAATCCAATTCCTACGCCACTTGCAGTCTTGATCGTTCCTGGGATTATCTTCACAAGCCAGTGTCGCATGCCGGTCAGAGCGAGGATAATGAAGATAAATCCCTCTACGAAGACTGCGGTCAAGGCTAGCGAGTATGGCACGGGGCCCTGGCCTCGAATGCCGACGACTTGGTAGGCGAAGTAGGCGTTAAGGCCCATACCTGGACTGCAAGCCTGGTCAACAAGGGCAGATCTCACGAAAGTAGGAACAGTAGCGACTCACGCCAATGCCACGGGCAGATTAGTGAAGAAGCCAAAGAGGATGCTGGCGAGTCCAGATAATGCCGCTGTCGCTGTTATGAGGTCCTGCTTGACCACTGCGGACGTCAACTTCATGGTATTACCCCAGATATTTCAAGCAACACATAGCCCTTACCGTTCGCGCAGGATTGGTATTCTGCTTCGTTGGCGCAAGTGTCTTTCGGACCAAATGGTGGCTGACACGTGCAAGTGCCGCCGGTTTCCGACAGTATATCTGCCTGAAGCGGATGTTAACATATTGATATAGCTCCCGAACCTCTGCAGAAAAGGAGGCACTAACATTGACGGCGATGATATATGCCATTGTGGCGAACGTCGTGAGACCGGCTCGAATTTCTGTATAGAAGCTGGCATCTTGGATCTCTTGGGGCTATATGACATATCGAAACCTTAGCTCGTCTAGTTCACTACCTCGATCTCCAGCCGGAAGGGGAGGGGAGATATCCTACATGACCACATCCACCGAGTCGAAAGACACGGCCGAACGTCGAAGTATTGACTGAAGTCTCGACGCCCCTGAGGCGGTCCAACACCCGTTCGAAGTTCCTCGCCATGAAACTCTGCCCGTACACATATTGTCGTTGGTCCTCCATTGCGTTACGAAGGTCTGTGGTCTATTGGAGCCAGAAAAATAGGCTTCGGCACCTCGTACCCCGTCAAACGCAGTCGTCAGCGTATAGTGAACGAGTGACAAGAAGACACCAAGGGAACAGAAACGAAGAGGGAAAGAGTGAGAAAAACGTGGGATGGGCTGCCGTGGTATAGTGGATTGGAAAGAAAGACATCTTTGAGACAGAGTGTTCCACGGCACCCGACTTCATATGCTCGCTGGAGAACGTTGCTAAGGGGCCTGGAAGCAGGGACTCGCTTCATTAGACTCGGAAGCATATATTACGGTGAACCCTGGACCTTCGATCTGAAGCCCGCCGTACGCACGTTGACATGCTTGTCTGTAGACGCCTTGAGCAGTTCCATGAACTTCCTGGTTCAACTAAATTGCCTCAAATGTATTGGCCTGACGAATTGCTGCGGACTTCCAAGTACTGCTGCTCCTGTTACTCTAACCCCTGGTGGATATCCGCGCTGAGATTCGGGACCCGGAAGATCAGCAGCCAGTGGCAAGGCACCTGAAGAAGAGCCGCCACTGAAAAGACGTATTTTCCCACACTAATGCTGTATGCTTGAAGCCCCGGGTGGTCCTGGGAGTACACATCGGCTCCACGGCATGATGATAGGTGGCGAGATCTGCTGGATCTTCTGCCCTGGTCATTATACTCGCACATGGCGTATCAGGGGCCCCAGCAGAAGATGATTCAGCTTTAACAGCCATCGAGGTGTCTAGGCCTGGATCCGTTGAAGCTGATGAGTCCATCCAGCCCTCGGTGGGTTCTGAGGCCCACCTAATGGCCAGACAGTCGAAATCATGTCTTGCTTTGCACATCCGTATCACCCATGGATCAGCTTGAGGCAAGCTGTCATTTTCCAGCCTCAATAAGAAGGAGTGCGGCAGTCCGACAATCCATTGGTTCAACGAAATGGACCCGGCAAGGTTAGCTATTGGCCCGTCCGACTCGAAAGCATGCAGCTGTGTCGACTCCCAGCTTCCAGTCCTGTCGTACATCTCCAAATGAATACCCTGCTTAATCGGCAATGCGCAGCTCGATATCGGGGAGAGATTCGCTTAACATGTGCTCCACAACAGGAAATTGCAATACTGCTGGATCTCTCCGTAATGCACGTTTAGGCGCGCATGCGACGTTGAACCAATTCGCGACAACAGTTACTAGTCATCTGGCAGCGGAATGGACTTACCGACGGCTCCTTGTTCGCAGATACAATTCACAAGTGTGCCGCGAACCCAGTAGCTGTGTGAATCTGGCTTATTCAATGCTTTGGCAAGGAGACGGAGGATCGCAGACCTAATGCGGCCGCCCATCCTGTCCCTCCCGAGGACCATCATGGCCCGCGCCACCTCAGCCGAGATATGAGACGGGTTTACAATGAAATGGCTAGCTACTTACCCAGACGGGAGAGATGGCGGCCATGGCCACCCGGGTGGCTGCAGAATGAGAGTGTGGGCTTCCAGCAGCGGTAGGGATCATAGGAGCGAGAGAGGAGATGATTGCATTTCAAGACTGGCTGGGCGGAAGCAGCCTCTCAACCTCCGTGGTTTACAAATCGCTGATATCGATCGCGGTATGCATTTTGTAAATTGGAAGCGAGTGATGGCATTGCACGCTCATAACCCCATTGTTGTCTTCAATAGGTAACACCGGTCCTCCGGCTGCCCGAGACTACACAAGACGTGTTACCTCTGGAGCAAAGAAATCGTCTGGACGGCTTACCCGAGCCATCCACTCACGGGCAGAGAGCAGAGAAACCAACAGGCCCGGTGTCTTGTGCCCGTTTCACACAAGTGATGTGTCCAAATCCGGGATGCAGGGTTTCGAAGCGATTTATTCCTGACTCAGAGAAGCCAGACACAAGACAGCGACGTATGAGCTTTGAGGTCTCTCTCAGTCAGCGAGATATGATTGGCGAGCATGAAGTATGATGTGGTCGATTCGATGAGGAGCGGGAAAGATCTCAAAATCACGAAACCCTTGTAGTTTCCTTTATACACCGTCCACATGAGTTTCATCACACGCCAGGGTGCTTTCTGGGAATCTGCTTTGAACACAGTCACATGGGCATGAGGCTCGACAACAAACCTCAGAACTGCGCCACTGTGCACTGATTTCTTTACCATGGAAGCTATTGTATTGTAAGACGAATTCCGATTCATACGAGACAAGCTCTTAAGAATCGGTCGGGCGTCACAACAGGTAGCTCCGGATCAAGGTCTTGCTGTAATCCGCCGCGTGCTGCTTCCATCCAGCCTGATTTATTCCTGGCCCCTGACTTCTGTAGCTGGAGAAGCGTATAGGCTTTGGTGGCTTCGGAAACCAACATAAGTGACATCCCGAGTGATGGTTCCGACTGGGACAATGCCATCCGAGCCACGAGCAAGGCTACCCTGCGCATGCTTCTCCAAGTGCGCAATGGGCGTGAGTTGATTTGTCGCGCCCCCCCCCTTTCTGTCTATACTCGAGAGATCAGATTGTGCCAAATTTCGACAACTATTGGAATCGTGGGAATTCCATGTCACTGTGATAAGGGCTCCGGTGCTTCGGGTCAAATTTGCTCAGCTCATAAGAGTCCCAGCAGGAGATTACGCGCATACTGATATGCATGCTGACCACTACTTAAGTACCGTCTACATTGGCATCCAATCAAAACTTTGGGATCTCGGGCTGCTAGCAGTAGGCTTCACCGACAAGTTCTTTAGACATGGCCTGCCAGAGGCCGTCAATCGACCTGTGTACGACTTCATAAGTGTAGACCTTGGTCTCGTCTGCCTGCCAGGGATTTCTGGCTGGTGCACGCTCTCTCCATACATTTTCTGGGTAAGTTGATGGGATATCTTCGACTTACCATTTCTCAAGACTTGAAATTGGAGGTGACTTGCGTTGCACATCTACTGCTGTCCCGGCAAAGGGAAACCCTCCACCCCCTTTCTTATTCTTTATCTCGTACGAGACTCATATGAACTGTATTCACTTGCTGTGCTAACGTCCGAACGGTCATGAAATCGGCTATAGCTGTGTGGTTGTACAGCTGTGGGCTGTTGTGGCTTCGTTAGAGTGACCACGTTCTCCCATCCCCTTCCCCATTCTTTCGTTTCCAAAAGCAGAAAATATTTTCATCGAATCGAATCGCAACGCTAGCAATAATACCTCCACCTCAGCTGTTAAGGAATCTACCAGTCGAGTTCCCTGCGGACAAAATGGAGTCCATGAGGAGACGCTAACTGGACTTCCGTGGAGTGTGTACTCAATATTCAAGGGTCGATCTGGGTCTTTCAGGGGGATGTTTGCCATCACGCCTGAGCTACCCACCTTAAGTCATCCAGAAAGTCTACAAGCGAGGGCTGCGTAACTGTTCTTTTATGTTGGAGCTGCGGGGTGCTTTGCATTACCTGATGCAATGGTCTCTGGCGATCAAGTCGCTGTAATTGACCCTTACTTCTCTCTTGTCAGTCACACAGCGCTGCTCCATGACCCTTCTCAGCTAAAGAACAGTGGAGCCTTAATTCTTCGCGTTCACTACGTACTTGTCTCCTTCTTGGTGTTTTGCGCAGATTCACTCTGCTCCAAGGGCTGATCTGGTGCGTCACTGTCAAGGACTTGCTCGTCGACCAGTGGCCTTCATACAGCCCTCAATCTTCCTGATCAAGGAACTCGCTTCTCTCAGAAAATACTCGTGCTATCTCTCACAAAGGATTCCTATGCAAATTACTGGCGTGCTCCTGGCCTACCTCGTCTGGTTGGAGCATCGAATCTGTCCTATGTCAGAAACGAGAACGACATCATCGTCAACTCAGTGAATGGTTACTCATCTCTCGCCCCCTTTCGATAGATTGTCAGTCAGATGCTGGATCATTATACTGCAATCCTTCTGTTCCCTGGGGATCTTGTGACGACCAGCAACAAGAGACCTCCCTCGATATCAAACCAGCCTCCGAGTTGTCTCCCACTCTAAACACACCTGCAGGTCCCTCAGAACCAAACGCTGAGTTTCCACAGCCCAATTCACAAACATCTTGAATTGGTCACACTGATCTCATGTTTCCCTGGCCGCCAATAAATCCTGTGCCGGAACTAACCAAATCAAGCAAAGAGCTGACATCTGTTGCATCCCAAATGGCCCATGATTAGAAGTCCGCTGCCGGCAAGATGTTCGATGTTGACTGGAGTGACCCCAATAGGGAGTCAGTTGGGGACAGGAGGGCCAGGAAACAGAGGGAAAAGGATCTCAGTGACAAGGCCAGCAGCAGAGACAATGGAGAAAAAGCCAGCAAGAAGGACGAGCAAAACAGCCAGACATCAGGCTCAGGCTCTGTCCGTAGCTCCATGTCCTCTGTGGACAAGCAGTTTGGGTTCTTTGGTGGCAAGAACCGGAAGAAGGGCCGAGTCCTGGGAAATAACAGATCGACAGCCAGCTCCTCGAATGGAGCTCCAACCATTCACGAGCTGGGGCCAACAGATGACAACACCATCGACGACACATCGAATGAGGTATCTGCAAGAGCACTGCAGGATTCTCAAGAATTTGATACAGAAGACAAACCGCATGGTATGTTTGGTAGACCTCTTTCAAGTAAGCTTCTACCTTAAGAAACAGCTCCCAAAGCTCCCAAGCCACATGGCCAAATCTGTGTTGGCCACCTGTCTGGCCTACACTGCATGTGCCTATGCAGTCATCACTTTTTGCTTTGTACACATCAAGTTCAAGTCGCTGACAGTATCCCAGGTTTCTCCGAGGCTGTCTTGAACAAGTGGAACGAGGGCCCTCCTGGAGGCTCCCTCCTTGGTTATGACATGGCGTCCCCCAAGCCAGGACTGAAATCAACACTGACCCAGGACCTTGGAGATGGAATTTCGTTCATTACCAAGATCACTGAAGTAAAGTCTACGAGTCGAGACAAGAAAGACCCTGACTACCTTGTTTCCACGGTGACGCTTTCTGTGGGACCTGCCCACGACGATCTCAAAGACTTCTCCGTCAAATCCACGTAAGTGAAGCCGCGTGACGCACTCAGGACGAAACAGGCTGATGTTGACAGTATTTTAAGCAGCTCATGGCAGCCCCCACCGCAGGTCACAGGGACCACTCACGGCCTCAAGACCGTTCCCGAGTCGCCTTCTACTTCCAACCTCGAAGACGCCCGTCATCTGATACCAATGATCACCGATATTTCCCCTACAAGCAGCCAGAACTCCGCGCTGATCGACCCGAAGCACGTACCAAAGCGCAAGCCAAAGGCCCCCTTGAGGGCGCCCGCAATCGTCCCAGCCTGTCTGCAGCACATCGGGCACCCCGACCTGTGGAAAGCCCCAGAGGTTTGGGAGTACAGCGCAAGCGAGCCGGAGGTATCTCCCACCGACGAGTCTGTGGTGCCGACTGGCTCAGAAGAGCTCAATCAGCTCGCCCTTGACCTGGCGAGCATGCAGCGCGAGGCTACTCGAATGCAGGCAGCAAGCCCTCGGGTCATCTTACTCCGTCTAAAGGAGAAATGGGCAGGCTTTGAGCTACACACGAACTTGGAAACTGAGGCCGAGAACACGCAGGAGCACATTGACATTGCCGTCGATCAGGCGCTGATGTACAAGGAGCTAGAGATGGACAGGAAGCGATGGATGCTTTCTGCGCTACATCACATGGAGACCAATTTGGATGCAACCAGCGTCATATCCAAGCCCAAGGTGAGGCCAAAGGTGCAGAAAATCCTGTCACTTTTCGATAGTCAAGGTATGTTGGCCTCTATTTCACGCCATTTATGTGTAATGCTGACTCTCGTCATCAAGCGGCCACGTCCTATCTCGCAATCTCGAACCCGAGCGTCCCCGTCTACCATCTTTCAGCAGATCCTCTACCCCACAAGCGTTATCCAAACATACACCCCATGGTCTGCCCGGCCATCTCGGCTTCCGCAGTTGGTGTGGCAACAGAAGCATTCTCAGCCGTGAATTGTCTGCCGATCGCATCCATATTGCCATCGTCGGAAATACCGAAGCTGCTCCAGAACATCTTCCGCGTCCTCGCCCCAGGCGGCTTCCTGAACATGGTCATCATCGACCCCCTTCCTAACCTCTTCTCAATGGGGCCCATCCTGAGGCAGTGGCTGGACGAGAACCTGATATTCAACCTCGAGCAGCAGTTCCGGTGCACCAATCCTAGCAGGAACTTCCCGGTCTGGCTGCAAGAGGCCGGTCTTCGGGCCAAAGGCAGCGTCATCACCACCACTCGCTTCCAGGCCATACCTCAAAGCCACACTGATGACAGTGGCGAAGGCGGCAGCGAGGGCCGCAGTAGCGGCGAGTTCGAGATGGCGACCATGAAGGAACTCCGCGCTGTGGTCGGCCGCATGCTGTGGCGGGAGATCTGGGGCCCCTTCGTGGGCGCGGACAAGTGGTGGTGGGAGGTGCCCGAGATCGTGGACGAGTGCACCGGCCGGGAAACACACTGGGAGTACAGCGTCATCGCTGCTTGCAAGGAGAGCACGGCCTGAGTGTACCTAAGAGTTCTCGGCTATTCGCCCTCTGTGCTCCCGCGACTCGATCACCATCACAGGCATGATTCTTCTGCTCGGGTACGGCATAGCTTGCGGGCGTTCTAGGATGGAATCATGGATGTTTTGGAGGAGATACCCCATGCCAATCGGCAGCTGGTTCCACTAAGAACAGGCGACGATTACATGATTGTCATTGATTGTATGATAGCATACACGCCATGGAGCCGACATTCACGAGGGTCACAGTAGAGGTTAATCCAGACGATATATTCAGGGAGGCCTTGTTCTAGAAAGACGATGCTCCACAGCGAGACATGGACTACCGCAGAACAATTCCCTCTTAACGTATGAAACGTTATCATATGTCGCAGTGACGCTGTCGATAGCCGAGGGTCGCGGAAATAAATACGCGGAAAATTATTTCCTGTGTGATTTCCAGTCTCATACCGCGGTGATGTTACCCATCTTGCCTTCTCCGAGGGCCTAGGACTGTCCTAGTATACGTGGTCAAGATATCTTGCTCACCTCCGGCCCCAGAACGGCGGGCCCCGCTTGACCGGCTCGGCACGTGTCTTGGTTGGTAAGTATGGGAATACACTAGGGGGTTGTCGGTCAAACAGTTACAAAACTTAGCACAATAAACATCGCCGAATATACAGCGACAAACAGGCATCCGGGCCGCAGCACGGTACCGGAAAATCACACTTGCTTGCAGCAATCGACGGTCATGATGATCTGAAACCTTTGTTCGTCATGATGGGGGCCAAAAGTTAACTTACCGATCACGTGGATATTCGGACAACGGCGACTGATATGTTTCAGGAAAGCACAGCAAGGGAGCCTCTGCACTCAAGTCATGTCAGAACATATTCCTATCATACCATTGGAGACTGGGAGCCCAACGCCGAGATCTTCAAGCCACCAGGCGCGGGCCAAACTCTACCCGTCCTTTAATACGAGAGGACCATCGGCAAGAGCAACACCCCACAAAATGTATGGTCATGTGCTAAGCAGCCATTGTTCTGGACTCCATCAGCAAAAGTTAAAGAAAGGGTTGTCCAATTTCTCGGTCTCCTATTCCAGCTACCCTTGCAGAGTCTAATGTGTCACCCTGGCCCTGGGCTAGCCGGCTGCACAGCACGTCGGCCGGCCACAAGGTTTACAACCAACGAAACCGCTCGCAGGGCTTGATCAAATGCCTCAGAAGGATATTGTCGGAGGGCCACGATTCCGCGCTTCATCGTCGCCATCCAGCATGGTGCGGGAGATCGAGAGCGAGGACGCGAAATCCGCGAGGGGAATGCAGCCTGCTGGCACGCACGATGTCGAAACAAGACTCGCCGCCCAGAAATGCGCTCCAGCAAGACCCATGGGAGCGTGTGGGCCGGACGCGAGAAATGCCCCGATGTCACCCACCGATCGGCCAGGGAGGGTGTGGAGGGTGGGGCCCTACCCCGGACTTCTGACAGCTCCACAGGCCAAGGGATACCCATGCCATCTGCCATGCGAGTCGCTGGATGGTGGGTGTGTGGTATCAGGGCCACGCTCTAACGCAGGGGCTTTGTCCCGATGAGGAAACATAACGCATGGGCTGTGCTTGCGTGTACGTATGCTGGGATGCTGTCGTCCAAAATGTATGCCGAAATGCCGTACTTGATGGAGGGATTAGAGTGGCCATCTGCCTCACATTCTGCATCGTTAGGTCATCCCAGCCGGGGGGTTCACCTTCTCCCTTGCTAGTAGATCGGTCCCAAGGTTATCATCATCTCAACACACGTTTTGATGTGTCCCAAAATGACCAACGACAGTGTGGCTTGCAGACTATAGCCAATGGCGACTGATCAATCACCCTTCATACCAGGGTAATCACGTTGGCGCAAGACTGAAAGGCCAGGGGACAAAGAGACCACAGACAATTTTTCTCCGAACCCCGCCACCAAGAGGGGGGGAACCAGTGCCTGGTAAGGATCGAAATGATGCTGTCAACCCAAGGACGACCTCATATGCCAGGATGAACAGCCCGGCTAATACGCGAGCCATCAAAACCATTAACCTCATGCTTGGCAACCCCAGACAAAGAGACCCGACAATCAGGATCTTAAGGCCCTTGGTGACCGGCTAAGCAGCCCCTATCCCCTTCTGACCAACACAAGCAACCACGCTTTATGGGGGCGTTTTTGGCTTAGATTGCCTCTTTTTTGTGATGCGATGGTGCAGAGTCTAACTGGGGGTCCTGCCGTCCCAACGGAGAGGAACCGGAACTAGCCTAGTCTCCAGTCTGGGGGACCAGGGAGAGCTCCCATGAATTGGTTGTGGGTGACACACACATTGAACAGGAACCGGGGAGTGCGCATCCGATCTGCATTGCGTATTGAGGGTCGCGATGAGGTCCTTCCGTCCGAGAACCCCTCGCCGGGCCGATTTGTGGGTGTGGTCGATGGGTGGCCAGGTACGGGCGTAGGGAGGGAGGTGTTGGTGGGTGGTATCAGGGACAGCATGCAATGCGTTATAACTGGTGGTCAGCAGTTTATCATCATCAACGTGCAGGGATTGGCTTTACCACCTGGAAGCTTGCCCCTAGCCCTGTAGCGCCTAGCTTCAAAGCTTCAAAGCATGAGAGACTTCTTGAGCTACTCGTACATCCGACGGGCTAAACAAGCTCAGAGAGGGCGATTTAATCGGGGCTCTCAACGCAGGCAAAACCTCACACGACGTTAGAGTTGAAGAGGTGTCAGGTCGAAGGTTGGAGCTGGAACAAGCAAATGCTTGGATGCAACGTAGAGGCGCAACGCAACGCAAACGTGGTAACACGCTGTGGCGTAACGATGCGTAGGTTACATCCCGTTAAATGCCGGGGCCCTGTGCAAGATGTTGGGCTGGGACGTAATATTGACTTCTCACTGACAGAATATCCGAGAAAATCTGGGATGTTCAATCAATGGCGGTATACAGAACAAAGACACAGAAACCAATGTAGCTTGACTCTCACTCTCACAGGGAACAAGTCGCTAGAATTAAAAACTACATTAACAACGTTCGCTTATCAAACAAGGCCGGTGATATCAGGCCGCTCCGCGCCTCAGCTCTTCTGTGGACTCAGAGGCCGAGCTGTCCTCCGACATCGTCCTCAAGTTCCGCCCCTTGCTCATCATCTCAAATGTTCCATTCCTGGCAGGAACAGATGCATTGTCGCGCCGTCCAGGAGGGACTCCCAGCCGGGATCTGCTTGTCGCCCGAATCGGTGCATCCGTCTTCGGCGAGCCCTGGAAGGAATGTCGAATATCATCCATGAGCTTCTTGCATGCCTTCCAACTCGTGACTATGTAGATTACAGCGTTCCAAAAGCCTTGCAGCGGCAACACAAAAGCTGACATGTATTCGAGGGGGAGGCTTGCTCCGTCGGTTTGCACAACGCTGTAGACTCTGTTTGCTGTTGAAGGGATCCATGTTATGAGAATAGCCGTAAAGAACAGGATCGAGCATTTGGTATACGACCACGCTGCGTTGTTGGCCTCATATGTGGCCTTCCTACGAGAGGAGCGCTGTGTGTGGTTGTCAATATTGAGGTTGCTGCTGGCTGTCGCTGCTGTCGCTGCTGGCGTCTTGGGTGCAGTTGCGGAGATTGAAACCGAATATGCAGATGGCTTGGATTGTCCAGCTGCTGAACTGTCACGATAAGATCGGTCGAGAGGTGTGAGGCCAACGGTGCTGTTCTGCGTCGTTGTGACTATCTCAGAGGTGACTGATACCTCAGTGGTCTTAGTGCTGAAGGCGTCGTCCATTGGCATTGGTTCAGGTTCGTAGTGACTTGTGTAGTTCAACTCTCTGAGCTGCTTATGCTTCCTGTAAATTTCCCGCCCGGCGCGGATGTAGATGAAAGTTGTAACGGCGATCGCCGCCCTGGGTATTGTTAGATCAATCATGGTGCTGATGGACTGCAAATATCTTACCAAACGGGTCCGTAAAATGTTATGATTCGGAAAATGTCCCACTCTCTCTTAACCCAACACCATAATGCGGCATCACCGTAGATCTTGCCCTTCGATGGGGATGATACGAAAATAAAGGCCAAGGCCACCACAAACGGAACCCCATAGCAGAAAAGCAAGTATGGGATCTCCATCTTCCGAAGCTTCTGCCCGTCGAACTTAAAGTAGAAAGTCAGATAGACGTTGATGGCCATCGCCAATATCCAGAAAGCATCAGCGGGCATGAACCTGATGAGGATGTAAGCCACAGTTGTACTGGTTGAATGAGATGCTTTGACCTACATTTGAATCAGAAACGCCTGGAACTGGCAACCGGCGGAATCAGGAACATCGACATAAGTCCTGGCAAGGAGTGTGGCTACATTCGTGAGCATATTGCCGCTGCGCGTCAAGACAAAGTCAGTACTAGTCCAGGCTCCAAGACGCCCTCGGCGCAAGCAATGACCCTGAGAAGGTTGCCACGTACAATGAAGCATAGAACACAAGACGATTTATTGGTTTGTGGAAAGCGTCCGACACACAGAAAGTCACAATGATGAAAACACATCCCACAAGGGATAACACCGAGCTCGTCCGCTCGATGACATTGAAGAGGTCCAGCTGCGTGCCGAGATTGTCGTAACTCATATTGCGCTCGTCGTTCGCAGCTTAGCTGCACCGGAACATTGATATCGGAACAGTGAGAACGGTGGAGCACAACCTGCGCGTACGGCCAGCGTCTGAATTCAGTCGTGAATAAATAACCGAGGACGTCCAAGTCCAGAGAAGCAGTAATAGCAGCCAACGAAGCGGCAATCCAGGTAGAGGCTAGGACACTGGGTCGGTAGTCGGGTCGATGCCTTCGAACTTCAGATCCGGGTTGAGCGGTCCTTCAGCCAAGAGGCTGTCAGATATCAGATTGTCGTGGCCGAAGGGCGAGCTGACTCTTTGAGCACTGCCCTGTCTTGTACTCCTTTGTCGATCCCAGTTGTATGTGCAACACGAGCGTGGTCAGCAGGTGGAACTAACGCTTAAACAGTGAGGCACTGGTGTCGGACGTCAAGAAGAAGCAGTGTTGGCCAATGGGTGGTAATCAGCGGCCCCCAAAAATGTGAGTCTGTTTACTGAATCGGGAATCCTTTGACGCAGGTCGGTTATGTGAACAGGAAGGTGGCTTAAGAGGCAGCGGCGCACAGATGTCGAGGGGTACACTTGTAAATATAATCACAGACGAGGCGTGGCCGAAGCCCTTAATAAGAATACAGTGAGAGGTATAAACAAGTTTGCGCAGGACGGGTAGTAAAACACTCGCACGGCAAAATGCGCCGGATGGGTACTGTATGGGTATAGGGTGGGCCGTGGTCCATCGTGGCCAGGAACCTGGGAGGAGGTACTCGACAGGGGTGGACATTGAAAAGCATCCTTGATCATAGTCAGGGGCCGCAATTGTGTGATCAGACCAGGGCTCGACAAGGGTCCGTTACTTAGCTCATGAACAAGGCATATAGGCTAACTGTGCATGGTAGAGACTTGCTCGTTCATCCGTCTCAACACTGATACCGCACCATGATAGGTGGTGGGACTGGGTTGATCCAATAGAAAATTTCGCAAGGTTAGGGTTGCTCGCAGGGTATAAGCATGCAGAAAGAGGCCATCTGGGAAGCGTGAATGAGATAGCAAATGTTGTCGGTAGGCTTAACCTCATCACTTAGCTGGTTGCAATCTTGTCTCGCGCAGCCTCTTTTGTGAGGATCACCAGGTGGTAGATGTGTCCACGTCTTGCGGCGCCGCTGGAGTGTAGTTTCGTCGGTGGATGGTGAACATGGCATGCATGGACATTGATTAGATGACGGTTCTCGACGTCCAAGCCGTGATCCGTACGCGAATGCTGACAGTCTGAAACCCGCTCGATCAGATGACGCAGAGGGCCTCGCAGTCCATGGTGACACTAGTCACCCGAGGGTCGCCCCGAGAGCTAAGTTGACCGACGACTCGGCCTAATTGAGGAGGATCAGAGCAGAGATCAGATCGGTAGTCTCAAGTCGTTATCTCATCTGGCACGCCTGAGTGGTAGAGTGCCAGGGCAGAAGTTGATGTCTGCTGCGCGGCCAAGCTTTGCTCTGCTGGTTGTTGGCGAGCTCGTGTGCCTATGACAGCCAGCTGGCGTTGCTAACTTTTGATGGCTGCGGGCAAGCTAGACACACATCAAAACGGCCGTCAGCCTACTTGATCCAGTGGGTGGACCATATCGCCAACCAAGCCTTTGAGGATGGGCCGGAGAAGGCTTAACTGCCGTGACATTTCATTACTCGGCGGACGATGTAATGGCGGGTGCCGGAAATTGCTACTGAATGATAGGCGACGCGGAGCAGGTAGGGCGCAGCACACGTGGTAATGGCTGATTGCCATCTGCCGGGCAGCCAGGAAGTGATCCCCAGAAGGAGGAGCTAGGCTGTGGGGCAGCTGGTTGTGGAGGAGTGGAGCTGTGGAGCTGAAACCTCTGGTCCCTGGTCCAGACTCCAAGCAGACTATTGTGTCTGTTGGCCAGGACTGAGCACCAGCTCGTACCGGACCGGCCAGCTCGAAATGCGTCGGCTAGGAGTTCATCTTGGCTCTCTCATCTGTCGGAGATTTGGGACGGTGGTGATCCTCAGTGGATCTGGACCGAACGCATTCGTCACACTGGACCGATGATCCATACTCTGCTGTGCAATGTGTGGATGAGCGTGGATCCGCATGCGAATGAGACATCGTCGGGCAGGTCACTTGTCTGATTCTGGCCATCATGCTTCGATCGCCTCAACGCTGTGCGTTGGCGCTGTGTGCTTCTCCTAGCATATACCAATAGAAATGAAGCCACAAGTCGGAGTGGCCGATCAGACCAGGAAAGTATGCCCAGATGAGGTGCACTCGAGGGATGTTTAGCTGTGGTTGTGGAAGCGAAGGTGAAGGTGAAGGTGAAGATGACGATGGTGAGGCAAGCATGAAGCAGGAACTGCTACACTGCAGGAAGCAGACCTCTAGCCTCCTCCTATGAGCAGTCCTACCCGAATTCTGGGAGTGGGAGTGGTGTGTAGGGTGGTCCGTGCTTGCTCTCGGCGAACCTGGAGCAGTTGCAGATGCGCATGCGTATGCGCATGCACCTGAACCTGCAGATGCAACTGCCAATGCGGTGGCCTGCAGCTCCCGCATCTGTGCACAGTCACCCACAGCGTTGGAAGTTTGCCACGCCTCAACGGCCGGCCATGTCTCTGTCCGGATAAGCATTGATCTTCTGAAACTTTTACCGTGTGCCTCCTCTACCAACGCCTCTTTTGTCTTTCTCTGGCTCTTCACACCCTCCCGACAGACTCGGCGACCTCGTTGCGATGCTTGCTCCGATCTGCCACCCACCTCCGGTTCGTCCTGCCTGGAGACAACTCGCTGTGGCCGCCTCCTGGTCGCCATCTACCGCGTTTCGAAATCTGCTTGCTATTCTGGCATGTCGACTTGGGATGTTTGCTCGCACATAGAGTTTGTTTCGCTGCCGAACTTTATGTGAACGGTGAGTTCCGAAAGCGAGCGCTCCGGATCGTGAAAACCATCTTCCGGCTTCGACCTTCAGCCTTGAGCCTCCCAGCGCTCTCGCCTTCAGTCAAGTAAAGACGAGCAGCTCAATCTACATGGACTATTTATGCATTTAGGTGTTCGAAAGCCGTCCAAGTTTCGTATTTCCAGTCTAAGGCCGCTGGTGTAAGTGGCGCACCCATCATCGCAGTGTGCCGTTAGGTCAGCCACCGCGCAAAACGACCAGTCCTGTCATCTCTCGCCAAAATAAGTGTGTTTGCTACCTCAGGCTGATTGGCAACCCATTCATATCACACGATTGCTGTCCTGCCGTGTCCATCGTCACAAACCTAGGCTGTGCACCTAGGACGTGCGAGGAGCGGCTGTAACCCTGTCACACTCAATCCCCCAAGACACTTGGTTGACTTGCATGCCGCCAGAGCCGCAAAATGGATGTCTATGCGCACTCAAGATAACAAGGTTTCAACAAGACAGCTTGATGCCTGATTGAGCGAGCGAGGTTTCTCCAGACTTTCTCCTTCTGGTCCCCGTCCACAGCGTCCAAGCACACGTAGTACTTGTTGCCCTCCACAATGCGTTCGTCCTTGCAACTCACGCACGTACCTGCATAAGGCTTGTTCCCAATTCCACAGCCCTACAAGCAGCGATGCCTGGACGAAACTTTACGACGTAGGTATTCTCGCTCCTTCGCAAGTCCCAAGGAACGGGTGAGGCCCGGCATGGCCGGTGAAGCGTGGGAACCAAGCTTTCGCTCCGTGTCCACCAATTCACAGCGTACTGTGATTGAATTGTGCAGAACGTTCGAGAGGGCATTTGCATTCATCTGTTGAGCTCAAGCTTTTACAATTGTGCCAGAGACATATATTCGCCACCGCCGTAGCCTGAAACTTGGGAATTGCAGCCAGCCTATCTCGTTCAACACAGGACTTGTCTGTTCGCACGAGGACGGAAGCTCGTACGACTCTTTCATCAGATTGGAAAACACACAAGGAGCCTGGCTGTTACAAATTATGGAAGACGGCATGAAGGAAAGCAGTGCCTTGGGTGTAATTTCTCGCGCAGCAGGTCAAGCTTGATGTTCCCTGACATATGTGGCTCGACCATAATACGACCAACCTCTTGGTGCCTACCTTTAGTCCAGGGAAGTTTACTGACAGATAGCGTTAAGAATTTTCTATTTTCTATCGACCACAAGAAAAATTACAATGCTGCCTTTTAGACATCTGTCAGCCTTGCTCCTGACCGCTGTTCGGATGGTAGACTGTCAGGCCTTTGGCGTGGCTGAGAGAGCATAGGACCGATCATCTTAGATATCTTATGCAGACTCTCACGAGCTGCTGTTAGAACTAATTCTTATGTTTTACGTTGGAACTCCCTGCTTTCATCTTCTAGCCTCCTTAAACAGCCTCTACCTTTTCATTTCACAAAACCCTGCAATAATCCGTGTCTGGGGCATTATTATATGACATGAGTCTCACCCCAATGCTTCCCGTATTACTTCGGGGAGCCTATATACGTACAACATGTGTTTTGACAACTGTTAGCCTTCATTAGTGTTGCAAACATACCACGTGATGAAGATTACGGAGTGCGCCTCTGCGCTTTGGAATCCTTTCTGTGGCCTCCTGGACGTTGTTCAAATTCAATAATACTTTGCCTTGAAAATATTGGAGAACTTTATTCTGAATATAATCGAGCAAGACTATAGCCTACCGAGAAGATTTAGAATAGTGCTGTTTTAGAATATTGTGACCACGAAATTGGCAGGTATGAGTGATCACGTTACACAAAATGCAGACAGAATCTTAGCAGGCATAAGCATCACCCCGCCCTGCTTCCTTGCAATTCTCTTCACCGACTTCGCCTATAAAATTCGACAATATCCGTTCTGCCAGAGTTTCTCACCAGGTCCAGCCGTCCGCAATGTGGCTTTTGAAGATCGAGGATGCGGCCGACGGTGCTCCAAGAATCAAACTAGAGTACCATGTAGGAACTTATCCTGACTACGCTATTCTCTCACACAGATGGGGCCCACCGTCCGACGAAGTCAGCTTCCAGGATCTCCAGAATAATTCCACAGCAGTCCGAACAAAAGCTGGGTACCGGAAGGTAGAGCAATGCTGCATCAAGGCCCTCGAACGAGGCTTGCGGTACGCCTGGATTGACACCTGTTGTATCGACAAGTCGAGCAGCGCAGAGCTATCTGAGGCCATCAATTCGATGTACGCTTGGTACCGGGATGCGCAAGTTTGTTTTGCTTATCTTGAGGATGTCTCAGTGCCATATTCAGATCCTGAATTTGGCCAGCAGCTCAAGCAGAGCGCCTGGTTTACCCGAGGCTGGACGCTCCAAGAACTTCTGGCCCCTTCGGGAGTTACATTCTTCACAAGCGACTGGCACCACAAGCCGATAGGTAGCAAAGCATCGCTGGTGAGCCTCCTTCACCAAATAACATCTATACCGATGCTGTTCCTAGTTGAGAGGAGCTTCATTTCTCATGCAAGTGTTGCTGAGAGAATGTCTTGGGCTTCAAAGCGTGTAACGACGCGCGTTGAGGACGAGGCATACTGTCTAATGGGTCTTTTTGGTGTCCACATACCGATCATCTACGGAGAAGGACGACATGCTTTTCAAAGACTTCAGGAGGAGATCATGAAGACGATCCCGGATCATAGTATTTTTGCGTGGTCTAGTCTCCCGACCCCTAATTTTGAGGATTACCTCCCGGTACTGGCAGAGCGCCCTGCACAATTTCTCGAATCTTCCGATCATATGCCTATGGATCTCAGCGCCTTCGACACAAGGTATGGGCCAGGAGAGCCTGGTTACACCTTGACAAATTTCGGACTGCGCATAGATCTTCCAATATGTTCTTTTCCCGATGGACTTGGAGGGCTTTTCATAGCCTTCCTTGCCTGTAAACTCGGAAGGGGAGCGGATAAAGAAGTTGTCCTTATCTTACGCCGACGACCTGACCGTCCAGACGGCCACTTCTTCCGTGTCGCATTCAACAAGAGTCCCCTTTCATTATCATCACGAAATGCAGCCGCTGCTTCAAGAATGAAGTTACGGAGGGGTATTCTCTGGATATCGACCCATATTGAAGGTACATTCAAAGCAACTCTGGAGCTGTCATCCCGTTCCTTGGATTCCGTTCAATTTCGGGGCATTACATTCAGCGACGAAACTTCGCCTTTCATGCACAGTACGGTTGAGCTAGTGCCAGGAAACAACGTGGCTATTGTAGCAGCTTTTCAGGCACGATCTGGATGTCATTCGGACCAGATGCATGTGCTTTTCGCAGCCACAGGGCTTCATAAGGGCGAAGTCTGGTATTATTTCGATGGACAGGAGACCGCCGGTCAGGAACTGGGGACAGCAGAGGAGTTATACAGCAAGCTAGATTTTGGTCACAACATGGGATGGTATGTCCCTGGAGTTCGTGATAGGGTGGGATTCATCCGGCGTGATGGCCATGTTGAGTGGAATTCGGGTCCATGTAATTGTTTCAATGTGCATATGTATGTCTTTGGTCATTGGGGTATTCATTTTCAAGTTGACGGGGATGCATCTGTTCAGTGGGTCGAGCTCAAGATAACGGGTCGAGCTTTGACTAAGTACAGTTTTGACCACAACAGAGCCTTTAAAGTACATTCTGGAGGAAAGGAAGGGAGATCTGTCGGATGCTACTGGCCGCGGCTCTGTGGGATCTTCATACAGACTGAGGCGGCTGAAGAAGACAGAGAAACTCTCTTCGATACTTCTCCAGATATAGTGGAGACGTCGCCATTGTCGGATATTGAGCCTTATGAAGGTGACCAAGAGCGGGCTACCATAATGGTCATATAAGTGAGGCATCAAAATGGACCGTGGCATGGGATTTAAAAATTAGAGAAAGAGTAATAGCTAGTTTCTGAGTACTAATAAATCCATAATTTTTTTACTTTTAATAAAGGAATCGATTAAAGTCTTTATATAAAACTTTACAGAGTTAGATTATTTACAAGTAGTATAAAAACTAGTAGTGCAGTTGCTGTAATAGTTGCTGTTAAAAATGAGGAGGCTTTAGTATTCACAGATATATGCATGTTAAGGATAGACTAAAGGGGAAAATGGATATTCTTAGTAAGATATAACTTAAGATAGCGTTTAATATGAAAATACGTTACGAAGCCAAACTGAGAGCTAAATGCAATGTCTTATTGTATAATCTTTGTTATATATCTTGCTTTAACTTTGCAAAGTACGAGAACATTATTATTCGATACAAAACGCAGTATACAGGATTGAACTACCCTCCATATGGACCCTTCCTCAGGGCCTTCCGTTGGGGAATATAGCTGGATGATCACTCGCAGGATACCTCAAGTGAGATTACCGGATACAGGTGTGTTAAAACTTGTTTCACAAGTCTACTGGAAAGCTGTTGCTACCGAACCATTCCTGCCTACGCACTTGTAACGTACGGGGATCAGAGCAACGTTTCCCGCATCACCGGCTTCGTTGTCGTTCCGGCAAGCATATCCGCACACAACATGTGTTTTGACAACCGGTCAGCCTTTATCATTGTTGGAATACTCAAACGAAAAGCCCGCAATCCTACTTTCGCTTGAAAATCGGCTCCTTCCCTCATCTATGCTTTGACAACTCGTCCAAGTACGCCTCTCCGGTTTTGGAGAATAGCATTTCGTCGACCTTGGAAGCAGTTCTTGGGCATCCAGACCACATTCACAACCCTTATGACGATGATCACGCCAACAGCGTACGTGGGAGCGTGAGCCAGAGCCGCAGATCCTATCTCCACACTCATCACGTCGTACAACTACGCTCCCGGATGCAGAGAGATTCTCGCTGTCATCGAGATCACATACAGCGTTTCGACAGAAACTGTGATCACAGCCGACATCTCTGACACCCGTCTCGGCGCCTGTGCCATTAGGTACCACGTGGGTACCTCTGGAGAGACTCCAGACTTTTTGGGGTTTGACTGTCCTTCACACTGGTGACTTAGAGCCCCAGTAGAAAGGCAATCGGTAGTCGCGATCGTCAACAGCTAGGCCGGCTGGTGGCCAGACATCTACGGAGACATGACGTCACATAAGCCTCTCGTCCGTTCATGAACAGATCGATCGAGGATGATATAGTGGTGAGTGCATTGTAATGAATTATCGCCGAAAGGTGGAGTAGCAACAACGGACGGGGGCCAAGAGGGGTGTGGCAATGTATATGAACGAGCGTGAAGGCTTCTCCACAAGTCAAGCTGATCCTCCGGAAGGAGAACGTGAATCGTGCCTGGGTTGAAATAATATTGACATGGTCGGTATGACATATTTCCTAGGAGCGCATGACCATCGGTCTCACAAGTCATCTACAAGCGTAAATGCCAGTCTCAGTAGCCAGGTCTTCAATCAAATGGTCTGGAAGCTATAGTATCTCGGAGCCTTGCGCTAGATAGCAAAATTCTAGGAAACATATTTGCTCTTTGCTCTGGGTTTGTGGTGAAGTAGTAATGGTTGTCTTCGCATCGAATCCGAGCTCGACTTGCGTTTTCGGCGATGAAAGTTATCCTGGACTCTGACGTAGAACGTTTCTGCATTCAGCTTCAACATTGAAGGATTCAGAACCAAAACTTCCAAGTAGGACCCAGGGCATTCACGACCCTTAACATAGGCACAAACTCAGCGAACAAAAACAGCTTCCCTGGGGATGACGTCCAAGAGCGTTTTAAAGTAGGCAGTAGTGTGATGAAACACCCCTGGCCCCAGGCGCGAGGGCGGCAGAGCTCGAATGACGCCTTTCGAAGCCCGGAAAGCACATTGGGCACCCCTTCATGAATCAGACCAACGCTCTCCCACCTGATACCTGATATCTAATCCCACGGTGAACAAGGAGCAGGGTGGCATCGGCAAGGTTGAGGTCGCAACTGGGAAGAAGCCAGAAACCTAAATGGCTCGCCAGTGCCACAGCCTACATTCAACCCATGAATCATAATGGCTCGAGCTGATTGGATACATTAGGGGTCTGGCTATCATTGACAAACGACCATGCTCTCTGTCCAGGCGCAGAGCAGGATGGAGGCTCGAACCTTGCTAGGAGAGGCGATTGATTTGATTGGATTTCGAAACGACTCAGGCGTTGGAAAGCAGTCATGAATGTAGAGAGTAGAGAGAGACGTGCTGCCAGGCACGAACCTGAACTGACCTGCTGGTGACACGGTGATGAAATACACAGCGAAGGCCTCGAGTAGCAGCGCCCTGAGAGACTGGGTAGGCTCATAATCTACCAGCTAATATCTCTGCCATAGCGTGGTACACATCAAATGAAATTCATGTCCGTTTCGATGTTGGGAAGCTAGATCCACTGTGAAATGCAGAAGCCACTAAAGTCTGCCTGTCCGTTCGAGGAGAATAGGCGAGAGGGCTTACGGAATGGGAGACAGAATTCTTTCAGGAGAGGCATATGCGTGCTGTTCGAAAGCATCGTGCCCCCTCCCCCCCCATTACTGGTATGATATCACTATGGGTCAAATCTCAGACAGAGAAACAAATCTTGCTTGACCCCATAGGACATGCAACCACGCGCTCGGCTGTTTACTCAGGAGCGAGGACCTAGAATGAGAATGAGGACTGAGCTCAATGGGTGTTGACTCGAAAAATGGCTGGCGCTCGGCGGTCTGTCGTCGCCGCCGCCATTTCCATTACCATCCGGGCTTTCATTATTCTCGTAGCAGCCGCGGAAGCAGCACGAAGCCAGGGGCTGCGATAAGCTGGCCGACGCGGTATGACATGAAGCACATGTCGGGGCAGAGATGTTTACCCGCTTCGTCATCGCCGTAGAATCTCGATATGAGCTTACCCCAAAGACGCCAGAGTGACGTCTTGCCTGCAGCAAGTCTCATATAGCCGTGCAGATACGAAAACATTTGCAGAAGGTCTGTTGGTAGGTTCATTTTGAAGATTTGTGAACATGACGAGATGGCGTCATGCTGGCATCTTCCGTCAGCCTCCGTTTTAACAAATTCCTGAAGAAGCTGACGGACTGGGTGGTGAAAGGAGACAAACGATTGACCGCCTGGAATTATTACATCAGTCTCGGCAAATGACGTCCGTACTGGTTTCCTCCACTCCAGCCAGGAAAGGGAGGCGAAAAGGTAGGCGATGTCCATGTATTGGAGGTATGACTTTGATGGCATCCCCGTCAACGAGCCATATTCTCATCAAGCGACGAAATGACTGCACAATCTGTGGATGAAACAACAGCAATTGCTCGGTGTGAACAGGGCATTCAGGGCCTGGAAAGGTCTTCGCCGCGGAGCCGGATCGCTGGCCGGAAGGCCAAACACGGCGCCAAGAGTCTGGAATCTCACTTCAGTGGCGAATTTGCTGGGGATATGATGGGGATTTCGAGATGTCCATTGCAGACAATGCTCTCCACCTGTGTCTTTGAGAAGCACCCCGGGCACGCACCCACCATGTAACAGCACTGGGACTATCTACCTTCTTCACGCGGGAGTTTCAATTCGAATATCGCGTGTGGCCCGAGAATGTAGAACCACTGACGAGGCTGCGATCTTGGGATCGGAGTTTCTTAGTTGAAATCGAACTAATGAGCAGACGTCATCACGTGTGCGAGCTGAAATGCTCCAGCCTTGCAGTAGAGCAGAGGTCAATGGCCATTGCTAGGCCCGCAGGTAGCTGTGGGCCGTTGAAGCTGTAGCTGTTGAATGACGCTGTATCTTAGCTGTGGCTGTCGAATGACGACGATCGACGTTCCGAGAGGGAGTGAAGGGTCCGGAGGGACAGGGGAGATGCACTAGTGTCACAGTGAAGTTCGTTTCGACGGCCTGGGCCGTGAAGTCACGCTGGCGTGGCTGGGAAGGTGGAAGGATGGTCCTGACGTTCCTCGTGGTCTGGATCGTCAGGCCTAGTGTGTACTGTACGCATACACTGGCATAGTCCTGCACTGGCAGATGTGTGAAGACACATTGGACCGGGCTCCGCAAGGTCCATGCTCGAGAAATCATGCACGCCGGCCGGTCTGGCGGAGGGAGGCGCTGGACCCTTGATGCGTCTATGGCGTGTCAGTCAGGGCGGGGAAGCGAAGGAAGACGTTGCGTCAGGACTAGGACAGTAGTGGTGCCAATGTACGTAGTCTAGTATCAACACTTTCTTCATGGCTGCGTAGAAGGGCAGGCTCGAGAGAGAGACTGGTGGGCCGGCAAGCAGGCATGATGATCTCACCTGGCCGCGCATGAAGACGAAGGGTCGAGCCGAAGAGTGGCGCCCTAAGCTGCAATGCAGGTGCAGATGCTGGCTGCAGGTGCGCATGCTCATGGTGAATCGTGACAGGGTGGTTTGTTTGTCGGAAGCCTGGGACGCCTGTGTGTGGCAAGCGACGTCAAAGGCGCGGATCTGGCGTTGTGGTGGGCTAGTAAATGGGATTGTCGAAACGCGCGAGACGTCAACACTGACGTCGAGGCAAGTCAGCGATAGGCGCAGATATGGATGCAGACTAGTGGTAGGAGGATTGAGGCGGAAGAAAAAGGGCTGGGGTCCCTGAAAGAAGGACCCTGAATGCAGCGGAGCAGGCACATGCTTCCGGACCCCCCTGGGTCCCTTGGCCCCCCCTTGGGCCTAGACTGTCGTGGACCCCTGGCAGTCGACTGTAACTAAGTTCTGCACCCTTAGGCACCGTTGCTACCACCACGCCCGGAGCCGGCTGGCCTCTTGCCGTTTCCGTTTCCGTGCCGATGACGTAGTTGCCAGCTGCGACGGGGTGGCACGCCTTCCGTCACTTCTGACCTCACTCGTGCAAAGTCAGCTTCCTTTTGGTAGTGACCACCGCCGAGCATGTCGAACCACTGTCGTCAATTGCCGCCTCCCCTATCGCCTCAGCCGTCCGCCCGCCACCGCACAGTACAGTAGACTTATCCAGATGTACCTGCAGTGCTGTCAGTACGTAATGTGTCGCCAGGTCAGGACAGGCTGACGGGAGGTCAGAGGCGTCTCGTCTTGTTCCTGAATGAAATGGCTGGCCGCCAGCAGCATTCGCGATGGCTTCGCACACGCCCAGAGAGCCTCGACTCGTGAGCCCAATCACGGCCTGATGAATTCAGGATTAGGGGAACAACACGCTCGGGGCGTGGCCGTGCAAGGCCACTCCATGCATGTGGGATCCAGCACCTGCCAACTCTTGCCAACTTTGCTGCTGCTCCTGGTCGCGGTCAGAGACTCCCCAGACAATGCCCACCCAGCTGCCCTGGCTGTCCCTATACACCACAGCTGACACAGGCTGCATAGGCCGTGATCAGCCTCCCTCAGCCAGTGAGCGTCTGCCCGTGGCCCACAGTTTGCTCTGGGGAAGCCCTTGGATACCTGCTGTCGAGGTAGCCAGTACGCTTAGACCAACGCACCAGGCCGTCCCTACGTCCCTCGCACCAGCCAATGACATCATGTGGAAGCGAGACTATGTGGCCAAAGGCTGTGTCGATCTCTCGAGGCGTACTGCTCAGCAGCCCAGGTATCCTGGTATCCTAGCATGCCTGGGCTGTGGTCGTGCGCCGGTCTCTGTCTCGCACAGTCCAGGTCGTCCCAAGCCGTCCCAAACACGCACCTGAGGAAATCCCGTGCCTATGTTCGTGTGTGTCTTTCAGGGCCTGACACGGCTAAGTTGCTCCTCCCGGCGAGTGCCATTGTGGTCTACCTGATCTGCGCTACATCTGACGACATTCGTCCAGATAATCCCCCCCGGATGGGCTGCTACGGCGAGCTGTGGCCAACAGGCACTGATGTAGCCCATGACTTCACTTCAGTCCCGTTGCCGATCGACAGGGTCTTGCACACCCACGCTCGCTCGCCGTCATGTACATCAGACCCTGTGTGATCCTAGCGTCGCCTGTGAGGTTCGGCAGGACCATGCAGACTCATCATTGTCCACCACTCCCGAGCCGCGCCTGGGCTGCGGCTACATCACCCAGCCCTGCAAGTGGCGACGATCCCTGTGGGCCGTCACTCGCACACATGCTGGGTTACGACATTCTGTGCAGCCATGCGTTAGACAGTCTGACCAAACATGGCCCTCAGCAATGACGATCCCACTCCCAAAACCGCTGCAGGAGGGGCTGGGGCGTGGAGGTAGCAGCACTAACAGCTCCATTCTTTTCCCTCTGTTCCAAGTGGGCTACTGGTAGAGCAGCTGGACGAGGGTCTGGAGATGGAGACGGGGACCTGGTCAACGCAGCCCAAACGGCTACCTTGCCCAAGGCCCGTCTTTGCCTTGCTTCTCGCCCAAATAAGCTTCCGCCTACCTAGTCTTATATAAACTGGATTCATCCCAGGGAACTCCTTCTCTTTCCCAAACCCTATTTCCACTTCCACCAGATATCCCATTTGATATAACATCCAGCCCAACTTCTCCAACTTCACCAAAGCTTTATCCAGATCTTGGAGTTTATTTAAAACTACAAGGCCAAACTCATCTCTGTTCTCTTCAGGTCACACTCGTCTTCCACTCAGACTACCACCTACACTTTTATACAAACGCATATGCCTCTCCTCAGAATGTCGTCCCGAGAAGACTCCTTTTCTGTCAACATGCAGAACTCTCCACCACCGCCTACAGATATCGGGTCGTACTCCCGCACAATGTTGTTACACACAAAGAGACAAATGGAAGCTTTCTCAGGCACACCAGACCGTCGGAGTCGAAGCAACGGTTCGCGAAGTAGTGGCAGTGGCCAACGCGTCACACCACCAATGCCCAACGGTGTGCACCACACATCGAGTTCTGAAGACGATTACCACCATACATGATCGTGCAAGCGACAAAATTTTTGGCTTCAACGTTTAGACCATTACTATCGCCATGCGTAGCGAACGAGACGCTGCGCGGTGTAGAAGTGTTGCCCACCATCACAAGGCAACCCAATTCGGCAGGAAACTCGGCCGCGCTCCGAAACGGGAAAGCAAACGATATTCCCTACTCACCTTTGGGCAAGATCATATGCCAACTTTCCCCGGCTCGTGACAAGACACTACCAAAGTCTTGGACACATAACGGCCGCAGCACCTGTACACTACCATTACCACCATTATCACGATATGCCGACGACAGTATTCATACACGCGGATCGTGCGGCGAATCTTTCAGGAGCATTACCAGGAGCGAAGGAGATTTGACGCCGCCACAACAAATTGTGACGGCTTTCTGACCAGCGGCCACGAAAAAGGCAGTGCAGAATATTTAGCGTTGAAATTCATTTATATTCACGAACCTTGCACTGAAAGTACCATTTTCTAATCATGCCCATTGAATGTCATCCCAAAGTCCACTGTGAATGTGAGCGTTGTGCATTTATTCCTACGACCCGGTAGAGATTGGTCCTCCGACACACTGTGAAAAGAGTTGCTGCTTGCACAGTGGATATCTGTGAAACACTCGCCCGTACTCTGCGAGGGCGAGTGGTGTGTATCCATTGATCTGTACGGTGCATAATGATCAGTTAGCTACAATGACGCCCCCCTCTCTCGACGGGGCCACCGTCATGGTGGCATTCCCTGTCAAAGAGAGGCTTTAGCTCAACGTAGATACCTGCTTTTCGAAATTGATGGTGTGTACACCTGACTGTGGGCTCGCAAGAAATCCAGATCCGCAACCCTCCTGCCGTTTTCGTTCGGGCTTAACCGGCTTTTCTGCTCGTGCGCGGCCACCACCCACTTGTCTGGCCCTCTAGCATGGAGCTTCCTGTACTGCAGTAGAGGCCAGGTCCTTTGGCTCACGGGGAACCTATCGGTCCCGAAGGATAAGAGGGCGCTGGCCGCCTCATTGGTACGAGTATGCTTTGATAGAGGAGAAAATGTCTGCACACCATGCCTCTTCCTGCTCGACGCGGACACACCCGGCCGTGCAGGACGTGAGAAAGTGTGTTTTCTGCCACGTTCAGCAGCGCCATGCCAGGGAAGGAAGCCCATCGAGACCTTCAACCAACAGTGCTACATCAACCAGTCGGCGGGCTCCTGTTGGGTGACGTGAAGCATTGCATCGTAGTGTTTTACCCTGGCTAATGAAACATCTTTGCCCGGGCCACATTTTTGTGTCTCCCTCGAACACCGCGCGGCAATCCCTTTGCCAGTTTTTCTACATCGTCGTGGCTACCACAAGGGGGAATTATCCCGCGAGAGTTGGCATGTGGTGTAAGTACCTGGCTGCCCTGTACCACCCACCCCTGGCTTGAATATGATAGGCCCGCCCCCTCCACCTGGCCGGTTCCCTCAAATCTCGTCGCGCAGCAGCAACGTATGGGGTGACATTCGCCTGGGCGCATGCACACACTTGACTCGGGGCCATGTTTGTGGTCATCGTCTCCCACGCCAAAGCCTGTTCTCAAGGCTCCACCCAATCTCCACGGGTGGGTTGTCTTCGTGGGGAGGTCGGGCGGTTTGACAGGTTAGCAGGTTAGCTGGTTCTGTTTTCAGCTGGCCACTGCGGCTTGCTACAAAAGCGCCGTCATTTTTAATTCTGCACGATCTGGCTAAGAGTTGGGTGTTGCTGAGAGCAACTTGGCTGGCTGCGGGGACCCCCGCGTCGTCCGCAGGGATAATCGAATTTTGAACCATTTTGGGTATCGTAGCTTTTGACTCCTAGACGCCGTAACACACATGCTTAATCACTGTCCGACCCATACTCAACTAGAACTGCCTTGGCCTTCACTGTCGGAGCCGGAGCCGGCGCCGGCTTCACGGCTGGTACAGGAGGGGGCCCCATTTTGAGGCCCGGGATGAGGACCTGCTCCTTCTTTTTAGCCTGCTTCTTGAAGCTGAAGGACGCAGGGGCCGCCTCCTCCTCCTCTGGCGCTTTCCTCTTGACACCATTCCCGTTGCTGGCCGAGTGCGAGTCTCTGGCTGCCACGTCGTCTTCTATCACCTCCCAGGTCTCCTGCTGTGCCTTGGCCGCCGCGATGGCGTTCCTATAAGCCTCTTCGTCCTCCGCATCCTCTTGGCGCCTCAGCTCGTCCTCGGGCCGGACGACCGAGGCGTCCCCCAGCATGCCGTCGTGGTTCGCCCGCTCCATCCGCGCATTGCGAGTCCTGATTTCGTCCAGGGCGTCCGCGACGGCCATGTCCCGCTTGGCGTCGATGGTCTTGGCCTCGAGCTCCTCCATGGCGTTGCGCTCCTCATCTTCTTTTTCCAGCCTGTCCAAGCGCTGCTCGTCCGTCTCGTCCTCGTCCTCGACCTTGCGCCACGGCTCCGTGTTCCGCTTGGCGCCGCGCTCGCACGTGTAGTCCTGGTTCTTTGGGTCCGTCTTGAATGTGATCTCGGAGCTGCACCGCGTGCAGCGGATGTAGAAGCGGAAGATCTGGATGCCCAGGTATTTCTCATTCTCGGGCGTCTCTTTTCGCGCGTTGAACTTGCGGCCCTTGTAGATGTACTCGCCGCAGCTGGTGCACTTCATGCTGAAGGGGGCCATGAGACGGACGGTTTGGACCTTGGGACCGACCTGCTTGGGCCCCTTCTTCTTGGTCAATGCCGCCGGGTCGAAATCCGGGGGATAGTATTTCGCTAAAGAAACTTGTTAGCTGGTTCTATGTATGGGGAGGAGTAAGAAGATAGGATTCTAGGCTACTGCCTAAGGGTGATGCAGCAGGTTTGGAAGAGCGATCGAGTTGGACTTACTGAGCACTTTTCGTTCAGACATCTTGAATAAGGCTCACGAATGTATCAGTACCGGCGGAAGTTATTTGATGCGACTGGCCTGTCGTGTGCAATATCGAAGGGGGAAGAGAGTTTGGCATCAGCATTCATGGAGGTAGTGGTGGTGGTATTTCGAGAACCCGCCTCCTCGGGTATTAGGTAATCAGCCGCCATCGGTCCCTCACCGTGGCTCACCTTCGGCACTCAGCTAACAGCCACCTTGTCCTGGTAAGGCGGTGAGTACCCCAACTATTCTGCCGGGCGATTCGCAACTTTTTCTTGGGTGCGAGCCGGCGCGCTTGTTTCTGCCCTTTCCTCTTCCTTTCTTTAACGTGCGACCACTCACTCATATCACCGCCAGCATAGCAATCTCTTCCTCTGTACTGGCAATCTCGAGCTGTGGTCTAGATCAAACAAGCTAGACTTGACAATAGTGCCCTAAAACCGTCATTATGAGGGCCCCTATATGCGTGGCATCCCAGGATCTGATGACGACCTGACGGTACAGACATTCCATTCCAATACCAGTTCATAGCAGAGGCTGCACACCTCGGACTCTGCACAATGACGTGCTGTGTTACTACGTACGGTGACAGCTGAAACGTAAGTGTATATCCCATCCTGTTTGCCCCCAAAATATCCTGCTGTGATGCTACAACAATCATCTGGTAAGCTGAACGCTCAGCCTGGTGCCTACGGCATCCGTCAGGAGTCGTGGGCGCACCGTGGTTGAGCTGGAAGAAACAGATTATGGCAATATTTAATTCATCTGAGCGGCATTATGATACCCAGCTTGATGAGCCCTGCTTCACGGTGCCGAGGCTGACTTCTGGCAGCGTCTCACTTTGGGTCGCTTCAGTTGTCAGATGGATGCTTTGCAGCGCGAAGAGCCGACTCCCCACGGCCCGGTTCGCCTTGCCGACTGCGGATGTGACCCTGCTCTGGCTCTATCAAACCTTACGTGAAGTCCTCTGGCACACAATATAGAATTGTAGCTAGCTCTGGACTCTCCCTCCTGGCGCATGGCATGCGCCCGCACGATCTATGTGATCGGTACGATGTTTGGGCACTGTCTAGAAGGTCTGGCGCGGCGGCGTAATGAATTAAGGTCGACAGCGTCTGAGGATTTCGTCCATGCATCAATGTCGTGCATTCCGTATAGAGAACTCATTCCAGGCCTGGCCGTTCGTTCTGCCTCAACAACCGACAAATCTCCGAGATAATGGATATCGTGATATGGGAGTCTCATCCGGCGGCACTATGATAATCCCGTGGGCCACTTTGGCTTTGTCTGGGTGGAGGGACCCCCCACTTGGTGACGGCGGGGCGGGAACGCGATTGCGAACAATCAGATCTTTTGCCAGAACAAGCCATTGAGACGTCACGTCTTCCCTCCTTTCTCCAAAAATTTGTCGCCGTGTTTGATAACTACCCTCCGTTCGCTCACTTGGTATCTCACTGTCGTATCGTCCCTTCTACTGCGCTGTCGCGCGGGCTAGACAATCGCAAGCGGCTGTTTGACTGCCGACAACGGAGCGACACGCGATCCCGCCCACGCTGCATTTATCGTGAGCCATCGTTCTCGGTCTTGCTCTCGTTGTCCAGTCTGTCTGCTCGTATTGCACACTGCGCCCACTCGAGGTCCCATCGCCTTCATCATGGACAAAATCACGGACAAGATCGCGGCTCTGCCGCCCGATGCCAACTACTTCTCCCTCGAATTCTTCCCACCCAAGACCCAGATGGGCTTTGCCAACCTGCGATCCCGTCTTGAACGCATGGCCCGAGCCCTAAAACCGACCTTCGTCAACGTCACCTGGGGTGCTGGTGGCTCGACCGCGCAGAAGTCCATGGAGCTCGCCGAGATCTGCCAGCGCGAGCTTGGCCTGACAACCTGCCTGCACCTGACGTGTACCAACATGAGCCGGCGACTCATCGACAAGGCGTTGGAGGACGCGAAGGTCTTGGGTATAAGGAATATACTGGCGTTAAGAGGTGATCCACCGCGCAAGGAGGAGTACCGTGACGAGAACGAAGACGACGACCTCGACGGAAGCGACGAGTTCACGTGGGCGGTGGATTTGGTGCGCTACATACGGAAGAACCACGGTGACCATTTCTGCATTGGTGTCGCTGCATATCCTGAAGGCCACGCCGATGAGAGCCATCCCCTGGGCCAGAGTATGGAGCACGACCTGCCGTCGCTGGTAGAGAAGGTTCAGGCTGGAGCAGATTTCATTATGACGCAGTTGTTCTTCGACATCAAGGCGTACGACAAGTTTGAGAAAACGCTTCGTGAGCACCCAAGCGGTGCCTTCAAGGATACCATCATTATTCCGGGCCTCATGCCCATACAGAATTACCAGATGATCAAGAGGACGACGAAACTGAGCCATGCCAGGATACCTGACGATCTGATGGCGCGGCTGGAGGACGTGAAGAAGGATGATGAGCAGGTGAAGCAAGTTGGCGTTGACATTCTCAGTGAGCTGATCGAGCAGATCAGGGAGATAAAGAACAGGACACCAGGACCAAAGGGATTTCACTTCTACACTCTCAATTTGGAGAAGGCTGTCTCCTTTATTCTTGAACGGACAGACTTGATACCACTAGAGACACCGAATGAGGAAGCGGTGATGGACGACTTGATACCTCTGGTGCCGAAGATCGAAGTCAACGGCTCGGGATCGAACCACTCTTCACAACAACATCTCGCTATCGGCCACTCCTCCCGCCGCCAGTCCAATGTGTCATCCGAGCCGCGCAATCGCGTCATCATATCTGGCGAGAATCGCAACCCCTCCAACCCAGAGTACGAGGCCACACAGCTTGAAGCCTCACGGCCCTATGACCCGGTCCACAGCCGGGTTAATACCCTGGCTATCTCGGAGGGCGAGGGCATCCTTGGGCGCGAGGCAACATGGGATGATTTCCCCAATGGACGATGGGGTGACGCTCGGTCGCCAGCGTACGGTGAGATCGATGGATACGGTGTGAGCTTGCACATGTCCGTGACTCAGGCGCAGAGGCTGTGGGGGGCTCCCAAGAAGGTGGAGGACATCAACACTCTGTTCATCCGCCACCTGAAGGGCGAGCTCTCGGCAATACCCTGGAGCGAGGAAGAGTTCAACGCCGAGACTGGGACGATTAAGGAGAAGCTGATCGAACTCAACACGCGCGGTTGGTGGACGGTCGCATCGCAGCCTGCTGTAAACGGGTTGCGGTCGTCGGACCCGACGTTTGGCTGGGGTCCGGCCAACGGATTTGTCTTCCAAAAAGCGTTCGTTGAATTCTTTTGCCCCGCTGACGACTGGAAGCGGCTGTACGAGAAGCTATCAAAACCCGAAATGAAGAACACCATCTGGTTCTACGCGGTGAATGCGGCCGGTGACTTCCTATCGTCCGACTTCAGCGGCGGTCTGAATCTTGAGGTGCAGGAGGCTGGCACGAACGCGGTAACCTGGGGTGTTTTCCCTGGAAAGGAGATCATCACGCCCACTATCATCGAAGAGGTCAGTTTCCGGGCTTGGTCGGAGGAAGCATTCGGCATCTGGGGCGAGTGGGCACAGGTCTATGGCAAGGGCTCGGAGAGCTCCAACTTCTTGGAGAAGATGAAGAGTGACTTGTGGCTGGTTAACATCATCCACCATGAATATGTCGAAAAGGATGCGCTGTGGGAACTCTTGGCGAGTTCATAATATGTCACCAAGACTGCACAACAATTGAGTGTTAGCATTATCGCCTCAACGAAGGCTCTGGCGGCTCCCAATACAAAGCGATCCGAAAGAAGTATTATATTGGACTTCAACGTCGGTCACCGTGTGGTTCCAGCTCTTCCCTCTATTGATTCGCTACCCCTGCCGAGCAATTGTGTGTCTTCTTCCAATGTCTTTCCATTCCCACGTGGCTCCATTTACATCTTAATCTTTATCCAAATGGGCTCTCGCTTATCTTGGCAGGGGTTCGTCTCGTTTACAGTGGAACTCCATCTTTCTCTAACAAGCGGTTGCTTCCGAATAAACTTTCGAGGATCATAAACAATGATTATGATCTTCGCACCCAGCGCAGACCATTTTGGGGAGGCCCAAGAAGCTATTCGGAATAATTTGCAAACACCTGTTTACGCGTACATTTCCAAGACGACCACAGCCGTTCTTCCTCCTGCAGGATGTCAGCCACTCCTGAAACAAAACGCCGCCGGGACCGACCCATTTAATTGGCAATCGCACGGTTTTAAATTGCAGCTCGGATGATCGGCTTCCAGGGCTGTGGGATCCGACAGCGCCGCCGCGCCGCACGGCTGGATCCCGATTCTGACAGGTAGCCAATCGACGACAGAGGATTCTCGACTTCCTCTTGTCTCCTGGCCAGATCGAGGATGGTGTGGATGCCGCTTATATCGGTTAGGGGGCCACGCGATGTGAGGGCTGGGGTGACTTGGCCTTGGACCGTGGGGTGATTTTTATATCCACTTGGACATGTGCACTCTCTCGATGGGCTTCTTCTTCCGCCGACCGCCCTATCTCTCCAGAGTCACTGGTCTGCCTTACTCGTTCAATTTGAGTCTGATAAAAAGCTGGGCTTTAACTTTCTGTATTTGAAGGCAGCGTTGATCACTGTCTTGTACCCTCACTTATCCGCCTTGAACAAAACCATTTATCGCGATACCTATTCCCGAACGACTAGTCGACTACTCAAGCTGAGCTGCAGCTTCGCCAGTACAGCTGCACATCTCACACCCGACCAGTAAAACAATTGTGGTCATTCTCAATTCCGCCCCATATCAACCGACGCGGGACTACCTCACATCCCAAAACCCAGGCGAACTCGCAAAGCAGACATGGCCGAAGCGATAGCAGCAGCAGAAGGCTCTGCCACGACCGACTGGGTCACGTTTGATGGCACTGGAGTGCCCTCCAAGTTCATGTTCCACGCCATCTTCTTCCCAATAATAATGGCCGTCTTCCTCGTCGTGCCCGGCATCATATGCTATTTCTCCCTGACTTTTGGACATCGGGGCCGAATCTCTCAGTATTCGCCACCGAATGCAAGATATGGTGAGTCGCCCTGGTTCCCCAAACCCGTCTTATGATTGAGAAGGTCTTCATGGAGGCTTGATATTCCAAATCTAGGCTAACATGCTGGCTGTAACAGAAGCGAAAGACGTGCATCATGGACCGGTTCATAATGGACAAGTAGCGGATGTGTAGAGCGTGTTGATTTGCATTGGGCTGGAGTTCGGTGTTCTTCTCCTCAGGATGACTTCTCCTGAGCGGCAGGTGTTTTTTTTACTCAGCGTTGGGTTGGTATATTGTTAGTGAGTTGCTTGTGACTGACTGGATCACCGTAGTCACGCCGGCAATGGTGCCATGACAGTGGCACTGGGCGATACATTCATGCAGAATGAAAGAAATAACACAATGTCTCCGAGACATCGAAACGCGTATGATTATCTGAACGGATGAATGAGTTTGTTTCAATATTGCCGACTAACTGTACCTTCATCTTGTCACCTCCCACTCCCTGCTGACCATGATCCCTGGTGTCTGTCTGCTGTCGTCCTTGGCCTCGAAACTACTGCCATCTCTGCTCTCATGACTAGCCCCTTTATCTACCGAGACGGCTGAAACCTCGGCCGGATGCTTGAGTCCCAGCGGACGAAGTCGAAGTTGATCGCCGCCACTTTCGTCGCCAAGAGGCTGGAACTGCTCTCTCCCAGAAGTCCTGAACCCACGATCGATTCCGTTTCTGTATTTGCAACGCCCGATCAGTGGTCGAAAAAGAGGAATGCAAGCTAGAGTGACAGCCATGCTAGGCTCGAGGCCACTGAAGATGTTGGCTAGGGTCATGCTGTATGGAATGTCCGTGAAATCCATCTGCGTGAGGCAGACCAGGCGGATGGCACTAGTGATGCAAGTGCTAGACAAGGAATCGAGAAGTTAGCCTAGAGATAGTAGGAAAGTCAACATTGAGGGAAATGCTCGACAAGGCGAACGTACAGGAAGCCCAAGCTGAATATGGCAACTAATGCCAGCTTCTTGTATATGCCCATGCGCAACTTGTACAGCGCCGGTAGGGGCAAAATGACGATAGCAACATCCGTTGCAAGGTTGATCGTTCCAGTAATTATGAACGAAAGGACTTGATCTCCACAGTGACCATTAGGGATCGTCTTCCAATTCATCGAAAAAGGCTGGCATATTAAGCACCCAGCCAGAATTGTGCCGGCTGCCCACGCCACAGTAATTGCCATGGCGGCTCTCGCTGTGATAAGAATGTGATATTCTGCCTTGAACAGCTGAGAGTACAGGAGCAAAATAGAAGTCTTAGAGAAAGCGAGACTCAATGTCCATAGGAACTGCAGCGGAATAGTGAGCTTGAGCAGTATGGCAACTGGCTCGCTGCCGAATTGCGTCACGATCTCTGAGGCATGCCCATATGCTAAACCACCGTGGAACACGGCTGTGATACTAATAGCTTCAAGGGCTATTGTCAAGGCTGCAGCAATGATAGCGCAGTAGTCGGTCAAGTTCAAGGATCGCGATGAGATGCGGCGGGCGAGGACACGAAGAAGTACTGCGGCTGCAGGTATGACGCTGAAAATTATGGCCGAGGAGAGAACAGCTCTTTGCTGGTAATTAATAATTGGGAAAGTCGTCATAGTTCGGACATGTTTGTCTGCAGGAACGATGATATCCCCTGGAATAACTTTTGTGCTGGACAGAATGACTTATAAGGCATGGCCCAATTTGATCGATGTCATCCCGACCAATATTTCAGCAATTATTGCCATCATCCGTTGATTATTTACCAGTTATTCGATGTGACAAAATCCGGCGTCGCGGCTACGGCACTCAAAAGTTGTAATGATCTCCGGTAGTCACGCAACCCACATGTTCGGTTGCCATCTCCGGCACGTCAAGTGACGGGGCAGACTTCCGAACCGGGGTCCGGGGATACTCGGTTTTGTGAGCCCAGAGGCTGGTTGGTGATCCACATTCCCTTGCTGGGCCTGCTGGGACGCCTATCTTTCTATGATGGGTCTAGGGCTGCGGAGCCTTATGAAATAAATACGACAGGTAAACCGTTTGAGCCGAGGCGAGAATCATCACGGTGGATCGCAAAAGCCCAAAAAGTTCAGAGCCAGGTGCAATGAGTCTAGCTATCTTATCCGACTCTTATCATTGGCCTGGGGCTGATGAAATGTAACATTCTTTATTTTGTGTGCCTATGAGCGTCAGCTCGAGGTCTACCTGAATAGGAGTGTCAGCATTCGTTCGTTGCACCGTGGGGAAACCATCCGATCTGTAGTAGAATACTTGCCAATGAGCTAGGACATCTAAACCAAAACTAACCACAAAGACAAGATGGCGACTTTTCCGGTCGACCAGATGAGCAACGTGCCGATCGCCCTGCAGGTCCTAGGATCGGTACTGGTAGCCGTTCTGAGCATCCTCATTTGGAGAAGGTATCTGTCTCCCCTGCGAGATATCCCTGGCCCTTTCGCTGCATCCTTCACTCGCCTGTGGCACATGAAGCGGATCCTGAAAGGCGACCAGAACCTTGAACTAATCCGTCTCCACGAGAAATATGGTCACTTTGTGCGTATCGCCCCAGATGAAGTCAGCGTCAGTCACCCGGATGGGCTGAGAAAGGTCCTCCTTACGCCACTGCGCAAGGGCGACTGGTACAAGATTGTGCACTTCCCGGACAGGCGCTTCAAGAACCCCATGGGTGAGACAGACCCGGCGACCAAGAACGAGCTGAGCAAGCATGTCGCCTCGGGCTATCTCCTCAGCAACCTGCTGCAAGCAGAGCCAGCCGTCGATGACACGATCGAGCTGCTCCTCGGCTGGCTGGATAAGCACGTAGATGAGCGCAAGCCTCTTGACCTGGACCGCTTCTTCACCTATACCACTTTCGACGTCGTCGGCGAAGTAATCTTCTCCAAGTCCTTCGGCTTCCTGCGCGAGGGCAAGGACATCGGCGGAGCCATTGCCAACTCCCTAGCCCAAAACATCTACGTCGCTGTTGGTGGCTACATGCAATGGTTCCACTTGCTGCTGTCCAACCCGTTGGTGACATGGCTCGACATCCTCCCCTTTGGCCACATCATCGACACAGCGATGGGCGCAATAAAGGAGCGGGAGAAGAACCCTGAGGCGCGCTTCGATGCCGTAGCACATTGGTTCCGATACCTCGAGCAGAATCCGGACCGCATGACAGCTAGAGAGATACAATCAGCCGCTGCCAATGCCGTGGCCGCGGGCGCGGACACTGTTGCGTGTGGCCTGCAGTCCTTTGTCTACCACATGATCCGCCGCCCGGACCTTTGGCAGCGGGTGAGGAAGGAAATTGACGACGCGGGATTGTCGGCGCCGGGGATGCAGAAGAAGGTGGTGCCATATTCTGAAGCACAGAAACTTCTTCTCTTGCAGGCCTGCATTAAGGAAGCCCTGCGGGTGTTTAGCCCAGCTCCGATGGGTCTTCCGCGTGTAGTCGGTGAGGGTGGTGTTACAATTGGTGACCGCACGTTCCCAGAAGGGACGACTTTATCAGTCAGCGCCTGGGTGATACACCATTCCAAGGAGTTCTGGGGTGCGGGCGCGAGTGAGTTTCGTCCGGAAAGGTGGCTGGCTGGCGCGAAGTCGGCAGCCCTCGACAAGTACTACATGCCTGTAAGTCTCAGTTGGTGTGCATTGGTTCCGTAATGGCTTCGAAGTACAGAAACTCACATACTCTTAGTTCGGACTTGGTTACATGTCCTGTCCTGGGCAAAATATCACTAAGATCGAGCTCTCCAAAATCTGTGCGACAATTGTTCGGGACTATGATATTCGCCAGGTCGACTCTAGCCAGGAATGGCAATGGAAGCCGTACTTCACTGTTGCCCCACACTCATGGCCCTGTTATGTCGAGAAGCGGCAATAGATTGCATGGTCTCCTTCGCGGCAAAGAGGCTCATTTGCAGGACCGGCAGAGGATAATTGAAGCGGCTTTGTGGAATTCGAGAGGTCAGTCGGCAGTGTCTATTCAGAGACGCCGGCTGTGCCGAAATTGGGCCGTGGCCTTGAGTAGGTAAGAACAGGTCCGAATCTGATCATCTTTGGGCATTGCACAGATTTATGACGGTGCGATGTCATCAATTGCTATTGTTGTAAGATTTATGAGCTCATTAATAAAGAAGGTTCTTGAGTCTCAGACCGCTCTCACTGTACCACGGCAATTGACGAAATAAACAAAACAAAAGACTATATCAAGAGGAGAAAATAGCACTAGTTTCGGGGGCCCAAATTATAGAAGACAGCAATAGTACCTACGCCGGCCAATAAACCTGACAGTAAAATCAATTGACGTCACTTTTCACAGGATGGCCAGCTTTTCCTTCGGGGATATGATGTCTCTCGACCATAAAGCGTCATACGCGTCTCTGTCTCTTGTTCTGACGCTTCTCCCTTCGCTCATCGATTCGACTTTGCTTGATCGTAGACTCAAGCTCGGCGTGTCGCCACGCAAAAGCCTTGGTCAACTCCAACCGAAACACCTCATCATCCAGATCCTCCACGCACATAGCAAAAATCTCAGGTGGAGCATTGCTAGCGGCTGCGACGAAGCCTGGCCAGAATGGCCAGCCCTCTTCTTTGCACTTCCGGAACATTGTTTGGAGATTGAGCATCAACGCCTTCAGATCTGCTTCCGAGCTTCGCTCGCACAGATCCTGCCAGAACTGAACTGAAAGTTCCCCGAGTTTCTCAACAAGCTCTGCACTTGCCATCTCCAAAACTCCACGGTCGCGAAAGCGGTCCCCCATGTGCCAAAGGGTCAGAATCATCGCCCAAGGGTGGTATTTAGACATCCCTTGTGTATCAACGGGCCATATGTCGTGCATCTCCAGGCTGTTCTTGCAGAGAACCAGTGGATACATTGCGCCAACGTATAGACCGAAGTCATCGGGGGAAACGTCATCTAGGTGAATTGTGTTCGTTTGACCGCCACCGAATGGGCCACCAAGGGCTTCCATAAAGTATTGTGAGCCCCTGATCAGCACGTCTTTGTGAATGCAAAAGGCGTCTCCACCTTTGACATTGATTGAGATCATTTGACCGGGCATACTAGTCTTGGAATTAGCTTGAAAAGGATGGATACGTCTGGTTATTGAACATCAGGATGGAAGCGGCATACCTTAGAGGCCCATACCTGTCTATATAGTTTGGCTCAGGCACTGGGCTGTCTTGCCGGCGCCGCTCGCAATCGCGGCACATGATGAGCAGATGAACAGTGAATCTACCTTGGTGAACGCGAGTAATAGGCTACTCAATTGGGACAGAGAATCGAAGGAGTCATGAATATAGGCTGGGCCTAGCTTTTTGTGGAAGGGTGAAATGGACCTCGTTCCCCGCTCGCCTTGAATGTCGTGTGCGCGCGACGCGTCTCGAGTTTCGACTTAGAGTTCAGTCACACGGGTGGTCAAGGTTCACCAATACGACTCCAGGCTCGGTGCAGTACTCACACTGCAATTCAAAAATACAGTGCCCATCTTGACTCTTGCCACGAGGTTCACGGAGTACAGGACTAGACAGTACCATTCTCCATGTGCCAATGGTGCGGGAAGAGGGTCCTGGAGAGGCCCAAGCAGGTTGACCAGGCTCTTGCGAGAAGACTGCGAAATGGCATTCCCCGAAGACTAATTAGCACACTTGAGATTGGTTGTTTTTGTTGCCGGAAGGTAAGCAACAATGAAATATCGACGACGTCTGAATCAGCATGCACGTTAGTCTACATGAGATGCGTTGTTGATGGGGCGATGCACTGCTGACAAGCATGTACATGGTGATCCCTGTCCATGGGATCGGCGCTAAGATAACTCTAATTCCTTATCGAAAAAAGTTTTGGTTTACTTTGCTCACGCTCGACTTGCAGCGGGCGCCTGTGCAGCCCAAAACTGCCATCCGCACGCAGCAGTCGAGATGACAACAAGACTCCCTTTCAAAACGACATTCGAACCCGAAAGGGCGATACAGCCCATATTCACCGGGGGCTCAGTTGCACTAGACAATGGTGCCAGGATTCTGGCCACAAGCCTCGGGGAGGATGCCGTCTTGACGGATCTCTCAACCGGGAGGCAGTATGCTAGAATTGAAGGAGTCAGTCCATGCTTTGCCGCGAACAACAAACAATGACACCGCTGACGCTCAATACTAACTAGGATGACGAGCAAATATCAACCTTGACATGTACGGCGCACCAGATGCTTCACGTTGTTCTGAGTGATAGCTAACCTGAGAGCCTAGTGACCCCTTCCGCCTCTCACCTGATCGTCTGCTCTCGATCTCTCTCCATGCGCATATACTCCCTCAAAGTATCCGAAGATCAAGACGAAATCGAAGCGACCCTGACCCGAACTCTCAAACCACACGGGACCCCCGTCATCGTCTTGGCTGTCGACCGGACCGGCACTCTGCTCGCGACCGGCGCTGCCGATGGTAACATCAAAGTCTGGGACCTGATCGGTGGATATGTGACACACACGTTCCGGGGACCTAGCGTTCTTGTGTCAGCTCTACACTTCTTCGAGATCGCCACTAGTAGGCTAGCAGACGAGCAATTAACGGGCAAGAAGGGCAAGAAGACAAAGCGGAAAAGCGACGTCGGCAGTGATGACAAGAACGATGCGACTGCTAGGTTCCGTCTGGCATCTGGTAGTCAGGATGGCAAAGTCAGGGTCTGGGACCTGCACAAGCGCGCAGTGGTCGCGGACCTTGAGTCACATGTGTCGGACGTCCAGGGGTTGGATTACTCTGCGTCGCAACATGCGTTGGTTACGGCCAGTCGAGATAAGACGATGATCTGGTGGGATGCGAAGTCATGGACCCCGAGAAAGGTCATACCGACATTTGAGACGATGGAAGCCGTGGGCTTCTTAGAAGATGGCAGGCTGACCTATACTGCTGGCGTCAATGGCTGTGTGAGGCTTTGGGAATCCGACACTGGCCGTGAGGTGACGGCAGAACAGGCATCGAAGTCTGAGGGGGACTCAATAGTTGGCGCAGTTCTCTGCTCAGAGCAAAACCTGCTACTGACTGTCCAGACGGATCATACCCTCGTCCTTTACCGAACACCATCGGTGCGAGATGCTCTCACAATTCCTGAATTAGCACCCCTTGAACCGCTCAGAAGGATTTCGGGCACTCACGACGAGATCATCGACCTTGCATACGTCTTACCTGATCGCTCCATGATGGCACTGGGCACAAATTCGGAAGACGTGCGATTAGTTTCTGTGGCAGAGGTAGACGGAGGAGCAGATGATACTATTGGGACAGGGCATTACCTGGGCCAGGATATAGGCTTGCTCAAAGGTCACGACGAGATCGTGATTACGCTCGACGTCGACTGGTCCGGACACTGGATCGCAACAGGTGCCAAGGACAACACGGCTCGGCTGTGGCGGGTGGACCGGGAGAACAACAGCTACACGTGCTGGGCCATATTTACGGGACACGCAGAATCATTGGGTGCTATTGGCCTCCCCAAGACTATTCCTCAGGATTCGTCTGCAGCTTACCAGGACCCTGTCAACAACCCTCCCGCGTTTTTGGTAACAGGATCTCAGGACTTGACGGTGAAGAAGTGGGAGATCCCTCGGCAAGCCCAGAAGAAAGCCAAGGCTCTGTTTACGAGAAAGGCGCACGAGAAAGACATCAATGCGCTCGATATAAACCCCACAGGACAACTATTTGCATCTGCATCGCAGGACAAGACTGTCAAGATCTGGTCTGTGGCTGAGGGTGAGGTCCAGGGTATTCTTCGAGGCCACAAGAGGGGTGTGTGGTCAGTCAGATTTGCACCAGCCAACACGCCCACCATCCAAGGCGACAAGGGGGCAGTGGCCGGAAAAGGTCTGATTTTGACCGGCTCTGGAGACAAGACCGTCAAGGTATGGAGCTTGTCTGATTATACTTGCCTGAGGACATTCGAGGGCCATTCGAACAGTATTTTGAAGGTGGCATGGCTCAATCAGCACACAGAGGGCGACAAGTCAAAGCGTGTCCAATTCGCCAGTGCCGGTGGTGACGGTCTCGTAAAGGTCTGGGATGTCAACAGCGGCGAGACAGAGACGACGCTAGATAACCACGAGGACCGGGTTTGGGCCCTTGCTGTACACCCCGAAACGAACATGATAGTCTCGGGAAGCGCAGACTCCACAATCACCTTCTGGAAAGACACCTCATCACAGACACAGTCTGCGGCGGTCGAGGCAGCCACCAAGCTGATTGAGCAGGAGCAGGAGCTCGAGAACTACATGCATACTGGCGCATACAGAGATGCCATCGCGCTTGCACTGCAGCTCAACCACCCTGGCAGATTGCTCAACCTCTTCACCAAAGTTGTCACCTCCAAGGAACAAGACAAGGGGAGCTTGTCCGGCCTCAAGGCGGTAGACGAGGTCTTGGCGACGCTCTCGGACGAGCAGATCTTCTTGCTGCTACTGAGGCTGCGGGATTGGAACACCAATGCCAGAACCGCGCCAGTAGCCCAGAGGATCTTGTGGGCCGTCGTCAGGAGTTACCCGGCCTCCAAGTTCTCCAACCTGTCAGTCAAGGGTGCGCGTGGGCAGAAGAGCTTGAATGAGGTTCTGAACGCGCTGAAGGTGTATACCGAGAGGCACTACAAGCGCATGGAGGAGCTTGTGGATGAATCGTACCTGGTCGAGTATACGCTGCAGGAGATGGAAAACTTGGCACCAACGATGGACTTGCCCTCAGCTGATGAGAATGGTAAGGCGGATGTGCTGATGCTGGATGCATCTTCATGAGATCGGGCAGTTCTTGGGTAGATAAAATAGACGTGATACCAAATCATCATAATTGAATCTCAACAAATCACCATTTTGAAATGTCTCTGAACTATCGCGAGGAGTTCAATTTTTTTTCTTTTTCCCTCGAATAAAGATCAAAACATAGCCATGGAGGACTTCGGTCGGGATGCTATCAACTGGCCTTGGACAGAGCTCTGGTCGTGGCAATAGCAAAAGGTGGGGGCGTCAGCGCATCAACCAAAACAGTCCCCAAGATTTCCGCGCTGCAGTGAACCTGATCCACCACAGCTGCCTCATCGACATGACCACCTACTGCACCACCCAGGGCCCGATCTAATCTCTCTCCCTTTCCCTACAAACCACACACGAATCGAGTGCCAAATCAACATGTCGAAGCGATTGGCATCGGAAGCTCTCGAAGAAGCTTTGAACGCAGACTCCCCTGCATCGAAAAGGTCGAGAATTGGCGAGCCAAGTGAAAGTCCCAGCGCGCACGAGAACGGCGACCTGGAGCGCGAGGCAGAGGATGAGACCACACCAAGAAAGAATGGCAACGCAAACGGACACGGAGTAGACTCAGACTCCGACTTTGACGACGATGTGCCTGAAGAGAAAGCACCGATCAGACAATCGGCGCCCACAGCCGGCTACGATGACCTGTACCTCGACACGATCGACCGGAATGTGCTAGATTTCGACTTCGAGAAGCTCTGCTCAGTATCACTTTCCAACATCAACGTATACGCGTGCCTAGTTTGCGGCAAGTACTTTCAAGGCCGGGGCCCAAAATCACACGCCTACTTCCACTCGTTGGATGAAAACCACCATGTCTACATCAACATGGCAACTCAGAAAGTATACGTGTTACCGGAAGGTTACGAGGTTACGAGCAAGAGTCTGGAGGATATCAAGTACGTGTCGGATCCGAGGTACACAAAACAAGAGGTTATGGAGATAGATCGCCGGCCACGCACCAGTCTCACAATCTTGGGCAAGGACTACACACCAGGCTACGTAGGGATGAACAACATCAAGGAGAACGACTACCTGAATGTGGTGGTGCAGGCACTTTCGCACGTTCCACCACTGCGAAACTTCTTCCTGTTGGAGGACTTTGCGAGCTCCCGGTCGGAGCTGGTGAAGAGGACGAGCATTTTGTTCAGGAAGATCTGGAACCCGCGCGCGTTCAAGTCGCACGTGTCGCCACACGAGCTGCTACAGGAGATTTCATTACGGTCGAACAAGCGATATACCCTGACAGCGCAGAGTGACCCTGTCGAGTTCTTGAGCTGGTTCCTGAACAACCTTCACCTCGGCCTAGGAGGAAGCAAGACCAAGCCGGGAAGCAGTATGATCCAGCGAGTATTCCAAGGAAAGCTCAAAGTCGAGTCGCAAGCAATCACGGCGAAAGCGGACGTGGGCGACCGCCTGCGGTTCGAGGAGGCGGCAGAAGTAAAGGTGGATGTCAGCCGATTCCTCCTCCTGACGCTGGACCTCCCTCCCGCACCACTGTTCCAAGACGAACAGGAGCGCAACATCATTCCCCAGGTGCCGCTCACAAAGATCCTTTCCAAGTACGACGGCCACTCAGCACAAGAGCACCTGGCACACAGGCGACGCTACAGGTTGATGCACCCCTTGCCGCCTTACCTAGTCATGCACGTCAAGCGCTTCAGCCAGAACAAGTTCGTCAGCGAGCGCAACCCGACGATCGTGACGTTCGACTCGCGCGACCTGGACGTGAGCCCGTACGTGGAGCCGGACCCGTCAATACACCCCGGGCGCGGGCCGATCTACTACGACTTGGTGGCGAACGTCGTCCACGAGGCGGTGCGGCTGCGCGAGGACGTGGCGGACACGGGCGAGGAGCGCAAGACGTGGAAGGTGCAGTTGCTGGACAAGGCGAGGGGAGAGTGGGTGGTCTGCCAGGACTTGTTCGTGGACAAGATCCAGAAGGAGCTGCTGTGTATGGGAGAGAGCTACTTGCAGGTCTGGGAGCGAAGGAGAGAGCCTGGCCAGGGGAAGGGCAAAGGAAGGGCCTGAACGACCTTGGGACTGTATACTACAAGAAATGTAGTGCCCGTTTGCGGCCTTAGCCCACTGAACATTTAATTGGGACTGGGCAGCACTCATCTGAACCAAATAGTCTGTGAACATCGGGTAAATAATAACAAACTGTGGAATAATGCCAGCTTCGTTCATATTGAAACTTGGTCGCCCATCTGCTGGGTAGGAGTGGGAGCGGTGCGTAGCAGAATGGTCTAAAAACTTGCTTTTCAGCTTCCCTCGGACATGGATGGGGGCGGTCAGACTTGGAAGCAATCTCCAAATTTGTCTGCTTCTGTAGCACTTCGAGGCTGAAAGGTGGTGGTGCCATGCACACTCATGCGTGCCATGATTGCCGTCACCCGTGAGCGGCACCGCGCCCAGGTACCCCACACTGTACACTGGCTGCTGGCTGCTGGCTGCTGGCGGCGTCGATCCGTTAGGTGTTAGGTGCGCAACGGTGGAGCTGGGCTCGGCTGGCTGGGCCCAACCCCGTCGCCTCGCCATCCCAGTGCTCATTGGAAGAGACTTTTTCTGTCGACGCTTTCACATTTTAACAAGTTCCGCATTCCATCCCAACCCGCCCGACCAGACGCCAGACCACTGAATACCAATACCCAAACGTTACCCTTGTGACACCGCCTGCAATCCCCATCCCACCTTCAGATCGATTGTCTTCCCTGCTGCAACCAGGCACTCTTCCATCCAGCCCAATCCAACTACGAAGCCATCCCAAGCATCGAGACCCCCCTGTGTCAAGCTCTGTACCTGGACTCTTCTCCGTCATCAGCATCTTGGTACATCCCTCCGCCACTTACACACATACATACAGTACCAAACACAAATCTGCACTGCAACTTACATTCTGGGTTACACTTCGACTTCAACATCTCCTTCACCTCTCAGCGCCCTCTCTGAACATCTGGCCCATATTCAAATCCTCGTTCCACTGCCACTGTCGACGTATCCTTCCAACGCGCGATCTGCGGTTGCATTTTGACCACCTCCACCACCGCGACAATACGCAACCACAACAAAGAACAGCACATCTGCAACACCCCACCTACAATCATTTCTGCAATCTGATAGGAGCCTGTTCAATTGACCGATATTAAGCGAAACTACTTTTGGGTACATCTCAATCCTCGGGGCCTGGAATAAGTCTGAGAGGAGGGTTGCAGAAATCTACCCAAGCACACATCGCAAAGGGCAGCGTGCCTCGCCGTTCGTTTCACAGCCTTCATGGATAACCTATGGACCCGCCGGACCAAGTATGTCCATACCCATGCCCAGATACCCTAGGCACATCGTGCAAATGCTGACTTTGGCTTCCTCCAGCACCAACAAGCTCTCCCTCACGACTCCAGGTTCAGCCCTCAACGACACCGGCTCCATCGGTCGGAATTCCTCCATCTCCAAGCGATTCGGCGGTGACAGCTCGTCGCATGGGACGAGGAACCCTCTCAACGACATCAAGACCCCCGGCAGCGGACTCGTTTCACCCGGCGGCGCATCCAACGCCTTTGCCCTTGGGACCGGCGCCTTCTCAAACTTCGGAGCCAAGACGCCCAAGTCCACCGGGAATCCCTTCGACCTAGCCTCCAAGACCCCCACGGCCGACAAGTCCGTAAAGGATGGCACAAACGGGGGCAGCACAACCAAGGCCGGCCCAAGTGGGGCTGCGAAATCAGCCGCGACCACACCAGGGGCTGCGCTTAGGGAGAGGAAGGATAGTGACCAACGCGGGGTCCACCCGCTTCGCAACGGCTGGGCGTTCTGGTACCGCCCCTCCATCCCAAAGAATGTCGGCTTCATTCCATACGAGGACACCGTCCATGGTATAGCGCAGGTCGGCACCGCTGAGGAGTTTTGGGCCGTGTACAGGCACCTGAAGCGGCCGTCCTCCCTGCCCGTGGTGTCCGACTACCATCTTTTCAAGAAGGGCGTCCGACCTATCTGGGAGGATGACGAGAACCGGAAGGGCGGCAAATGGGTCGTGCGCCTTAAGAAGGGGGTCGCGGATCGGTACTGGGAGGATTTGATGCTTGCGCTCATTGGTGAGCAGTTTGGCGATGCTGGTGAGGAGGTCTGTGGTGCCGTGATGAGTGTCAGAAACGGTGAGGATATCCTCAGCATCTGGACTGCTACCAGTGGGGGCAAGGTGCTCAAGATCAGGTGAGTAAGAGGCCATCGCACTTGTCAGACAAAAATATCTAACTTTGTCACCAGGGAAACCTTCAAGCGGGTTCTAAACTTTCCTCCGGACACCAAAATCGAATGGAAGGTGCATGAGGAGAGCATCCAACAACGCATCACGGTCGAGGAGTCTCGCAAGGAGAGGGCGAACCAGCACAAGTCTGGTAACAAGCAGAACAACCAGCGACAGACTCAGCAGCATCAGCAGGGCAGCGACGACTCCGCCCCAGCACCAGCCCCCCAGGCATCATAGTGGCAGTCTCGGCGGCAACTGAGCGTGACATTACAGGAGTATCTGCTTACCTGGAGGAGGCAAACTTTCGGCAGTCCACTCTCCAGACACCCCACAACTGATTCCCTAGGTCGGAGGACAGGTGGGAGGAGACGGCTGGATGCTGGCATATCTAGCGAATGGCCCGTGGGTCGTGCAGAGCCGCATGTATCGAATAGTAGCGTGTTGTTTTTTGGGTCACAGCAAATTCCAAGTACTGAGCTTTGCATGCCGAAAAATAAATCACAAATGTGAAAGGTCGACAGTCCTCATCATCTTCAAGCTTGGTTTTGTGAATCAGGCGCACCATGTGGTGCGACTGCAGACCCCACGTTCGTGAAGTTGACCAAGCAGTTTTGGTGAACCTTTGCCGATCAACGCATTGTCAAGATGTATGATCCATATATATGCAGGGATATTCCAAGGTCAGTCCAGGCAATCTGATCGAGCACTGCTGGCTCCGCCTGCACCAACAACATCGGATCGAGATGCCACCAGCCTTGGAAACCCGCCTCCTCACCGTCACCTTCTCTCCTGCTTCGGCACTATCACTTTCTTCACCACCAGGCTCCCCCGATCACTTTGGATAAAAAAGATGCTATGCACTGTCAAACCTCCTCCGGGGAGTCTCCGGGTCCCTCAAGCTGACTGTGAAGCGGTTCCATCAGCTTGGAAATAAGCTCCTTGATATCACTTGGGAGGTTTTGCAATCGGCATAGGATGGTTTTGGGTATGGCATTGGTTTTTTTGTGCTCACATGGAGTTACAAATAAGGGATGCATCAACAAGCCTACAAAATCGGATCTAACCTCCAAGCAAGATGCATCTTGTCTAGGTAATATTTTCGATGGTACACGAGGTGCTGAGCGTAAGTGCATGAGAGGATTGGATATCGATAAGAGGGTACGTGAACCGGCCGCCGTGATTTAGAGGCTACGGAGTCCGGTACAGCACCTTTGCCCCCCTCGCTATCGTTATCGTACACGGTGCTCCCGCCTCATCAGCCTCAGCTCACCTGTCGGACGACCCCTCCATGCGACACAAGCTCACTGGCCGTTTCGTGGGCATCCACCCTGTTGACTCACACTTCACTGCATTTTATATCTCGTTTGACCAACAACCCCACAGGATTGAAACCCCCCAGATTATTCTATTAAGAGCCTAGAGCATCTGCGAGTCCAAAGCATTCTTGGAAACCAGCGGCCGCGATCCAAAAGTTGCCCCACCAAGTTTTTCGTAAGGGTGGACCCTGGTCTGGTCTCTCTCATTCTCGTTCTCATTCTCATCGTCGTCCTCATCTCAAGAGGCTCACAGCTCGCCGTAGCGACAGCGCAGCACACGAAACAAAACCCGCAAGATGGCAACGGACCCAATACTGCCAGTGGAGGGCAAGAGGAATATTCTCATCACCAGCGCTCTCCCATATGTCAACAATGTGCCCCACCTCGGGAATGTCATCGGCAGTGTCCTGTCCGCAGATGTCTTCTCCCGCTGGTCCAAGGCCCGCGGTTTCCAAACTCTCTTCGTTTGCGGCTCTGACGAGTACGGAACTGCCACCGAGACCAAGGCCCTCGAGGAGGGCGTGAGCCCCGAGGAGCTCTGCAAGAAGTACCACGCTCTCCACAAGGAGATCTACGACTGGTTCAAAATCGAGTTTGACATCTTTGGTCGCACCCCTACCGAGCACCAGACACAAATCACCCAGGACATCTTCCGCAACTTGTGGAACAACGGCTTCATCCTCGAGCGCGAGGAGTTCCAGCCTTTCTGCTCTCACGAGAACCACAACAGCTTCCTCGCTGACAGATTCGTCGAGGGAGAGTGCTCCATTTGTGGCGACAATGGGGCGCGAGGTGACCAGTGCGACAAGTGCGGCAACCTGTTGGATCCATTCCAGCCCGAATCCGAGGCGGGTGCATCCGATGATGCTGCGGCAAAGGGTACCGGGTGGCTCGTGAACCCCCGCTGCAAAGTTGACGGCACAACGCCCGAGAGGCGGAAGACAAAGCACCTGTACCTGCGACTGGATGCACTAGGAGACGAGATCAAGGGCTGGTTCCTCGAGGCTAGCAAAAAGGGTGCATGGAGCTCCAACTGTATCCAGATCACCGACTCGTGGATCCAGAAGGGGTTGCTGCCTCGTGCCATCACTCGTGATCTGAAATGGGGCACTGCCATACCCAAGGGCCTCAAGGGTCTGGACGATGAGGCATATGCTAACAAGGTGTTTTACGTGTGGTTCGATGCCTGCATTGGGTATGTGTCCATTACAGCCAACTACACAGACGGCAAGAATGCGGATGGGAAATTGTGGGAGAAGTGGTGGAAGTCCGATAATGTCGACCTCATACAATTCATGGGTAAAGACAACGTTCCCTTCCACACCATCGTCTTCCCAGGCTCCCAGATCGGCACTAGGGAGAAATGGACCAAGGTTCACAAGCTTTCTACCACCGAGTACCTGAACTACGAGGAATCCAAGTTCAGCAAATCCAAGGGAGTCGGCGTGTTTGGAAACAATGCGAAGGACACTGGAATCGAGCCAAACGTGTGGAGATATTATCTGCTTTCTCGTCGCCCTGAGACTGCCGACAGCGAGTTCAAGTGGACCGAGTTCGTCGACGCCAACAACAACGACCTGCTGAAGAACCTTGGCAACTTCAACCAGCGCGTGGGCAAGTTCTGCCAAGCCAAGTACGACTCCGTAGTCCCCGACTACACGAAGTACACATCCGAGGGCATCGCCGCGCACATCAAGGACGTGAACACCCTCCTGAAGGAGTACAACACTCACATGGACGCCACCAAGCTGCGGGCGGGCCTCCAGACGGTCCTGGCCATGTCCTCGCTCGGCAACAAGCTCCTCCAGGACAACAAGCTGGACAACCGCCTCCTGGCCGAGGAGCCCGACCGCTGCGCGGCCGTCATCGGCCTCGCGCTGAACCACATCGCCCTGCTGGCCTCCATCGTCGCCCCGTATATGCCCGGCACCGCCGCCAACATCTTCGAGCAGCTCGGCCTCGAGCCTCAGCCGTCCATCCCGGATACGTGGGTGACGGACGCCATCAAGCCCGGGCACAAGCTCGGCACCCCCCAGCTTCTGTTCACGCAGATCCCGGCGGCCAAGGTCGAGGAGTGGCGCGAGGCGTACGGCGGCGAGGAGGTCAAGAAGGCCAAGGAGCTCGCCGCCAAAAAGGCCGAGGAGAAGAGGCTCGCCAAGGAGCGCGAGAAGGAGAAGAAGAGGCTCAAGAAGCTGGCCGCGGCTCAGGCTAAGGAGAACCAGACGCGTAAGTGACTTCAACCCGAGCGTGGTGCAACGTAATCTTTTCACACGTGAAGAAAAAAAAGGCAAAGAAATTGTACGAAACCGTGAAAGATATGCTGACACGATCCCTTACAGCCGCTGCCAAGCCAAGCGTCGAGTCGACCGAGAAAAAGGAGATGGCAGACCCCGAGATCGAAAAGGTCACCGAGGCCATCGCCAAGGCGGACGTGCACACTTCGTAAGTGGTATGGCCGGACTACAGGCGTCTTGTAGCGCACAGTCAGCGCATTGCGTAGATTTTCATCCGTGATTTTGCGGACGCTGTTGAGTAGGGCATGGGGTGGGAGCAACTGCAACAATCAGGCGGCGTTCAACTCAGCCGTGCGAAAACGGAAGGCACTGGGGAAGTTGGGGGTTGGGGGACCTTCTGTATCGGACTCCGTCACACATCTTGACATCCAAGATTTGCGTGTTAGATGGCAAAAAGTAGAAGATTTCGGCTGTGGGCTGGTGGGGGGGTTGACGGCGGTTGGAAAAAAGGAGCCAATGATTTGCTGGGATTTCATCGATCTTAGATGGTCATCTGGAGGATGAAGGCAGAGCTTTTAGATGTAGCACTTTGTCAAATAAAGTCAGTGCATGTCAAAGTAGCGAGGACCAGGTCGTCCGGGGTCGAGAGGCTTTCTGGCGATCAGCGGCAGAACATATGCGTGGAAAGCGAGCGTATCACGGCTGAAACAATTCAAGGCCAAGTTGAGGCCAAGCGCTTTTAAATTGTACTTTGAGGCTGGATCCAAACTGCCCGGTTCTAAGCGGCCTGCCTGCTATTATCTCTAATGCCCATCTCCAGCATCTCAGCAAGGATATCCCACTTCGGGGCGGCCGCGTCGACCGAAGCTCTCGCCACGCCGCGCAGGCTGCCCGCGATGAAGCGCAGATGCCGGTCGAAGTCGGCGCGGATGCCCATGAGGACCTCGGCGTACGTCTGTCGCTGCTGCTTCTTCTGGTTCTGCTTCGGGGTGTTGACCGGGTCCTGGACGCCGAAGTCCTCGTCGTCATCATCGCCGTCGCCGAAGAGGATGGTATTGTCCTCCTCCCTCTCCCTCTCCTTGGGACTGACGTAGACGCCGGACCTCGGTGTCTTCTCGCTACTGATGGCGCCGCCTGCGCCCGGCCGCTTTGGCGTGGTGAGGTCGTCATGCTGGGATATGCCCGCGGCCTCGCTCGCCCTCTTTTCCTCCTCCGCCAGCCTTGCGTCCTCGAGCTTGATGGCCAGGTCGAGCACGTCGAGCATGCACTCCTTGATGGGCTCCAGCTTGGCGCCCAGAAATGCCTCCTCCATGATGCGTTTCGAGAAGGCAGAATGGATCTTGATCATGTCGTCGACGTCTTCTGCATTGCGGACGTCGCCGCGCATACGTGCTATGTTGGGGGCGAGGACGAGGGTGGTAAGGTAGGTCTGGAGGATGTTTGTGAACCAGATCAGGCGCGAGCGGAGGCTGTAAAATGCTAGTTGTTCGCTTGTCTCGTCATAACTCCTGCAGCTGATGAACAACTTATTCAAGATAGCGGCTATTCGTCGGATCTGTAATAGGAGTGTGAACATAGTTTGGTAATCAACAATACTTTCCGGTGTGATAACCAGACGAACGGGCCAAGCGAGCCTGTAAGTAAGTCGAACCCCGGGTATAGTGTTTCTAACACTGCAGCGGGCTTTGCAAGGATCGTCGTGGTAGATGTGCTCAGGGTCCACGGCGGCCGAAAGGCGATATACCTCTAAGCCGGAGTACTGCGACCAAGCCTCCTGAGCGGCCTCTGTGAGGCTGAAACGGTCTGTCCAAGTAGTGTTCATCTCATCCAGGTTTGAGAATATGGAAGATGAGAATATCTCGGATATGGAGCCGTCTGACATGAAGTAGATATTCTGCAACACATCAAAGCTGGACCACAACCCGCAGGATTCGAACAGTATTGCCTGGAGGTTTGCAGCCGTCGAGTAATATTTGCTTTGAATCCAGAGGTCGAATGCATCGCTGAAGAGCTCCGAGAACGGCGCGAGAGTGAGATCTGGGGAGCCACAGATAGACTCGAAATCTAATGGGGGCTCTAGCGTGTGAGCTGCGGGATCGTCTCTGACGCTGCGGAAGCGCCCAAGCTGCTTGAGGACAACCACGCTCTTTCCAGTGTTGAAGACCTTCCTCAATGCCGGTTGCAGGAAATTAGGTGCATGCAGTTGGTCGTCATGAGTTCGCCGGAGTTCGAACTTGTGGCTCCACATCTGATGCAGAGGGACGGGAGTTGAACACTCCGCAACGAAAAACGTCTTGTCTCCTGGCGTCAGATGGCCTTCCTCCATCCACCGCCTTATGGGAATGGTGTAAACTCTGAAGCATTCGAAAAAGATGACCCCTAAGAAGCTGTACGTACGTACATCCCCACTCAGTTGAGCAATACAAGTCGCATCATAGAGCAGCTCGAGGCAGCGAAAAGCATGAGCGAAGCGTTCATCCTGTAGCTGACGGACCACGTGGCCAAGTGCAGTCAGAGGAGTAAGGTGTGACTTGAGCTCCTCCTGAAGGGAGATCAAGCTGACAATTGTATCACTCTTGATGTCAACGAATCGATGCTGTATCAAGGCGATTTCCCGGTCAAACAGCCTCAGTCGTTCACAAACGGAGTCCTGGAAGGCTTGGACCATGGGGATATCCTGTATCGTTTCGCAGAATTTGCGCAGAGGAAGCAGGGTTCGACCACATTCGGCAAAGGAGTTGATCAAGGCCCTATAGGTATCCCATGAGATATCCGCAAGCTGGTATCTGGCCACGGGCGTACAATCTGTGCCAAACAGATCTGACGGTAGGCCGTTGAGCATGAATAAGGCTTCACGTAGGATTTGGAGCTCGGAAATGGGTATCTTTAGGGGCCGGCCTGCCTCATCCCTAGGAAGCGCAGCATTTCGCCATTCTTGAGACTTTCTCACGATTTCGAGCGCCGATTCACCGTCGTTTTGTGGAAGAATAAGGTCTCTTGCCGTTCTCTTAGTCTGAGTCGCACTAGATATCGAGGTGTCCGATGAGTCTTCCGAAGCCTGTGACTGGGAGTCCTGGACAAGCTCATCCTCTGAGCTGTCGGCAAAGTCGACGTTCTTCCAGAGACCGCGCTCCTGCGCCCAACCATCCTCCTTGGCGATGTCTTCCCATCGCAGTTTCAGACCTGGGTCTTGGTCTGGAGGACGCAGGCGCTCCAAAACATCGAGTGACGTTTTTTGTGTGGGCCTGTCAGATAACTCAAGGAAGAGGTGTAATAATTCAGGTGTGAACCTGGTAGTTCTGGTTGACAGAGAGTCGAGCCTCTGCCTTAATGCTTCTGAGAGCCCATCTCGTCCAACGACTGAGAAGCGCTCCACGAGGCCACGGAGTTGGTCCTCAACTAGAAAGTGATTGGTCTGCAGGTAATTCCGATTCCTCAGGCTGCGAAGGGCAGACTCGCGGAAGCTGTTGAACCTACTTGGATGAGACTAAGGATGGTTAGAGATAGGGGAACAGTAGACTCATCATTGAGAGCGGGCGTACAGCAGGTGAGGTGGATGTGATGATGGTGACAAGCTCGTCTGTTAGGGCACCAAACTCGGCGAGAAACGCCATTGTGCAGGGAGAGGAGAGGATGTAGACGGTGCTGGACTTTGTCACAACAACTCCATTATGGGTTTTGCTGGCTGAAGTTGACCAGCAGATGAGGCTCAAGTGCTGCGTGACTGTCTAAGTGCCTCTCTGTACGCGTGGAAGGAGTTACAAGCGTTACACGCGACTTGGCCCTAGTGCCCAGTCCCTCAACCAGATCCAGGTGCAGATCTGACGTTGGTTTTCCCACTGCTGCAGAAGCTTAGGCTTGGCCAATCCACCTGGCCACCCTGGTTGCTCCCCTATTCCACTGACCAGCATGAGATTGCTCAGGTACCCTGTTAGGAGACCGGCCCTAGCAGCTGAACACCCTGTCTGGGAGCAAGCAAGTTAAGGGGATCCAACAGGATCGCCTAGTCTGGGCAGCCCTGCTTTTCCCCTGGGGCGCCTGCACGCCCTTTTCACCACGTACGTACGCGTGCCGAAGGGTCTACGTGTGCCTGTGCCTGTGCCGGTACCTGTGCTTATGCTTGTTCCTGGGCTCGGGCCCCCTTTCGAACTTTTGGATATCTTGTTATCTTTGGAACTCGATCCCGATCCCCATCCCCATTCAACCCCCGAATTCGATAATAGACCACGATCGATCCACGACAAACCCACCCCGTGCCTCGATCCCCGATCGCACCACTTCGCTTCCACGGGGCCATGCTTCGTTAGCTCGACTCTGATCTTTCTTCTTCGTCTTGGACACCGTAAGCCCGCAAGCTTGCAAGCAAGCAAGCCAGGCCTGCTCGAATCGTCAACATGGCTGTTGCTCGCCCCGTCAGAGTCCTCGGGCTCGCGGCCGTCATGATGTGGTGCTTCTTTCTCTATCAGGTCTTCAAGCCAGGGTCCCCCATCCCGTTACCCTCTGGCATCCCAAAAAATGAGAAGGAGCCATTACTAGATCGTGAGTCGCATTACCTACGCCTACACCTGCAACTCCGCCTCGCCTCGGCCCTTCGTCGCGTGATGCTTCCGGTGTCTGACTGACATGGTGATCTCTGTAGCAACCGGCGAGCCAGCAGGTATCCTCCGTCGCGTTGGCCCAGGATATGCCCCCGATGCGAAGGAATCCGCCCGTATAAATGCCACCCTGTTGGCCCTCGTGCGAAACGAGGAACTGCCTGGCATGTTACAAGCTATGAAAGACCTCGAGCGCACCTGGAATCACAAGTTCAACTACCCGTGGACCTTTTTCAACGACAAGCCATTTACCGACGAGTTCAAAAAGCGAACGTCCGAGGTTACGAAGGCAGAGACGAGATATGGTAAGCGAAGGCCGTGATGATGCCAGGGTGGACTCGGTCGGAGTTTTACTGACGCAGTCTGCAACAGAGGTCATTCCCAAAGAGCACTGGGATGTGCCCTCCTGGATCAACATGGACCTCTTTGACGAGTCGGTCAAGATCCTTGAAGAGCACGACATCCAATACGCTGGCATGATGTCTTACCATCAGATGTGTCGCTGGAACAGCGGCCTCTTCTACAAGCACCCTGCGCTGGCCGACACACAGTTCTACTGGCGTGTAGAGCCTAAAGTTCACTTCTTCTGCGATATCGACTACGACGTTTTCGCGTACATGCTGGACAACAACAAGACGTACGGCTTCACCATCAACCTGTACGATGCCCCCGACTCCATCCCGACCCTGTGGCCCGAGACCACAAAGTTCCTTGCCGACCACCCCGAGTACATGCACGAGAACAACGCCTTGAACTGGGTGGTCGACAAGTCTAGGCGCCCAGATCACTACGACAAGGCGAATGGCTACTCGACGTGTCACTTCTGGAGCAACTTTGAGATCGGCGACATGAACTTCTGGAGGAGCCAGGCGTACGAGGACTACTTCAACCACTTGGACAGGGCCGGCGGCTTCTTCTACGAGCGATGGGGCGATGCACCGGTGCACAGCATCGCGCTTGGTCTGCTGGAGGACAAGAATCGAATTCATTGGTATGCCGTCCCCTTGCCTGGATTCTGATTATGATTGTGGTTTTGTCAGCATCGCTAATCGTACTGTCTCATGCGCAGGTTCCGCGACATAGGATACCAGCATATTCCCTTTTTCAATTGTCCCAACTCGCCAAAATGCAAGGGCTGCGTAACCGGCCGCTTCACCGATGGAGAGGCATGGCTAAACAAGGAGGACTGCCGGCCGAACTGGTTCAAGTTCGCGCACATGGACTAGACGGGGTCACACACAGAGATACCACGCCAGACAAAAGGCATTGCAGGGTTCTGATGATTTCACGGGAGCGAGGAACGGGACGGGTACTTTTCTTTGGTTGTGAGCACATATATCCTTTCTTGGCGACCACAGTAAGCTTCGTGGATGGATATTTGCGTTGCGTCTTGTCACGGCATTTCATGGGGCAAGGAGGTGTTTGGCGCCAGGCTATCAGATGGCATTTTTCTGTCTGTAACTCGATTCCGGAGGGCAAGGGACATAGAGACGGGTACTCTCATCTCAGCTTAGCTTTGGATGAACAGAGCTTGAACTGGGCAAAAGTGAAGACCCACTGCTTTGTTGGCGTTGGTCTTTGAAGGATGAGAATTGACCAACTCACATCAGACCGTCTGGGTGTTCATTCCATCGCGTCCAGCCTGCCAGCCCGTCCAGCCTGCCAGCCCGTGCCGCCCAACAAGGGCACTCTCCACACGGTGTCCCTCCCGTCATTCATCCGAGCTTTTAGGTTGCAACGGCGACTCGCCAATCAGCAGCTTCACATTATGAGATTGCCATGATCAACATGCTCGATCCTGGTGCACCCTAAGATGCACAGCGAACGGAAGTTTGGCTAGCCGAACGCCTCGCTCCATTACGAAGAGAGAGCACCACCATGTGCATGCTGTTGGCGAGCTACCGCCCGCATTGGGCATGATTTCCAACGTCGGATCTAGCGGTGGCACAGCAGAGTTGAGTCAGCATTGACGCGACATTGAACAATATTTAAGGTCCATCTCCTTCCTTCTCCTACCTTTTGTCCAAAGCTTGAGCGATGCTCACTAGTCATTGATATCCTGTGAAGCAATGGCCGACTACGATCTTGTCGAGCTCGCCCAACGGCCTGCGGTGTTTACGCCCGCCATCCTCGCAGTCGCCTACATCTTCTACCGGCTCTTCCTGAAGCCGTCCACACTGCCTGATCTCCCCGTCCTGAATGCGAGGAAGGGCGAGTGGTTTTCCTACTGGAGAGCGACATGGCGAAACACCAAGGACTTCAAGGCCGCCTGCGTACTGGCACGCACCCAGTACCGCGACCAGGCGTGCATCGTGCCCGTCCTCGGTGCGGGCGGTATGATCCTGCTCCCGGCTAAAGACACCAAGTTCGTGATCGATAACCCCGAGAACGTTCTGAGCCTTCACGAGTCGGCCATGGACAGCCTGCAGTCCGATTACACCATGGGAGAGCGCCTGATCCGCGAGCCCGTCCACCACCCGCTGATCACCACCACCCTCACGAATCAGACCGGCAACCTGATCCCTGAGCTAGCTGAGGAGACAGAACATAGTCTCGATGAGCTCTGGGGCACCGACACGGGCGAGTGGCGCGATGTGTGCGTATATACGTCGCTGCAGAAGTCCATCGGCCGCGTGACGAACCGTATCTTCATTGGCAAGCCCGTCTGCCGGGACCCAGAGCTCCTACGCCTAGGCATCGCATTTGCCATGGACATCCCGCTGGGCTCTCAGCTGCTGCGTCTCTTCCCCAAGTTCATTAGGCCGCTCGCGGCTTCGGTGCTCATGATTCCAAACAGGCTGCACCAACGTGCCTTCTTCAACATCCTCAGGCCGACGATCGAGCAGCGCCTGCGCGAGTACGACGAGCGCCACAAGGACCCCGAGAAGAACAAGGCGCTGGGCCCGGAGCCCAACGACTTCCTGCAGTGGCTAATCAACCAGGCTAAGGAGATGGGCGACCCGTATCATATGAGGCCTTCGACTCTCTCGCTGCGCGTGCAGGTGTTGAACTTCGCATCGATCCACACATCTTCATTCGCCATCACCGGCGCGATTCTGGACCTCGTTGCGTCCAAGAAGGAGTACATTGAAGAGCTGCGTGACGAGATCCAGACCGTGCTGGCCGCGCATGGCGGGCAGTGGAACAAGCGCGCCCTGGCGCAGATGGAGAAGCTCGACTCGACCTTCCGCGAGAGCCAGCGCGTCAACTCGTTCGTGACGCTCGGTCTGGGCCGTCGCGTCGTGGCCAAGAACGGCATAACCACGCCCGAGGGCCTGCACATCCCGCGCGGCAACCAGGTCTGCGTCCCCGGCTACGCCATGCATCACGACCCGGAGGTCTACAACGACCCGGACGACTTCCGCCCGTTTAGGTTCTCGGACATGCGGAAACGTGCAGAAGGTGAGGCCGGCGACGACAAGGAGGCCGCGCAGACGTCGTTTCTGTCGCGCGCGCGCAAGCAGTGGGCTACCACGACGACCGACTTCCTCGGGTTTGGCCACGGAAGGGGCGCCTGTCCTGGCCGCTTTTTCGCGGCGGCTGAGCTGAAGCTCATGCTGGCGCATCTCATCCTCAACTATGACTTTGAGATGCTGGAGAAGCGTCCGCGGAACACGTGGTTTGCGTTGAACCGTGTCCCGCCGATGGAGCAGACCATCCGTGTGAAGAGGCGGGAGGTATAGCTCTGTTCATATATGAGACTGGCAGATTGTGTAAATGGATGTCTTTAGCAAGTGATTTACTGTAATGATATTTCAAGGCGGGGTATATCCGTCACTTATACCTCGCTCGTGCGTGCCTATAATCAAGGGCATATTTTGATTCTGGCCAGTAGTTGCGGCGTCACGTTGCACCAAATACCGTGACTGCACCTGACGTTCCACCAGCGCAGAACTGGTCCCCGAAGCCGCCTTCCCTCCAAGCCAGGCAGCTCACGACATATTTGCGCTCCTTGGGCTTCCCGTCCCTGCCAACCACCTTCTTGAGCCGTTCCGTGCCCGCCGGGCCCCACGGGACAGGCACCTTGGCGACGAGCTTCCCGGTCATGAGGTCCCACGCCCATATCCTACCGCCTTCGCTGGCCACATGACCGTCCGCGCCAGTCATCTCGTCCCCGGCAACGACGAACCTCTCCTTGCCGCCCAGCACGCTCTGCACCCTGAAGTCGGTATTCCTCCAACCCTGGCCCTCCTCGTCCGCGCCGTACGTCCGCAGGCACGACCCGCTGTCCCGGTCCATAAGCCTGAGCCGGCTGTCCAAGCTCCCCACGAGCATCGCCTTCCCGTCGCCGGTAAGACACAGGTTCGTGACGCTCGCCCCAATCACATCAGTCGTGACCCGGCCCGCGCGGACATCATAGCAGCGCACGCGCCCATCGACCGAGCCCGCGACGATCTCGGCGCCGCGCACGACAACGGAAGAAATCGCGTCCGCCGCGCCGTCGAGCACCTGCACGGGCTTCGCGTGGCCGCTGCCGCCGGCGCGGGCGTCCCAGACGCGCACGGAGGTGTCGAAGCCGCCGGACACGACGAGCATGTCGTCGGCGCCGCCGACGGCGACGCAGTTGACGCGCCCCACGTGGCCCTCGGTGCTGTGCGTGAAGCGGCGCAGCGTCTGCGCCGTGGCGACGTCCCACAGGAAGACGGTGCGGTCGCCGCCCGCCGAGGCGAAGCGCGCGTTGTCGGCCGCCACCGCCAGCGAGAGCACCTCGTGCGAGTGCGCCTGGTAGCTCTGGATCAGCCGGCCCTCGGGGACGCTGGCCTGCGTTTGCTGCTGCTGCTGCTTGGTGATGTAGGAGTTGGCTGGGAGGATGGCCGTGCTGGGCGAGGGGTTGTACAGCCGGATCGAGCGGTCGGCGCTGCCGGCTAGGATGTAGGTGCCTGGGCTGGCCGAGTAGGCGAGGGCGTGGATTGGGCCTGGGTATATGTGTCAGTTGATATGCATTCTCTAATTTTACGAGCAGCTCGAGTAGGTGTTGAAAATGTGACAAGTAACCAGCAAAAGGCGAGAGACGTAATGAGATGGACTCACCATTTGCGCCCGTGAGAAAGGCTACAGGCTTGTATGGAAAAGCCATTTCATTAATATGACCAGATTCTCCATGACCTCGCGACGTCCGATTAGACCATAGACTGGGATCTTGTGTGGCTGGCCATGGTTTGTGTGAAACAGAACGAAGTTTGGTCGGACCTGAAGGTGAGAGAGAGATGAGCGAGTATGGTTGGGCTTACGTAAGTCCTTTTCGCCTGCCAAACTTGTGATGGTCCAACCATTCAAGCGAACCGTTCCATCACAACTCTCATCTTACATGGGATGAACAATGGACATGCGAAGCACACACCTCTGGCTCATACTTCGAATATCACATATTACAACATAGGACATGAATTGCTCAGATTCTTTCTTCATTCTTCTCGCTTTCAACTTTTCGTCATCCACCTTCTACGCTGTCTACCTGGCACACCTCTCCGCGATGTTTCTTTCTCGCTTGATCTTGCCTACATCTCCCCCCCTCTCTCGTCTTATTGTACAGGGTATTGCTATATAGTACACTCCAGGCAGGTGCTTTCTCAGACCGCCCTGAATTGTTGCTTTGTCCATGAAAAGAAAAAGAAAAGATGAGATCGCATGATAACGTAAACTGTTCCACGCTAATGTTTCCATATGTGCCTCCTCCTCAGCCTCATTCAAAAGAAATCGACAGGCCAAAGAACGCCGATGCATGCATCAAAATCATAACGGACGCTGTGGAACCGATGAAATCCACAAAACCATGTAGGCAATGGTTGGAAAAGAAGGCAGCTGTCGTCCACAACACCATCAAATTCGTCGCTTTTCTTGCAGAGGTCGACCATCCTGGCCTCGAACAGCCACTCGACTCCCGCAGCAGTGTTGTATTGAACCACGGATTGTCGGCCAGCGAAACCGAAGGAACAAATAACACCACGAACGTTTCGTCTTTTCCATGACTAGCCGGCAGGCACTGACGCTGCTTCCCCACCTATGCCGAATTCCGGTCGAGACGGTAGCCTGCTCACGCTCAACTCAGCCTGCCTTTCTGGGCCTGGGCTGTTTCCTCACAATCAGTGTCATGATAGCCAGGTTGATCATCACAGCTGAGGTACACGAGGTTCGTACATTCCATCAAGGCCAGAGACCTTGACTGCCTCCTGGCCTTGGGCTCAGATATGTAATCGACGCGAGCTCGTGACCGTGGCCGCCGCCATCATACCTGCTCGAGACTTTTTGACATTCGCCTGTGGCCGTTTTTGCGGATGATTCACGGTGAATCTCGTCCGGACCACAATACCAAATATGCTCAGCCAGCCCATCGTCGGAGACGAGCAAGCGTCGAGGGAGCTACACACGAGCATCATGTCTTCTGACAAGTCCACTGCTGTGAGCCGGACTATCCAAGACCGACGCGTTTGAACAGACCGAGGGTGCCAAAAACTCACGGGTCCCAAGTCCGGCGCAGCACGTCCTCATGGATGCGAGGGAGAGGAAGTTGGCCCGCGGGCCGCTCCTGGTGCTGGTGCTGCGGCGGGTGCTGCCACGACAGGGCACGCGCCGCGAAGTCCCTGCTGCCGCTCATCTCTGCCGGCGAGTACGACGACTCATACGAGTACCGAGGTCGCTTGGGCGGGACTTCCAACGATAATGCTGGGTGGGTCGTGGTCCGAGGGGAGACAGAAGGAGAGCGCCTGGATGGCCGCGGCAGCTCAAATGGCATGCGGCCCTGTCGCGGCGGCGACACCTCCCGCTCTGTCATTAGAGTTGACGTCGGAGAAGTGTTGTGCCCTCCGCCTCGGGGACTGCAACGTTCGCATTGTCAGCCAACGGAAGTTTCAAAACCACAGCAGAGAGATTGGATGGTGACTGGGAAAGGGAAGGGGATGACTAACGCATTCTTGAACTTGCAGATTCTCCCAAACTTCTCGCACTGGACACACCGCGGGTAATCCGGATCACACTTGATCTTCTTCTCCCTGCACGTCACACACGCGATCGCCAGCCTCTTGCGTGGCTTGCCGGCCTTGGTGACGCCCCAGTGTGCGTTGACAGCCTCGCCGTCGATGACCGTCTTGCAGTGGCTCCCGTCGTCGTAAAAATAGCACAATCCCTCGCCCGGCAGCTCCGCCGCCCGCACGAACCTCGGCAAGAAGTGGGTTCCTGTCCAGATCTTGGGGCCCAGCCCGTCCTTGCTGGGGATAGTCTCGGCCGTTACTGGCGTCGACGGCTGGCTGGGGTGCTGTGAGTACACTTGCTGCTGCTGCTGGTGTTGGTAGCGGTGCTGAGACGACGTCGACGATGCTGACCTCGGGTCTTGGTAGCTGCTCGGGTGCCCTTCGTAGTCGTGTTTCTGTCCTGCCAGGTGGGGGGTCCGGGGATACCTGCCGGAGTGGTCCCGCGAGCTGATTGAGTACTCGCTGTTGCCGCGGTTGAAATCATGGTGGGAAGACCACCGACTGCTGGACTCCGGTCGGTGATGGCTCTCTAAGTCCCGGTAGCCGGGAGACAGTGGGCCCGGAAAAGCCGACCGTGCACCACTGGAGAACGATGCTGTTGTCCTGTCGTACACTTTCGGCTCGTACACGGTCCTCGACTGGGGGTGCTGCGAGGAGGATGATCCCGGTGTTGTAGGTGGGAAGTAAGATGAAGAAGAACCCGATCGCTCGAGATAACCCCCAGCACTCCGGGGGTGGTCAAGGGGAGACGTAGCCGGGTAGGGCGGTGGCCGCTCTGATAGCGGCGAAAGTTGAGGACGTAATGCGGAAGGGAACAAACTGCTGAGAGATGGTAGTTGTTGGCGTTGATCATTGCTCGATGCACTGGTCGGCTGAGGCTTTGTCTCCTTCCTGGACTGCTCATCGTCCGAGCCTTTCCTGCTCATGTCGCCGGTGTCGGTCGGGTGCTGAGGTCGATCATAGTTGGACATTGGTGGAGAGAGGGGACCGTTGGACCGTGATCTCCAGGCCAAGTGGCCCTCTGAGGGTACGGTTGAGTATGTCGAAGAGCTTGGGCTCACCAGTTCAGGAGGAGTGTCTGGAAGAGAAACTGGCGGCGCACGATGCTGCTGAGGTTTAAGAGGAGACAACATCCCCATTGACGAGAGGAGAGAGTGAGGAAGGTCAGTTCTGGGTAGGCGCTGTCTCTCAGGATGCTGTTTCTCTGCACGTCCTGGGCAAGATTCGGTGCTCTAAGTTGGACTGATATGCTCCAATTGTCTAGTTGCAAGCCACGCCCACAGCAGATGTTATACAATAAGGGGTCGCGGCGGGATAGAGGAGAGCAGTCCGCCGGGTAAATAAGGTCAGCCTCTGTCGGAGTCTTAGCGGCGCAGCAGGTGCACGCGGTCGCACACAGGCACACCACTCAGTCCAGCGGAAACGGAAGCAATTTCAAAACACCTCTCGCGATCTTCATCAGGAGTGTAGTGGGTAGTTGGCGTTGATTTGGCCAAGAGCCAGCTTCTTTCTGGTAGTGCCCTTCCTTGTTGGTCGGGGGCTTACAGGCAAGATATAGGTCGTACGGTCCCGGTATTCTGGTTGGGCTTGTGGGAAGGAGGGTGGCAGAGCCCGGATGTTGACTAGATGGTGCGAGATAGTGGTGTGGCTTGAGACGGGCGAGTATTGGTTATTGTATGCCACCGGCCGAGCCGCAGAGGGACAAGACTTCTCGCCCGGTCTAATAAGTTGGAATTCTGGGGGACAGGGCTCTGGGGTTGGCACCAGACACCGGTGACCTGGGTACTTGAGAGGGCCGGCGCTACAGTGCCGAGAGGAGTATTAAACAGGGTTCACGGCTTATGTGGGCTCTGGCTTACACAGGTACATGCCATTATCCTGGTTGTGGGTACGGAAGGGGCACGGATCGAAGACGACTACCGAACATTCAACGTGCTCGGCAGGGCCCAGTATCCAGGGAAGATTACAGTTGAGTCTGTGTGGTCTGCCCAATGCGGTAGTCGAAACCGCACAGTCGACGATACACTTTGGGCATCACTCAGCGTCGGTTGAGATTAGTATACCACTCTTCTCCTCAACACGTGGGGCGGGAGGCCCTACTGTTCCTCTGTGCCGGTTATCTCATAAGATTAAGTTGAATGGATCGAAACTGATCCTACCCACCGCGCCACCGCAGTCTCCATCACGGTAAGGAGAATGTCCCAAACGTGGTTGGCGAGGTTGTTGCGGCGCTGTCGATGGGGCCAACCGATGTATTGGCAGCAGACTTCTCTTGGCGACTGCCAGTGACTGGTAAAAAACCCATGCAGGGAGAGCTGTGCGGAATCCATCGCGCAGAGGGGTCGCAAGAGAGATTGCAAGGACAGGGTACAAGTTCGGGGTAGAAGAAGCAGGGGCAAAGTATAGCTTGATGCGCCTGTGCTGTTGGACCTGGGAGCCGACTGAAGAGCAGACGCCACGCCGCGATGGGGGCCGCGGACAGTCAGTCAGGCTTGGTGAGATGACAGAAGAGAGGATATTACCGGGTCGAGGTTCCAGACTCTGACATGAGCAGATTCTCTGTCCCAAAAAGGGAAGAGGCCCTCAGGGGGTCACCACGGGACGGGCCAACATCGTCAAGATGTCCAAGGGTTGCACTTTGGATGGGCCAGCGGCAACATCTGCAAGCGCATCTGAAATTCGATGCGGCGACGTAGCATCTTCTATTCCGGGACCCCGGGAGCGTACTTTGCAACCCCCTCGTCGGACATTTGCAGCGCACAATTACATTGACTGTGCTGTTCTTTGTGAAGGACAAGGCGCACAATAAGATTCGAGCCTTGTCACAGACAGGAAGGAGGTACGGGACTCAGCCGGGGCGCGGTCCCCACAGCGGCTTAAGTCGTGAGGCCGGCGCCCAGGAACAGACAGGGGCATCCATCACCTGTCTTGCATTTGGCGTCATGGCTGGACAACGGCGCTGGCACGCCCATTGTCAGTGCCCTTGACATCCACCGTTGCACGCCGGGCTTTGGGGCCTCGACCCGCCGAACGAAGACTGTAACTGGTGCGGGTGGCTTGAGAATTTCCATGGTTTCTCCAGAGATAGTCAACATGTGGCCATTTTGCTGGCGGCTGGACCCATCTAGTAGCGCCTAGCAGGGCCCCGACCAACACCGGACTTGTGTCGAGGAGTGCTGCCAAGGCCGTTAAACGAAGATTTCAGGGATAGGAATCCATTCTGCCTTCTGCGGTAGTCTGCAGGTAATCAGATCCGTTCCACATGATCTGATCATCTCAACTTGGAAGCTAGGACGAGGGCTGGAAGAGGCTCTCCGAAGTTTCCGAGGTACTCACTGCCGTCGGGTTCGAATAAAGTTAAATATGTACTCCTTTTTTCTCTCTCTCTCGCAATCGTATCCTGTCCACCGAGGCTCATCTACAGCGCATAATGGAACGAAATAAAAGGCTGAATAGGGGAACGTGTCCTTTGACGGACAATTGTGCGAGCGTGCGCCCAGCTTCGGCCCAAACCAGCCGTTCCTAAAAGGCAAGCTGTCAAACTTAGTCTGCACGAGTCCGTATTGAAGGAGCGAGCTTCAAGGCGCGCAGCCTGAGCTGGCGGTCGCATTATCACGGGAACATGGGATTACTGCGGTGCTACTGTGCATCAGTAAGAAGTAGGTGGGTAGGGCCCGAGTGAGATGGGATGAATTCCCGTGCGAACGCCCATCCAGGGTGACCTTAGGCGCCAGATCTCTCTACCTTAATCTTGCAAGCCCGTGTGTTTTCCCGCAATGACGTTGATGGCGACGATCCTCTCAGCCATAAGGTGTAGCGTCCCCTCAAATAAGTCGACAGCCCAACGGCTCAAACAGCCCTGGTGCGGGCTGTCTTCCACACACTATAATGTTCTTCAGAGCGCACTAGTCTTCTAGCGATAACCGGCATTGGTAGATGATGCAAAGCTACCGTACTACTCGCGCCACAATCTGAAAGTGGGACAATTGAGTTGATTGATTGCAGGGGAAAAGCCCGAGTATTTGGATTAAGAAGGCCACTGGAGTACCACAGTGTTATATGCAGCACCATGGTACATAGTCGATTGCATGGTTCCTGCGGATATCAAAAATGATCACTGCTGGGGCCCGGCTAGGGGGACGGGATGTGCAGGTCTTGTCGGGGTCTCAAGTTCTAAGCACACAGTGACGATGTACAGTACTTTAAGGAATAATTCTACCCCTGGCCCACTCACTTCGGACGTATTCAGTACGAACGTCTTGACAAATGGGATGAGGGCGGGGGCACAGCACCGATGAAGCGGAGATGTGTGTCAGGTCTCCCACAACATCCTTTGTGACTACCCGTGTCGTGATGACGCTGCTGGTCAGTATCTGCCATTTGCAGATGGTGCGATGAAACTGTATGAGCAAGTTTGCAGTATCTGCCGTGCGGGCAGGGCATGATAGTGGCACTGCGTGTCGACAAGGCCAAAGCCAAATGAACAATGTGTGGCAACCAAAGACCCGAGACTCTGGTCGAAGTTCGAGAGGGGAAGGTCCCAAGAGCTGGAAGGACACCAGTTCTCCGCAGGATGAAGGAGGGCATCCAGAAGCGCGGCACTAATCCGCGTAGACATCAGTCCATGGTCCGCGTAAGGCGTTGCGAATGCGATGGCGTCTTCATAGCTTGCCCCTCTCTTGCTTTAGTGCCCTGTCGATGATCCGCCGAGTGCCTTGCGCACCGTAAGTGGCTACGAAGTCTGACAGCCATCATCCTCCGCCATGAAATGACTGAGAAAGTGCATGGCCCCCCCGCAGGTGTGCATGCCGCTCGGGACGGTAGATGAGACGTAGGCAAGCATCTGTTGTAGATGGTGGCTGACACTTGCTCGGGCTATGACCGCACTCATTAATCGTTCAATGTCCACAGACCAGTACTTTGCAGCCCCCCGTCAGGAAGAAGACGTTCGAGAGTTGGGTCTGTGGGGCTGGCCTGGCCCGGGGTGTGATTGACGAGGGCCGGAAGAACCTTGCGTAGCGCTGCAATAACACAGGCTATTAAGACGGGCTCGGCATGTCGTCGTTAGCTCGATCCAACGCCCTGGGTCGGAGCACAGGCAGGCCGGGATGAGACGCCTCGATGTCAGTTGTCTCCTGGCACCCCTTTTCTCACGGACACTAGGCCTAACAAGGCATCTTCCTTCCTGAAAACACATGGATAACAATCCACCCAGAGGCGTTCCCCACCAGCCCTAGAGCAACATGGGTTCGCTTGGCTCATATGACAAGGTGAACAAGCCACAATTTGGAGCATACCTTTACTAAATTCTTGAGATAGGATGCCGGAGCGGGGCCGGTGACGGCTCAGGTGTGTCGTGCCGCCGGGCTGCTGGATCGTTGTGTCAGGTCGCGGTACTTGAAATTTGCTTCTGGGGCTGCGTGTTGACACGACCCTCCGATCGTGTGCAATACCGACCCGTTGTGCCGCCAGGAAATCTTGACATCCCGTCTGCAAGGATCATCATGTCCAGTCAAAACGGACTCTTGTCCTGTTAGGTACACATATGGCGGGTGCGCAGCCACTACGAAAGCCAAGTGCAGCAGAGTTCACTACTTTGTAATGAGCGCGCATGTTACTCTCCGTGTCCCCTGCGAAAGCCGACTGCAAACTTTGTCTCTGCTTTGAAGCAGCTGACCAACCTGGTCGAGGGCCGGAAAATTCCACAACGTGGGAGTAACGTGAGGTAGCAGCGCGTCCCACTGCTGACTACCGTCCTGCCGTTTCTCAATCCCGCCGTGGCTGGTGTAATTGCTTTTTTTGGGCCTGCTCCGCTGCCAACACACAGGCACACACTCACAGACAGCCGGCTCGTGTCGTGTGTCTCGTAGCGTTGCAACAATACGCCGCATGAGTGAGACGATAATTCGATAGCTTGAGCCGCTAAAGAACCAACATATGGTGACATCGATCCATATCCGTCCTGCGAAGG